TATACATTTACTAATAAATTTGCATTCCTTTGGCCTTAAGTTAGGATTAAGCCAATGCTAACTTTTAAAAGAAATTTAATGAAGGCTCTAGGGCAGACAGCTGACTGGTTCAAGAGAGCCTTGGCAGTAGAGCCTGTGAAAGGGAATTTGAGATTGAGTGGATATTCTGCATGTGGACAAGATGGAGGTGTACAACTTCCTCGTGAATATGTTGAAGGTTTGTCATTGTAGTTCAATTACGTTGTTTAAATTACATTTTCATCTTGATTGTGGCCTTTAAGAGCACTTTCCTGTTAGGTTCATTCTTTTGTAGCCAATATCTTTATTCAACTTTTCTTGCAGAGGGTGTTGCTGATGCGGACTTGGTCCTTCTCGTGACTACAAGACCTACCACTGGCAATACTTTGGCTTGGGCTGTAGCGTGTGAACGTGACCAATGGGGCCGTGCAATTGCTGGTAGTTTCAAGTTCTCCTATCTCTTAAGGAATATGTTGCTGTTTTGTGCAGTAGAAATCTAAAATCAGAAGCAATGGTGTACTTCTGTTTTGTAGGTCATGTTAACGTCGCTCCTAGACATTTAACTGCTGAAGCAGAGACTTTACTGTCAGCTACTCTTATCCATGAGGTTTGGTGATGTTAATTTGATAAATTTGGAAGAGTATAGAGATAAATTTCCTGTCCTAAATTCCATTGTTGTTTCAATCCAGGTTATGCATGTTCTTGGCTTTGACCCGCATGCTTTTACCCACTTTAGGGATGAGAGAAAACGGAGGCGTAGTCAGGTAATTGCACAGCATTTACTATGAATATGCCCTTGAGATGCAATTTGCATAATAAATTTTGGTTCTTAATTCAAAGCTCAAACCCTCATGACTCGATCATCTTCTTTGAAATTGGAGTTCAGTTGAACTCTTAATACTTTGTATTTGTATGAATTCTTTTGACACTTGTTGCTTATGTCTTTTCACAACCAATACAAAAAGCATTCTCATATGTATATCTCTTGGAAACAATTTTAGAGCCTCACTATCACATTATCATTTCTGTGTACATTGTGCAGGTTACTGAACAGATCATGGATGAAAAGCTTGGGAGAATGGTAACTCGTGTGGTGCTTCCACATGTTGTCATGCACTCACGACATCATTATGGGGTATTGATAACTTCTTTGTCTTGCTGAGTTTTGTGGCTTTAGATTATTGAAAAACAGTGAGAAAATCAAACAAATAGTTGATGATAGTTTAATTGACAGGCATTCTCAGAAAATTTCACGGGCTTAGAGCTAGAAGATGGGGGAGGACGTGGCACATCAGGTATTGAATTCTGTCTCTGTTATTTGTGTTTCTCTCCACTCTATCTAGGTGTTGGTTGTGGATTTTTAACTCATGGAAACCATCTCAAAACTAGAGTACAATACATAATATGATTCTTAATGGAAGATGCAGCAGTTTAGCGGTTCCGTCCTTGATGTTTAAGTGATGACTTGGCTGTAGGATCTCATTGGGAGAAAAGGCTTTTGATGAATGAGATAATGACGGGATCTGTGGATACAAGATCAGTAGTTTCGAAAATGACTCTGGCCTTGTTGGAGGATAGTGGATGGTATCAAGCTGACTATAGCATGGCAGATCGTCTTGATTGGGGTCGCAACCAAGGGACTAATTTTGTTACTTCTCCTTGCAATCTCTGGAAGGGAGCATATCATTGCAATACTACCAATTTGTCTGGTTGTACATATAACAGGGAAGCTGAGGGTTACTGCCCTATTGTAAGTCATAGTGAGGACCTACCTCAATGGGCTCGGTATTTTCCTCAGGCTAACAAGGGTATGTTCTTGTTGTGTTCTTTTCTTTTCTCTCTATTTTATGTTTTTGTGGCCCTCTGAACTATTTATGACCTATATGCTCTACTAATTCTGTATTTCTGCAGATTGGAAAATCAGTCTATTAACATACACTAATGTTTGAATTTTTGAGTTACACATATAGCATTTTCAGTTTTGGTTTACATCTAAATGTTCCTAATGTGATACTTGCATTCTGCATTCAACCTAAGTATGATAGTGAATGAACTGGTTTCAAGATATGGGCTTATTATGCAATCATTCTGCACTTATCAATATTGTTGAATTTCTCATTTGGTCCTCCTTGTGAGGTCTAAGAACTTCTATTATTGACCTTTGCAGGTGGTCAGTCCTCGCTAGCTGATTATTGCACATACTTTGTGGCTTACTCTGATGGATCTTGTACAGACACTAACAGTGCAAGGGCCCCAGACAGAATGTTAGGTGAAGTGAGAGGGAGTAACTCCAGGTTAGATTTGACCTAAAAACTTTACTGGGACACGGTTTGAACTTTTCGTTTTACCTTAGACATAGTTTGAACTTTTGGGGCAATGGCTAATGAATTTTCTTTTGTGATTAAATAGGTGCATGGCTTCATCCTTAGTACGTACTGGTTTTGTGAGGGGCTCTATGACCCAAGGAAATGGTTGTTATCAGCACAGATGTGTAAATAACTCTTTAGAGGTATGGATTGGTGTTTGTGAAACCAAGTTTTGTACTTGGTAATTTTTTAGTAAAAGCAGCCTTGCAGCGTGTGAGTTTTGATAGTTGTGGGCTGTGATCTTTTCGGAATGCAGTTACTCTGGCAAATGCTTATTTACTGCACTGTCCAAATAACAAAAAAGTCTTTTTCCATCATGGCCTGGCGGACTGAAATATTCCTTTTGCTTATAACAGTAAAAGTCAAAGCGGGCGAATAATGATTTGCATATTGAACTTTAAACCCTTTCCGCCATGCAATTGGTCATTAATTTTGTTGATAATTGTTCTTTTTAGGTTGCTGTGGATGGTATTTGGAAAGTGTGTCCCGAAGCTGGTGGACCAGTTCAGTTCCCTGGTTTTAATGGTAATTTAGATCTACTGACTTTTCAGTCAATAAATTCTATCCATATGCATTAATAATTTCTTTTGATGTTTTATCTACAGGTGAACTGATTTGTCCTGCTTACCATGAACTCTGTAGCACTAGCCCTATTTCTGTGTCTGGGCAATGTGCCAATTCTTGTAATTTTAATGGTGAATGTGTCGGTGGAAAATGCCATTGCTTTCTTGGATTTCATGGTCATGATTGTAGTAAAAGTGAGCTCCAGAATTATTCTCCATTCTATTATTTAGCTATGTATAAGATAAAACTTGGTATATGAAATCTCTTCTGATCTAAATCCTTTGCAATAAACTGATGTTACTTTTTATTGTCCTTTTTGTCTTATATAATTTTCAGGATCTTGCCCTAGCAATTGCAATGGGCATGGAAAGTGCCTGTCCAATGGAGTCTGTGAATGTGAAAATGGTCATACTGGCATTGACTGCTCCACTGGTAATGTGTTTAGTTATTTAATATTTTATTTTTAGTTATTTAATTGGAAAGTATTCTTATAGTTGCTGAATAATTATTTATGTGACTTTTGGATTATACATGTATTCTATCCTTTTATTGGTTTTTCTGTAAGTTTGTGTGTTTGTGGAGGAAAAGTTGAAGGGGTTTGTCCTGTGGTGTCTTGGGAAGGACCCTTTTAAAGTGCCTTTCCCTGCATAGTTAAGCATACATATAGAAGATATGTTCTTCTTTAGTGTTCTTTCTGAAGAAGAAGAAGAATGAACTTAAGTGTTGAGTGATGTTTCAATAGGGTAACACATTCGTAGTCCTTTTAAGGTTCTCATTTCATTATTGAGACCATTTCATGCTGTGTTATATCTAATACGTTCTCATGCATACATCAGGAGATAAATACAGTCAATTAATGCCATGTGTTTTTCTCTCTTAACATTTTACTTGGAATTATATGCAGCTGTTTGTGATGAACAATGCAGCCTTCATGGTGGGGTCTGTGACAATGGAGTTTGTGAGTTCCGCTGCTCTGACTATGCGGGCTACACCTGCCAGAACAGCTCCACTCTCCTCTCTAGTCTTTCAGTATGCAAAAATGTGTTGGAGAGAGAATTGTCCGGGCAACACTGTGCACCCAGTGAGGCAAGTATATTACAGCAGCTAGAAGAAGTTGTTGTCATGCCTAATTACCATCGTCTATTCCCTGGTGGTGCTCGAAAGTTGTTTAATAATCTCTTTGGGAGCAGTTACTGTGATACAGCTGCCAAGCAACTGGCCTGCTGGGTAAAGTAGCTCATCCCTGCTCTTCCGTTTCCGAACATTGTTTTTTTAAGTAGTTGCCATGGTTTTTGTAATTTATAGTTTCTTGATAGCCAATCATGTGAGCTTGACTATAAACGCTAATCTTATATGACCAGATCTCAATCCAAAAATGTGATAATGATGGGGACAACAGACTACGGGTATGCCATTCAGCCTGCATGTCATATAATTTAGCATGTGGAGCATCACTAGACTGCTCAGACCAAACTCTCTTTAGTAGCGAGGAGGAAGGTGATGGCCAATGCACCGGCTCTGGTGAGATGAAGCTTTCATGGTTTAATCGATTGCGTAGTAGTTTATTTTCAAGTAATACGTCTTTGAAAGGAATGTCAATGTCTGTAAAATACAGGCAGTTTTAGTCCCTTTTTTTTCCCCTAATCCTTCCATTCTCCCCCTCCTTTTCTTCTAATTTTGGCTTGTAATTTTCTAGGGTTCTAATGTAGGAAAGATGGCACTTAATACTGTGCCCCTAGGTGTAGAGTTTCTTTGTGGTTGGCCCAAAATTCAAGTAGAAAATTTGGGCAGGATTAGGCTTTCCAATATGAAAGCAGCATGTAGAGAAAATTGAAAATGTATTGAAAAGCAAGGAAAAAGAAAAAAAAAAAGTGCTCTTCCGAGCTGAGTGACCAATGTCTGGCCGAAGGCCTTAAAAGGAAATGAAATGTCTCATATTTTTCTGTTTATTATTATGCTCCTCTTTCTTTTCTTAAATGGTGCATAATCTAAAGCAATTTCAATTTGGGATCTGATGAATGAATTGTCAATTGTGTTTAAATCTTTCCCAAAGTAGGCTCTTTTTTTTTTTATATATTTCACTGTCAAAGTCCCATGACTAGAAATCCACGACATTGAAAAAGAAGGGACATGAAATTTATTAAAATGCAAGCCAACCACCCCCATAAAAGTTGTGGCTCATGCCAAGCTTATGGCTTTATCTCTTCATCTTTGGTTCTTGGATTTCATTAGATTGAACAAAAAATGCATTCACGTATATACACATCATTTTCTCACCAAACAAACCAACCACAATCTTTAAAACACAAAAAAATTGCTGACTAAAAAGGCCAAACTTTTCGTCAATTTTGGACAGATACAGCAAACGATTGATTTCGATATTGTAAACTAAACATAACAATGCAATCAAATTTACCCAAGAAAGCAATAAATTCCAAATAAATGCTTATCCTAATCATGGTCATCAATCAAGATCTTGTTCATGATCCGGTTGGACAAAATGTGATCAAATAATCCGATCCGGTACAAGTCCTAGTACTTGTAGCATCATCATAAGCATAACTATAAGCTGTGGGGCATGCCTTCTTGAACATCTCTGAGTACTGTGTTGGCGGGCAAGTTTGAGGAGTTGCATGATCGCCGGTGCAGCAAAATTCTGGCGAGTTAAACGCAGCGCAGGCGCTTTTACAAGCGACAATGGAACCCGAATCCATGACCTGTAACACAGCGGGGCAATTTGTATTAAGATCCGTGACACAACCTGCATATTGGCAATCCCCTGAACCACCAACTGCCTTGACACCTAAGGCAACGTTGTAACCATCCACAAGACTAACATCATAAAAGTCTTTATCACTGGAGCCTCCAGCAATGGTGAACTCTACCAGGGTGACGGGTGGGGCACCACCGAATGTGCACTTTAGAACGCCACCACAGTCACCGGTTTTGCATTTGCCAGAGCCAGAGTTGTCAAATTTGCAGCCAGTTCGACCCCAGAAGCGACCAGACCAACCAGGTGTAGCCTGGAATTGGGCTGATGAACCAGGTGACAATGCAAAACCACCATCACCAAGGGCAGCACTATTTCCGGAGAGAGAACCGGGCCATACAGTGAAACTACAATGGTTTTGGAGTGTAAAAAGGGTTGCTGAAGAAAATATCATCCCTGAAATTGTTATTGTAAGGAAAGTTGAGTCAATGTTATTCGAATCAAAAGCTTAAAGTGGAAATCAATTTTTAAGTGGAAAAGATAAGTTTTTTGTTATATAAACTATCAAAAGAAGCAAGAAAAAAACAGATTACAATACACTTAAGTTCTCATGCAAATAAAGGGAAGACATTTACCAAAAGAGAAGAGATTCAAGAGATAAAGAAGATAAACCCCAGAGGAAATCGCCATTATTGTTTTGTGAGGAAGGAGAGGTTGAGATAAATGGGAAGGATTTGGAGTGATTTGATGAAGGAAATTGGGATGGTGAGGGAAGTTAATATAGAAAGTGATTGTATATATATTAGGGTCCACTTCCTCTACTCCATAAATTTTACTTGCAAATATATGAAATTTCTCCTATCTTTCCGTGAACAAGCTTAGAATTTTTTGTTACCTTTGAGAGAATTGAGTAAATTATCAAAATTTTTACATTTATGTTTGATTTTATGATTTATATTTGAAACACAATTAGTGTAAATACACTATCAGTTATTTCTACAATGACATTTCATAAAAAATTAATTTTAAATATATTTTTAGAATTAAATGCATTTACTTTTTAAAATTTTAAAAAATTTTAATGAATTCACTAACAATTATAATATTTATACACTAACAATATATTAAATATAAACTCTTTATATTAATTTAAATAATAAATCAAATATAAAATCTATAAATTCATGATACATGATACGTAAAATATTAAATTTTTTTTTATTTAGTTGTCATGGTATGCATAGATTATGCATGAAAACTGTCATGTATAATTGGACAGTGTTACACACGCTAAATCACTACCATATTCCACTAAAAAATTAAAGTTCAAATTATTTATATAAATAAACCAAAAAAAAAGTACTTGTCAATTCACTAATCTCATGACATAATTATAAGATTATCAATTTCCTAATCACCTTAATTGTACAAATTCATATCAATTTAGACTTTCGAAAACACATGCACTATGTTTTACCACTTCATAGTTTGCTATAGAAAGTGTTATTTAAGCAGTTTTATTCAAAAGAAATATGAGAGGGAAGATGGCTGCACGTGCATGAGAAGCATCAAGTGATGCAGAGGGAAAGGAGGGTTTAAGATTCAGGCTACTGTTGATTGCTGTTACTGCTGATCATGGTGTCGTGAAGCAACAAAGAGATTTGATCCCCCGGACGTGGCCAATATGGGCACAACCTCCGATTCTCAACACGCCCTTTCCCACTTAACCACCACCACCACCACCAGCTTGCTTCCACACTTCCACCATTCCCCATAATCTCTCTTAATTGATCGATATTCACCCTCTTAAAGACCATTTAATTACTATTTATTAACTGATGATGTCATATGAATTCTTTGTCCCTATCTTTGCAATTGATTGGATATTTTATATTTTGCAATTTGTTTCTTTATTAAAGATCGATGCATTGTCTACGAGTGAATTCGAAATAATTTATATAATATATTTTTTTAATTAAATATGTAACAGAGTATGGAGATTCAAGAGTAGATTAGAAGCTTAGAATATATATATATATATATATATATATATATAGATGCCTTTTGTTTGGATACTTAAATTTGTTAATTTACTTAATTTCAGACACATGAGAAATCCACAGCCAGAGTCTGGTCCCCTGTTTTTCCACCATGAACGTAGGGTTAGTTCTTGGTGACCAATCGAATTCATTTCCTGCAACGCTTCTATGACTATCGTCTGTGGTCACCATGTTTTTAATTGACATTAGGACCAACCATCTAACTTTTATGTAGTTTTGGCTTTTTTCAATATTGTTTACTATGATTTTCAATTATTCAAGCACAACACGCTATCTTCAAACTTCAAAGCAACAGGTAAAACTACCCGTCACTTCATATTCGCATTATCTTTGTAATTAATTGTCTTGATATACTTTTTTAAAATATTAATGATGATATTTCCTGCAATTATTTCATGGATAATATATATTTTTTAATTTTCCTTCAATCCAAACAGTAAAAACTTCTCTACCGTCCAGTTTTCTATTTTTCTTGCTTCATTTGGTGGAAGTTGGAACCCTTGCAGCCGACCAAAGCTTGTCCGTTATTGGTTGAATCGATTATTAAACTATTAAGGCCTTTATGTTGAACAAACCCAACATCAAGTAAAAAACAACAAAATCTACGCTTTTGAAGACACAGCCATGTTTGTTTTTGACAAGGAGACAGCAGTAAATCCGAACTGTGTATTTTCGTTTAACTGCCCTATAATGGCCATGTGATGGACGATGGACCTGGCCCACAAAGACTATCAATGGGCGACCTGGTTATGGATTTTAAAGAAGCTGATTCTTAACTTGAATGTATGCTTTCTTGTACAAGTCAGCCCAGAGAGTTGAGTTGAGATACAATAAGCTCCCAGGTGGCCTCCTACAGTCCTACTGACCAGTATACTGTGCCCTGTTTATACTTTGGAAGCCTCACTCATGACTTTCGAGGTGCTATTTATCCTCCATTACAGAATGTCATAAGAGGGCCAAAAAAAAATGAAAGACAGAAGTTCAAAAGAAATAAAAACCAACATAAAAATCACAGCATAGAGAATTCAAGGGCACTGCGATCAGGTTCAAAGGCAAAAAATTCATTGTGACTTGCGATTAAAATGTCTTATAATGAACAACTATTCATCTCTTGCTCCTTTATGGTAAGACGGCAGTTTAGCAGAGCTTAGAAATGGCATTGGGAGAATTTTATAATGAGTAATGTATGCAAGATATATACAAGCTAAGCTTACATATATCATATACAACTTGGAAGAAAATGTAAGATAAGTGAATAAGGTAGTCAGGGAAATTATCACTGTAAAATTCAGTAAGGACTTCAAAGTAGAGAGTTGTTCTTCAGTTCTTTGGTTAGGGAAATGGCCCTTAGATTTGAAATCTGAGAGCAACTGGTCCTTAAGCTTGAATGTATCAATTAACCAAGCGGCAGCCTCTACATTAGATGCTGGGATTTCCTTGACAGGGATACGTCGTATGTGAATGTGAACCTCTGATGGATCCACACCAAACACATTGTCCAGAAAGAAGGGGCATTGATGCTTATAAGCGATACTCAAATCATAAACTGCAGTTAAATAAGAAAATAAATGAGTATAAATTTTACAAAAAGCAGTATCAAGAGAAAATGTGGAAAAAGAAAAAGCCAAAAGAAATAGAAGCCATGAATTACTCATCCATCATATTCACAATGCCGGCCAAAAAGTTAATCCTGGACTGTATAGTCAGCAGCGGTATGGAAAATCTATGTTGGTAAGACGACATCAGGCAAAATTAAAGCATTTAAATTACTTTAAATGAACCTGCATCCAAAGAGTCCCGAAGTGTCTCTAGGCAAAGGCAAAATCCCCTTGTTTTCGGTAGCAGCACGTTTGTCAAAACTGGCAATCCAACTTCAGCTGCAAACTTTTGACTCTTCCTGCATTTTTCTTCACTGCACCAAATGGCGAACGAAATGTTAATGCGTGTCATGGAAAATTAACGAGTAGTAGGTTTTTTCTAAAAATATTATCATTTGTAAGTTTAAAATAATACAAAAACTGAAATAAGATGCAAACAACATTTCACAGACATGTATTCGCAAAGATGGAACCTAAATAAAATAGCTCTATTTATTAGAAAGTTCTGCAACTGCAACACCGAATAATTATAGTAAGTTTTTTTTATCAAGATATTTGGTAGGAAGTCATCTTTCAGATGTTTGATTCATTTATAGAAGTATCAAAGTGAGCATAGAAGACAAAAGGAATAGTGAAAGTACGTAAAATCAGTTCCTTCAGGGAAAAGAGCAAGCCATAAAGGATCTCGAGGATTCTTAAAAGTTGAAAGCATTTGGTGCAGGACATTTTCATCAGTTTCCCACTTCCTTTCTACTGAAATGAACTCCAAGATGTGAAATCCCCAACCAAGGACGGGTAGCTTCAGCAGGCTGCTCTTAAGGATATACTTGATGTAGCCCAGGCAACCCTTTCTCATTGCAAGATCCCATAGGTACATCCAATCAACTTCAGTTCTATGATTGACAATAAGTAAAACACGTTCCTTTTGTGGAACATTATCTCCTGAGAAAACCACTTTAGTCCTGTTTATTTTTTCAAAAAGAAAGGGCCACAAAGCTAGCCATAGGCCGAAGAAGAAGGATGTTGCCTTCCTACAATAGTGTAAGTTGAGAACTCTTAATAGGACAGCCGCAGGTCCTAAATAAGCTAGCAACATAAAAGCAGTAGAGAGGAACACCACTAGACATATCAGACCCCTCAAAAGCCTAAAAGGAGTCAAAGGGCGGTGCTTTAATTTATCATCAGATTTGAAGGGCCGACAAACTTCCATCTTGTTCTGGCAGCCGTCCAAAGACTCTCCCACCTATAGACAGACAGCTGCAATAATGGCCTCAGAGTCACTCAAGTTGTTCCTAGAGTTTAATGGCAGAGAAGAAAACTAATAACAAGTGAAATGAAAATCCATGACAACTCTGAAGAACAAAACGCAAATCGGATTCTAAACAATAGGAAAAACATTAACCAAACACGTCATACCACAGACCATCAAAGAGCAGAACTAAAGTGGATGAATCTTTAGAGAAATTAAGCATCTAGGACAATGATCGTCTCTGGCTGACTGATAACTCACATCCTCATAGGAATGACTCCACGCTACTCATTCCTATTACAAGTTGCAAAATGGTATATTTTGAATGGAGTAACAGCTTGATGTTGCTAATAATCCTTCCAAGGTTACAGCCAGATAGGTGTACTACTGTGGATGAGTACTCAACTACAGTTGTGAAGAATATAGACATGAATAAATCACTAACCAGAAAAGCTAAAGACAAACTAATTTCTTGAAAAAAAAAATCTTCAAAAAGATCTTGACCAGCAATAGTTAGCCTTTGAAAACAAAAGATATTCATAATGAATGTGTGGCCTCAGAAATTGGACCGTTTACCCCAGCTTTATCTTCAAAAGCTGGAATTTTACTACATTACCACAAGCTTCCAACTCTTAAAACAGATTCATTACTTTAATTGCAAGTAACAAAAAGAAATTACTAGAATTATCTGATTCTCCTTGCAAGTCAAGGCATTGGAATTAGCAGTGAGAAGCTTTATGTTCTGTCAATTCTAAGTAAAATTGTTTCCCTTTGTCATTTTCTGATCATCTTTGAATGAAGTCAGGCCAATGATAAGGCATGGCACAGATTTGGACATATATGTAACAGTAGCAGTAAAAAACAAAAAATATAAAATATTTGCAGATATTAACTCAAGTGGCATGAAGTTATTTACTAGACAACCTTTCTAGTATATTAATTATTGTGTTCTTTAATTGTATTCATTGCAATTCGAAATTTGTCCATTTGCAGAAAATCTGAACTATAATAAATCAAGAAAGAAAAAGAAAAACATATGACTCTGTCCCAAGCAACGGATTGAATTTGTGAAATTAACACAGATTATGCAGAGACAAAGATAACCCAAATCTTAAAAAATTCAAAAAATCTTATCAAATCAACAAAGACCGTAGATGAATGAATGGCAATAAAACATGAAAAAAGGAAAGTTAAAGAATCAAACTTAATAGTGCCTCCCTCGCGTCTTGAAAAGAAGAAACTGGACAGAATGGAGAAAGAGATAAGATAATGATTAAACAAAAAAAAAAAAGTCTAAATCCTCGGGGTCAATGAAACAGGGGATTGCGAATGTAAAGATTTGGAGAAGGCAAGGCAAAGGGCAATCATCAAATCTAGAAAGCGGTCGGGTGACGACGTTTTTGGGGCTGAAATCAGGAAAACGTGGAGGAAGAGACTTTGACTTTCGGCCTTATTGTTGGAACATTAAACTCGTAAAGTTGGTGGAAAACCAAAACCAGGCTTCGGCCTTGGCTTTGATGGATTGGTTTTGTGGGTGAGAGTTCCAAAGCTGTCATCAATGCTTGCGATGGCAGCAACATTCCTCTGGAACTGCTTTCCGTTCCAATCAAGGGTTCTATTGGATGTGGACTTCTTCCCTCATTCATAAACCGTCAATTGGCCCATTCACCTGCCCTACTACATTTAAAGCCCATTTTTATATTTTCACCAAATTAACACTCCAATTCCTCCTATAGTATTATTTATAGTGAAATTAATCAAATTATCTCAATAATAAATTTTTTTATAACATTAAAAAATTTTATTAACAATATCAAAATATTTTTCATTATTTTTATTAGGTTTTTCGTACAATAATTTTTGTTTTAAAAGAAACAAAATCTATAAAAAAAAAAAAATAGATTCATGAAGACAAATTGGTAATTCGTATTAACTAATCATAATAATCATGTTATATAAAAAATAAAAAAAGTAAAATAATAAATTTATAAATAGATTGATAAGAACATAATTATGTAAAATTTTAATTTTTTTAAATTTATATCATATTTATATCATGTTTTAAAAATTATTAATTTAACATTTAATGCAATTGAATGTGAAGGAAGTGAACATGAGATTGCATCTTATATCATTCATAAAATGATAGGCAATCTGATCATGATGTAGTTGGAGTTATAAATGAGAATCTAAGATGTGGCAGCTGTCCCCACCGGTCTTTGTATACCAACAAAACATATGTAAATTGGAAAAAGAAACAAGAATTTTATGTGCTTGATTTTTTTCAACCTTAACCCTTTATTTTGGGTGTTGAACAGCTGTATATTCTCCGGTGCTAATCTTGACTACCAAACCCCGATGATCAGGGAAATCTCAAGTCTATACATTTTTCTAGCTCACGTGTTAGAAAAAGAAGAATTCTTTTCAACTCATGTGCATTGCTTCTAGATAAAAAGTACTAACGTCATCGCTGTCGGATTAGGTTGAGACTTGAGATAATTGCTGACAGACTTATTTTCTAGAACTAACAACTTCAAACATGTTTTATCATTTATATTCTTTTTTTTAAGATAATACAAATTAAAATTATATACTGCTTGATTCTAATTGAATAAATTGATATACTCTAATGCTAATTTAAACTTTTATTGTTCTAAAAATTAAATGTTTTATAGTTTTTTTATATATTTATATCCATCTATATGGTAATTGTTTTACTTTTTACTTTCAAAAAGATAACCATATTAATAACAATCAAGCATAGCTTTAAATTTTTTTGGTACAATATATTATTATTCTTTTTCTTATATGATTGGGCAATGCAAGCTATTAGTATATTTTATAAGGTTCTTAGAACAAATAGAATGGTATCTTGTAAGAAACCGAAGATTGATGTATACTTGAAATGTGAATTCTTAAAGGAGGTTTTGTTGCTTTGTCAACTTCATAGAAAAGTAGCTAGGTGAGAGAATGAGCTGCCACGGACAATTAAAAATCTAAAGGTTCAAATCTTTGATTTCTATGATATCAAGGATTGCATGAAACGTTTGAAATTTTTATATAAAATAATTATTTTACGTCAATATATATTTTTATTACTATTATGTTATATAATTATATTATTAAAAAAATCATATATTTATTATATATCACATGTGATAATTAAAATGGTGATTGTTAGGAGTAACAACAAATTGAGATGGAAACATTATTCGATTTTATATTCATAATATTTAAACTCGATTTGACCTAATAAATTTATTTTATTTTTATATTTGAACCCAACTCAATATTATATAAAATTATACTCAACTTGATCCAACAAAATTTTTTTATTTTTATACCCAAATTTGACTTGATATTATATAAAATCATACTTAAATTGATCCAAATTGAAATTAATAAAATATTTTTAATATAAAAATATTATTTTTAAAGTAAATATAAAATTAAATAAATATATAAAATATATAAATATAAAATTAAATAAGTAATTTTAAAAATAAAATCCTACCCTGATTTTTTTTGTTAATATTATCCAATTTGATTCAACCAAAAATTTGATTAAAAAAAAAAAAACAACCTTATGGGATTGGATCGAAATCCATCAAAGACAGATAAGGTTGCCATCTCTAATGGTAGTTTGTTTCAATAAATTTATACATATGATATATAATAAATAATTAACTTTTTTTAATAACATAATTACATGTTCATGATTTTAATAGAAAAAAGATGTATGTTAAAGGGAAATATCTGTTTCATACAATTTTTTTTTTTTGTAATTATATTTATCATGTGGGTTGAACGAGAGAAATAATAGGTCACATGAAATTTTGTAGGAATATTCATACAAATTCGTGGTCATTGTCTCATTGATGTCAATAGATTAATTCATGTTATAAACTATATAAATAACAATAAAACGGCTATATTATTGGTTTATGATTCTCTATAATTTGATTATATTGAATAAAATATTTTTAACGTACCAATATTTTAATTTACTTTTGATAACTTATAAAAAAAAAAACAATAATCAAACAAATATATATGCATTAAAAGAAACAAATCTAATTAAATCACCTAATTCTTATTCATTCATTTATACACAACTTATCCATGTATACAGTTGCAAACTTCACAGATTGGAAGCAAGAAAATCCAAAAATGAGAAATTTTTGCCTATTGATCTCGCTGAACTAAGTATAAACTAAGTAACTATAGAACAAGAACTACTAAAGAAAAAAAAAGTGGCTGAAGAAATTCATTCACTCTTTATTTCAGACTCCGAGCTACCAAAGGAACGAGCTGAAGAAGAAGAACCACCATGTCTGCTAATGTCATCGGCATATTTCCTTCTCAAATGCCTCTTAACGTAGAAATCGAGGAACAGCCAAAGCGTTACGCCGTTGAGTACAGAATTGAAACCCCAAGCTCCCATTCCATTGCACCCACCTTTTAGAAAATGCAGGAAAAGAACCCCAAAATGGCAGACCAAGTTACACCCCAGAAACACCACCTGGCAATTCAACACGAAAGGGAAGCAGGCACTTGGCAGCCCAATTGCCGTCCAGAATCGGTACCCATATACGACTGAGTATAATAAAGTGGCTAACAAAATGGCTAAGACTTGAAACGATTGGGAGAATTCCAGCCAGAGAAAAGACATGCATAGGAGAATTGATTGGTTAGAGAGGTGAAAGAAAGTTAGTTTACGTTGGCGGAGGATGGTGAAGAATGTTCGGAAGAGGTGGAGGAAACGGGAGAGGTAAAAAGCGTATGACCAGAAGAACACGCGCCCCGAAGGGCGCGTTCCGAGTGGGAAACAGAGGAACCATTGGAATGGAGTGGTGATGGTTTTCGTGCGGCCCCAGAACCAACGCGTATCACGAATCTCGGCGGCCGCGGAGAGAAGGGTGCCGACGAAAATGACGGCGGAGATCAAGGAGATGCAAAGGCAGTGGATGGCTGGGATTGGTCCGAGAGGGACACGCCGGCGTTTGGGGAGGACGAGAGAAAGCAAGGCGTGGAGGGTGGTGGCGGCGACAACGTAAACGGCGATGGAGGAGAAGAGGAAGGACCACGTGGAACCAAACGATTGGGTTTGGCTCCAACGGAAGTTCACGATCGACGGATGCTCTGATAGCCAATATTTCACGGATTGCATCATGACCAAATCTATTTTACATTAAACCCACCAAAAAATAATCAATCCTTTTTGTTTCTGTTTGGTTGCGATTTTTGGAAGACTCAGAAACGGAAGTGAAAAGAAAAGAAAGAAAATGAATTAAAGTTTGACAGTTGGGATTAAGAAAAGAATGGCAATCGCAAATGACAAAGAAAAATGAAGAACGGCGCAGGCTATTTGTACCTTTCAGGAGACAAAACAGCAGTTGAAGAGATTGGGACTTTGGACGTCAGCGGACCATTCTTCCGGTTCCAAAGTTCCAATCTTTTAAAAGACAAGGAAGAAAATGTGAAGTAAAATAATAGGATTACCCAGTCTTCCGCCCAACTGTGGACAGTGGACCTAAGGTAGCTGGGTTGAAGGGTTACGGCCTCTTCCTCATTGGGCATACCAATTTTATTTCAGTAAAAACAAAATTTTTACCATTAAAAATAGAGTAATAACGAAATTTTACCAAGCATAATTTTTAATTTAAAATATATATTAGATTTTACTTTCTTTTTTTTTGGTTCTTTGTAGGAGCTGTTAATTTGGGTTAAATTAACTGATCCTAAATATGCCACAAATTTTCAAAGGATTTTATTGCTTTTTTTTTTATAACATAAAAGTTTATTTTTAAAAATAAAATTGTATTTAATTAAGATTAAAAAATTATTTTTGACAATTTTAAATATATAAATAAGTAAATTGTTATAAACTGCCATCATTTTAAGTACAATAGAATGATGTTGTGCAAAACTTCTAATTATGACAATAGAATGATGTTATGCAAAACTTCTAATTATGGAAGTAAAATTTTTAATTATTTGAATTCATAATTTAACTCAATACATTTTATAATCATATTTAAAATGTAATATTTAATAAAGGTAAAAAAAATTTAAAAAATCAAAAATCGATTCAAAATTATAGTGTTTAGTTCGGTTTGAATTGATTTTTTTTAATCGATTCAAATTATGTTTAGACATTAAATATATATATTAGATATGGATCGAATTTCAGATTGAAAGGTAAAAAATCAAAAGAAAAAAATGAACTAAATTATATATTTCTCTTAATTTTATATATATTTTAAATTTTTATAAAATAAAAATAATAATTTTATATCAAATTATATTTAAATATATTAAAATTTTATATTAAAATAATATATAAAATTTAAAAATTAATAAATCAAATCAAATCGAATAGATAAAATTCAATTAGTTTGATTTGAATATAATGAATATTCGATTCATATTTGAAACAAAATTTAAAATTTCATAATATTATATAATATCTTAAACAAATTAAATCAAATCAAATTCAATCCAATCCAAATCGTTATCATTTATAATATTATTTAATAAATTTAAAATTTAAATTCTATCACTTATAATTCTTTCACTATACCTAAATCATGATTTTTTTTGTAAAAAAAAAGTATTAATTATTTTTACTTTTGTGAAAGTAAACACATTTTAATAATTGATGTGTTCAAACTTTGTAAAAAAAAAAAAAAACCACATGATTTTGTTTTTTTCTAAAACAAACCAAAAGGTATTAAAGGAATGGATATAAATTATCCTTTTTTTTGTACATAATGAATTATCCTACTTTGACTAAAAAGAAATGAACTATTCTTCTAATGGTTAAAATGAGCATTCTTTTTATGACCAAAAAAAAAAAAAAGATAATATGAATTGTCTAGTGTAGCATAACATAAATTTTTGTTTTGGTTATAGAACATAGAAATTCCAGAGTGATGGATGGTGATTATTACTTGGATGAATAAACTTATCCATTAATGACTAGCTAACTTTTTTTGACAATTGCATGGCTACCACATCACATTTCTTGAATTTAATTGCAGGTTGAATATTGAATGTTACAAAATCTTAGAAAAGCTTGAAATGAATGTTCTTAGGCTAAATCAAGACCAATTCATCCACGCACTCACTCTATTTTGATTGTCGACTCTCATCTAATGTATTGTCGAAGAAGTGATCATAGTATTTTTAATATATTATTTTTTAATATATTCATCATCATTATATATGTGTAAAAATTCACGTATAAATTTTGAAAATTATATTTTTAAATAGCGATTAAAATCGTATTAAAAAAAAAAAAAGAGAGAGATTGAAAACTTTGTATTTCGGTCTAACTCAATCACTTGAGTTAATAATATTATAATTTTTTAAATTCCATTTTTATATCTTGGAAATATGAATTAAATCAATCAACATCTAGAATTAGAATGGACAACGAATTTATAAGATGCTAATTAAGGCAGAGCATTGTCTTCTCATTCTAGAGATGAAAATATGTCTATTGTCATTATCCTTCATTTTTCAAAACATTGTCACTTATTTTGATTTGTGTGTGCATCAAAATCACTTAAAAAAAGAAAGAAAGAAAGAACCAACACCCTTGGTTTTTGGCATTGACCCATATCATTATTTTGCAATTCTTGTTGAAAATGATATATGCTAACTATTACCATTATGTACTCACAAATGGATTTTTTTTTTTTTGTTAATATGAGTTCGATTTTTGTAGAGAACATTTTGAAAATAAAATTTTAAATGCATTAAATTAGAATAAAAATATATTTTTAAAATCATGAAAAATAATAAACTTAAAAAAATTTGAAAATATCATTTATCGTATTAAAAAAAAAATACCTTTAACATTATAATTGTTATAATAACTTTATTTGATTTTTTTTTTTGGTCATAAACTTTAAAATTAGTATACACGACAAAGATTAAAAAATTGTAATTTTACAAGAGGGGACAAGAAGTAAATAAATTATATGGGATAAAGTATAAGAGTAATACTTATCTTTCGCATACCAATTGACAAAATCATTGATGCTTATTTTGACATTAATTGTTTATAATGTAATATTAACGTGATGTAATCAGTGACAACTTATCATCTCAATAGTGATGAAAATATGCTCCAAATTACACGAGCTAATATATTTTGGTACTTAAAAGTTACAAATTTACTTTTGGCCCACGAAATGTGCTAATATTTTTTCATTTAAAATTATTAAGATTAAATTTTGAATTAATATTTGATATATTATGAATATAATTTTTAATTTTATAAATTGAATTACAAAAGGACACATTGATTTTTAATTTATCATAAAAGATATGTATTATATTACTAATACACTTATAAAATTAAAAAATTTTACTAATAATAAATGAAATAATTATTTTAAAAATGTAATTATTAAATTAAAAATTTAATATTTTATTAACAACATCACGATTATAAGCTATTAACCGAAAATTTAGAGACACTCCAATTACGTGCAATGGGGCTTGTACCTCACAGAAATTGGGCTCACTATTAAGAGCGTTAAGTCTACTAGAACTAGTCCATGCGGGGGTAGCGCGAGATTAAAATGAAAAGATTTTTTTTTTATTTCTAAAAATAAAAAAAAAAGTCAATAAGCACGTGCGATTTATCAACAGTCAAACAGTCAAGAGAAATTAACCAATAGCTACGTGCCACGTGGATGACAACGCCATTTCCCCTTCCCCAACGAAGAAGATTCCCCCCACTCTAAAACGCAGGAATAGGAATTATAGAAAAGGATGGAAATGATCTCTCCGTTGTAAATGCGTCAATAATAATTACTTATTATTGTCAAAAATTTTTTTTTTACGTTTTTTCTGCGATCCTCAAAATTTTCTTTTGACTTTTCTGGATTGGTCGATTGCCAGATCGATAGGTCCTTCTATCTCCTCAATCTCTTTGAAGGTCAGTAATTTCCTGTTTCTCTCTTTCTCTCTCTCTCTCTCTCTCTTTTTATTTCTTTTTAATTCTTGATTTGCTTTCTTCGTTTTTCATTATTTGATAATGTTAACGTTGAATCCCGATGCGATCTTCAAATATTTCTCGTTGATTAATCATTATGAATTTTTTTTATATTTAATGACGCTAATTTTTCATAAGAGATCTGATGTTTTTTAAATTTGAGAATATCTAATTTCTCAAAAAATTAAAGGAATCTTTAGGCTTTGATATTTATATGAATTCAGCCAAAATTTAGGAAAATATAGTTATTATGTATTCTTACGTTGAATTAAAAATTTCTGGTGAAGTTGAGATATAGTGAATTTTATATGTGATTTGATTTTTATAGGAATCTGAGTTTTGGAAGTCTAAGAAATGGCAAGTGGGTTTGGGGAATCAGCGAGCCATTCGCTCCCAAATCCATCTTGCTCCAGCAGCAATGCTAATGGTGATGCTGGTAATTTTGAGTGCAATATCTGCTTTGACTTAGCTCAAGACCCCATTGTCACCTTATGTGGTCATCTTTTCTGCTGGCCTTGCCTTTACAAATGGCTTCATATTCATTCCCGTTCTCAAGAATGTCCTGTTTGTAAGGCCCTTATTGAGGAAGAAAAATTGGTCCCTTTGTATGGAAGGGGAAAATCATCTAGTGATCCTAGGTATAAATCTATCCCTGGTGTTAGTATTCCAAATCGTCCAGCTGGACAGAGACCTGAAACGGCTCCTCCACCAGAACCAAATCAGTTTCCCCAAAATGGGATTGGATTCATGGGAGGGTTGGGAGGTTTTGCACCAATGGCAACAGCTAGGTTTGGGAATTTCACACTGTCTGCAGCCTTTGGTGGTCTTATCCCATCATTGTTTAACCATCAGGTCCATGGGTTTCCTGATCCGGCTATGTTTGGTCCAGCTGCTGGGTATCCATATGGGTTTTCAAATCCATATCATGGTGGCCATGCTCATGGATATCATCATCACCATTATCATCATCATCACCATCGTACTGCTCAAGGCCAGCAGGATCATTATCTGAAGATGCTGTTTCTATTTATCATTGTTTGTGTTATCGTTGCAATGATTTATCAATAGAACAAATCTGCTATCAGAGCTTAAATTGCTAACTTATTTTAGGAGTGTCAATCTGATGTGTAAATCTAAGAGTGCATTTTCATTTTCTTTCCTTTTTTCTTTTTGTTTCATGATTGAGGAATTGTTTATATGGTATGGTTGCCATTAATATGTGGAATGCAGCTTGTCTGCTTTAATATTTATGCATTGGAAAATCTTTTGCTCTCCTCTATGTTTGAAATGCATCATTGTGTTTTAGCAACTGCAATATCCTTTGGTTCACTAATTTGATTTTTTTTTTTTCTGTGCGTCTTGGCCTTTTCTTATAATGGTTTCAGCGGAATTATTGTCTTGAGAGTAGGCTCACGGATTTGCAGCTAAATTTTCCTAATTCTAGTCATGATATCTTCAAGTATTGGGTAAACATAAAATGCAGTAGTATTTTATGTGCCTAGCTATTTTGTAAATTAGAACTTCTTGCAATTTGAATAGGTTTTGTCTTGGCCGTCTATATTTCATGGTTACTGGTTAGTTAATGTGTCTATGAGAGGGGATAGCTAAGTTGGATTAGATGGGTGCTCAAATAGTGTTAACGTAGGTGGACTTGTTTCTCTCTTTAGTTAAAGCTTTGCTATATGCATTTTTCATAACCATACTCATAGTTCTGTTTCCACTGCCCTTTCCCCTCTCATTTGAGTCTTTATGAACAAAGGATTTTATTTATGGAGTGATAATAAAATGGCCCCCTTTCTGGGTCTGAGTGACAGAGCCATTCTTGTGCTTGCTTAGCTGTTTATGTAAATAAGTAACTAAATGTTTCTATTCTTTTAGTGATTATAGATCAATATACAGCCTGAGTTTGCAACCCAGGTTGTGATTCCAGTGTAATTGTGCATGGACTATGAATATCAACTTGAGAGATAGATACAACATTGATTGCTTTGGTTAATTGGGCTTGTGACTCTCATTCTTGATTCCAGATTATTATTTGTTTATTGAATTATTAAATTTGCAGAGGGAGGTGACTTTTTAATTGAATTTGTTTGTTGTAGCAAATTAGGTTATATAGCTTTTCTTTATGTTACAACTTTGATGTTATCTTGTATTTTAAACAGGAGGGGTATTTGATGGTAAATGTAGAAAACTAGTGTTCATTGTGCTGACAATACATATTGGCTTGCTAGCTTCTTTTTGCCTCTATCTCTATGTCAATCCATAGCTACTTCATAGTGGAACATAGAGACGGATATACTGTGGGGGCAGCTGTCCCTTTGAACTATCAAGTTTGAATCAGCAGTTATGTTACACTAGATGATGTTGTATGACCTTCCCTGTTGTCAGCACTCGTTGGTTAGAACATAGAACCCTACCACTTCGAAAAGGAAGCACCATCTTTTAGTGCATCCTCATATGTCCTGTGCGCACACGTGCCATAGCTTTTTGTTGAAGTTGGCTTTGTTGGTACTAGAAAAGGATCTATATGCTCAAAATGATGGTGGAGTCTAGTGTTGGTTTCATCCTTTAAACTACTTTCGGACAACCATCACATGATTTTGCTGTCCTTGATAGACAGTGATTAAGGATCTAAATGAAACAATGCAAAAGTTAAAAACGGAAATGAAATCAAAATAAAAGATTAAAGATTATAGTTGAAACTTCCCCTTGTAAGTTTTGTAGGTTACAAATATAATTTAGATACTTATGGGCTTGCATTGTTGATATATGTTTCTTTTATGACATGTGGTCCTAAAGTGCCTTCGTTTAATCAGCCTCCTAGAGTGATCAGATCCACCAGTTTCAAGCTTTTCGTGTTGATTGTTGTGGCCCTTAAGTTCGTAGGACAAAGCTTTAAGCACATGGGTTGCTCGGTCTAGTGCTTGGAGCCTGGTCGTGCAGATTTAAAAGTTTTTCCCTTCCTAACTTCGTCCAACTCTAGGCAGTGGCACATGGTACGAAAATGGGCGCCATTGTTGTGCGTTACGAGCTGTGCATAGGGTCAGGCTGTTTCAGTGTCTCTCTAGTATTAAGTGACAATCACTTTCTTTAAATCAAATGTGTCACGGTTCCGCTCTGTGACATAAGATCGAGAACTTTTTGCCTAGCTAGTGCGCCTCAAATGGATAAGCTGTGGCCTATGGTTACGAACTATATAGCATGTGCTAATATTGTGGACTGCACCAGACAACCACCATTCCTCGTCAAGCTTTGTTACTTGTACCTTAACCAGGATTAATATAAGTAAATGAATTTTGGGCTCAATGAATTTTCCGAGACAATTCTCTTCATTATCTACGCTTATGAAAATTTTGGAGTGTTGCAGAGTTCAATGCTTTTCATGATCCTCATAACAACAAAAAGAAAAGGAAATTGAATAAACTTCATTGTTAGTGTATGAAAACCTATGTGTTTTTTTTAGGATAAATTGATAGATAAATGTAGTAATTTGTATATTTATATTGTATTTGTTTCATAATAAATGTGTAAAATATAAAAATTATTAAGTCACAATTAATATTAATATGTTAAATATAATTTTTTTTATTAAAATTTTAAATTATATTATTTTTATATATTTTATATATTACTTTTATGTTATATTATTATTATCATATTTAAAATTATTGGTCTATCGATAAATTATACTACATTTTTGTCGAGAAAACATGATTTTTTTTTTATATCTACCTTATCAGACTAAATCGAAACGAGGAACACGCAAAAAGTACAACTCTAAAAGTTTTAATTTCTTCAAAGGGACCCATTCAACCAGTTCTTTAATTGTACTGAACTGAAACACCGAGTGGACATGTAGTTTTATTTTACTTTGGGATGACTTGGCTCCAAAAATGGACAAAAGGGTTTGAACTTGATGCGTGTGCAGCTCATTCAAGCCGACTTTTATGACCACCCTGGTTTTGGCATTGTCGGTGGCCTTGGAATCTGCTGCCAGTGTCCCAAAGCATCTAAGTTCCCATCTTCAAATTCTTTGTTTTGTGTTTCATCCACACAATAATCTCATAATTGCCATGAATTTCTTGGGAGTTGGCTGTTGACATTGTACCTCTCAGGGATCTTTGCCTTTCCCTGTTTGTTTCATGCATAACTCTATTGCTGGGGTATGTTACGGGGATGGGTCGATGATATGATTAGTGATGATGGCTAGGATATGGGGGACTGAGTTGCTCTCCATTGCCATTTCCCCGACTCCACTCTTCCATTCCTATGTCAAATTATGTTGATGACAGAAAATTATCACCAAAAAGTTCAGACAAACCTTAAAAAAGAATCTAATAATAATAATAAAATTTTCCATGTTTTTACATTAGTGCATGATAGCTGATATATAGCTTAAAGTCAAATAGTAGATCCATTAAGCAACTTGTTTTGAATGGTGGGTCCAATATATCCTCTTCAAATCTCTCTAAAGGGTAAGGATCAACCAAGATTATAATTTATGAAACGATTACTGTAAGATTAAAACTTCATTCACAAATGTCAGGGTTTAAAAATTTTCACAACAAACAAACAAGTTATTCTATATAGTTATAGCCAATTGCAGGGAAGCATATATAAAATATATTATCTTCAATTACTTGATTTAGTGATCAAAACAATTTTAAAAAAAATATCAAGTTGAAATTTTTCTTTCATTTTAATGTAGGGCTATGCTCTCTTGAATGACAATATATATATATATATATATATAACATTGAATGATAAATTTAATCAAAGAGAGTTCCCAAGTCATTGAAAATGTGAGTGAAAACAGATTTCATTTTTTATGGAAGGTAGCAAATACATATAGAAGAGAGCATACTTTGTCACAAAGCATGAATTTCTTTTGCTGGTTGCCCAACCATACATATCTGAGATTGCGATTGTCCAACATATCTAAAGAGTTAATTTCTAACGATGAGGAACCATCAACAACCGTGTTACGTGAACAAAGTTTACGACTTTAAAGTTTACGACTTTTAAAACTTTCTTTTTTCTTTTTCCTGGGATTTTCTTCTTGGAATATATGTAGAGTTCACTCTTTGCTCTTCAATATTTTACTTTTTTTCTTTTACTTTTTTTTTTTTCTATTTCCTTCTTGAATGGTCACTATTAAAAAAAGTAGAGTGCATAACCTCTCGTTGTGATTCAAATTTTAAGTTTATATAATTATTTTTAAAAAATAATATTTAATAAATATTAAATTTAAATCTCAATATCTATAATTCATGCCCTTATCTTCAAATTGAGTTTTTTTTTTTTATTTTATTTTTTTATTATGAAAGAAAACATCTCTCTTTTTCATTTCCCCTTTCTGTATATGTGGCAAAGATGCTTTCTTTTCCTTAAACTTTAATCAAAATATATGTCCACTGGGTTTCAATTAAAACTATAGAAAAAAAAAAACCAATGATTTGGATAACAAAATACATCATATTCTTAATTTGAAGTTATTGTTAAAATTTAAGCAAAAAAAAAAAGAAAATGAAAGATGATGATACAGCGACCTCATGCTATTGAACAAAAGATTCATTTTTTTAGAACTTGAAATCTCTCTCATTTAATATACTTGATACCAAAATTTAAACATTGGACGGCTACTCTCTTCTTTACGAAAATGCAAGCCTTTCCCAATAGAGTGAAATGAAAAACAGCACTTGAGAGTTGAGGGAAAAGGATGCAGGACCATAGTATGGACCCTTTTGAAATATATATATAAAACTATGAAGAGAACAGCCTTGGCCACCATTTCCAGCTACTCTCCTCTCTTTTTAAATAAAAACAAAATTAAATTCTTGATCACAAATCTAATGCATCCCCTCCAAAATCTTTCTCTCTGGTTGAGTCTTTTCTTGTATTAAAACCCAACAGGGCCAACACCCTTTGGCCTTCACCTTCCCCTTTCAACAATGCCTGAATCACCACTCTTTCACTTTCTCCTCCTCTTAGTTTTCACTTTCTTTTCCTTAGCTGCCAATGCCACCGCCGCTACAAAAATAACCCAACAATTCAAGGAAGCTCCACAATTCTATAACTCTCCGGATTGCCCTGTGATAAGTGATGAAGATGAATCAGATGGTGAAGACTCGATTTTATGCTCGGATCAAGCTGTTCATGTGGCAATGACCCTTGACACAGCTTACATCCGGGGCTCCATGGCGGCTATTCTTTCAGTGCTTCAACATTCCTCTTGTCCCCAGAACATTGCTTTCCATTTCGTCGCCTCCGCCACTGCCAACGCGTCACTTTTACGCGCCACCATCTCCTCCTCCTTCCCTTACCTCAACTTCGAAGTCTACCCTTTTGATGACTCCTCAGTTTCACGCCTCATTTCAACCTCAATCCGTTCAGCTTTAGATTGCCCTCTGAACTACGCTCGAAGCTACTTAGCCAATCTCCTTCCTTTATGCGTCCGCCGAGTCATGTACCTTGATTCCGACCTGGTTCTCGTTGATGACATAGCTAAACTCGCTGCAACTCCACTCGGAGACAACTCAGTTTTGGCTGCACCAGAATATTGCAATGCAAATTTCACCTCCTACTTTACTCTAACGTTTTGGTCAAACCCTTCTTTATCCTTAACTTTTGCGAACCGTAAAGCTTGTTACTTTAACACCGGAGTAATGGTAATCGACCTTGATCGATGGAGAGAAGGAGATTACACGACAAGAATTGAAGAATGGATGGAGCTTCAAAAAAGAATAAGAATTTACGAGTTGGGTTCTTTGCCACCATTTTTATTGGTTTTCGCTGGAAACATAGTCCCAGTTGATCATAGGTGGAATCAGCATGGCCTTGGGGGAGACAATTTCAGAGGTTTGTGCAGAGATTTGCATCCTGGTCCGGTTAGTCTTTTACATTGGAGTGGAAAAGGGAAGCCTTGGGCGAGACTTGATGCTAATAGACCATGCCCTTTGGACGCTTTATGGGCACCTTATGATCTCCTACAAACTCCATTTGCATTGGATTCCTGATGGGAAAATTTTGCTGCTGGATTACATTGGTTACCATCTTTCTCGGAATATGTTTGTCAGCTGAGAAAGGGACGGAATCATTAAGAATAGGATAGATATAAAGATTTAAGCCGAAGATCAGATAGTGGAGCTGGAGGAAGAAGAACTATGGGGAGATTTAAGTTTTTCTTATATATAATATATATAGTACTGAAACAGATATCATATTACACTTCATTTGATTTTTCTTCCTTTTCTGCAAGGTTACATTTCAAAGATGAAGAAATTTGTTGTAATAACAATAAGGAAAAGAAAATCCAGACTGAAAATAGCAATGGGTTCATGATCGTTTTCCATCTCAGGTGTATGATAACTGTAATCAAAATCTGTATAGACAAAGAGCTGTATTTTTGGGTGGCTAATTTTTCATGGATCTTTTTTTGTTTAATAAAAATAAATCTGCCTTGTATATGATCAATTTCATTCTTTCCTTTATTACTCCATAATTCTCATTTAATTTTCTAATATTCCTTAATACAAAATAATTAAGATTTTAATTTTATTGATCATAACATATATAAAAATATTAAATTCATATTTTGATACATGTGTGATATACCCTGGAAACATTGTATGGTTAAAATATTGAATGCTTGAGGTTGAAGATAATTGAAGAAACAAAGACTTTCTTCTTTGGATGATCATTGCATTCAAAGCATTATTATTAGTAGTTACTTTCATTTTTTTGGTAATTTAATGGGTAGAATTTTGTATTTTACATGGAATTGGCTGGAAAGAGATTTTGCCAGCTGATGAGACTCTTTTAAGGAAGAAGAATAAAGTATAGGTTTGACATATATACTATTGAATAAATTCATATTCCTCAAGGATGATTAAATACAGTATATATACAACAGCATATCTTGTCTTTTAATATTCATCAATATGCTTAACAATTAATGCAAAAGTAAAATGTTTGTTATTAATTAAAAGCAAACCATTTTTTTTTTTTTTTTTGTTATCATTATTGGTCTTCAATTCAATTAATCAATTATGTCAACTAGAAGCATTTCCCAAATGGCAGCCTGTTACCATTTTTTCCTTCTTGCATTCTTTTTTTTTTTTTTTAAATTCTAATTTTGCATTATGAAGAAATAGAAATAAAAAATAGTAGTATAATTATTCTAATTGAGAAAATTAAAAAAATAAAAAATGTGTTAGGTAGATTATTATGAAAGGCATGAATATTGTACGGCTGAGATCGGGGAATAAAGCCCAAGCGTGTGGGTCCTACTTTTCTCCACCCTTGATATGTCAGGCCACTTATCCAATTTTCCTTCGAATCAATTTAGAAACTGCTGCCCAAATTTGACTAAAAAATTATCTTATTTTATTTTTTCTGCCTTCTGGACACTTTCTAAAATCAATTAAGTTATTATTATTATTTGTAATAATATTTTATATTAAATATATTAATTAATAGTTAATTTAATAAATTTCTTTCAATTTATTGAAAGAAAATCATTGAATATAATAATTTATAAAATATTTTTAAAACACTTATTAACAAAATCTTTCATTTTTAATATCCGTTTTTAATTCTTTATTTTATCTCCAAAACCAAAAGATTTGAAGCTTGATTAATTTTAAAATGCCACTTGTTAGTATTTTTTTGTAGATGAATATTGGAAATTAGTCAACAATTTTCCTGATTTCCATTCACTAGTCAATTGATTTCGTGGTACTGCTATATTTATGATTTAATTATATCTATGTTACTATTCTACCACAATTCTGAAAGATTTCTGCATAAATTTACAAATCAAGGAAAAATTGGATCCATTTAATATTACATGCTAACTGAAAGAAAAGTTCTTTTGATCTGTAAAGATGGGTGTGTTTGCTAGAATAATTGATAAAAGTTTTTAATCAGAGAGTCAATTTCTTATTTGGCAAGTTGTTGTTTTGTATCTCTTAAAATATAAAATATATATAATTATTTTATTTAGCAATTTATCTCCTTTTTCACGTGGAGGTTCCTCAAATCCTAAGCAACTTCTTGGTTTCTTAGTAGATGGTGTACACCTTTCACTTTACCCACTTTGAATCGAGCTGTATAAGCAGATGAAGCACTCCTTTCTGCATATCAATCTTAAGTTTCGTATTAGAAAAAAAAATATATGCATATGTCGTCAATGAAATAGAATTAGTTTTAACTTCAGTTCTGATAAAAGATGTTTTAACTTCATCTCCAAAGCCTGACAAAAACTACAAGATGTTTAAGCTTCAAGTTTCTGATAAATGGTAACTAAAAATCAAGCGTTTCAGAAGATATACTTAGAAACTTTAAATTTTCTTTTCTGTGAAAAAGATAAATAGGGAGACGATGTGATTTAATCTTTGGTGGGATGAAAAGGGATTTTTTTTTCTTTTCTGATGGAATCTTTGAGCCATTGTTTATTTGTATCCTTAGGTGCAGGCTGCAGCAATTCCAGGATTTGTGAGATCGAGTTATGTTGAACTTAATTAAGATATAAACTACTGCTCTTTCATCTAACTATTCACTATTTAATGGCTACATTTCCCTGCTTGATCACTCCAGACAACTCACCTTCAACTTCGTAGGATTTTCCCAAGTGCCTGTAAACATAGGAACACAGACACATCCACCTCTTCCTCCAAATTTGAGAAAAGGTTTTTTTTTTTTTTTTTTCCCGGCAATTTATATAACCTGAATTTGTAGCTACTTTCTTCCTAGAAAAGTCTCCCATACTTTCTCCTCACATGACCATAGTAGTTGTGATTTCATCGTCAGACCGACAGAAAAGAAAACAGTGGCCAAGAGTGGTGGAAGAAAACGATACTTCCCTGTCGAGATGCCTAAGCTCGGTCTCCAAAGGGTGCCCACCACTCTCAGTCAGATTGAGTAGAAAGAAGAATAGAAAATCCATTTTGGTGGGAAATTCTCACAAAAGTTAAGGTGGATATAGCATTTGTTTTGCACTATTAGCCAAACAAAGATAAGAGGTCTTAAATCAATCATCTGTGCTTTAACAGTGCTGACAGTCAGGGTGACAAAGATAATGATGTTGAAGTTGCCCCATGACAACCGCCGCAATGACAACCGCCGCAATGACAGTCTGATATTTCAATTACCATAATCTTGGCGAATAAGATCCAGTCCTTTTTTGAGTACAAATATTAAAGATGATAAATCGTATTAAGTTAAAAATGAGGTGCTTAAAGATTATTGTATTAAGTATACAGAACTTTACATATGTAACTCCATGGACAGAAACATATGAAACGAGCAGTTGTTATAACCTTTGCCCATCATCAGATCAAAATGAAAAATAGGAGGGTTTGTCATAAACATCATGTATAGTTCACTGAATCTATAAGCCTAAATATCAACTTTTAATTTTGTCCACAACTTTTCTAAATTTTATTCAACAACTATCTGGAGTAAACGAATTGTAAAGGCAGTTCCTTGGCTGATACCTGTACAGAAATTTGCCATCGTGCCAGGTTCTAGGGGCTTAGCAGGACATCTACCTTGGTTCTAGGATCAACGATCACGAAGCATCATTGTAAGCTTCCAGCTGAAGACCATGAAAAGCGGTCCAAAACCCAAATGTAAAACATGGGTTTATTTTTTTTTTCAACCTTCCTCCATAGAGCAGGTTGAAAGTGTAACGCCGTTGTGTCTGATTGCCATCATCACAAAAGATGAACTGGAAGCTCTAAAGCATTTCATGCATGTTCTCTATAAGGAATGCAAGATATGAGCCCAAACCTTGAGTTTCAATGCTAAAGAAGAAAAACAAGGATGGCCAATCTTTAAAATTATTCCCGCAATAAAAGGACGCCAGAAACGCCTTAGTTGTGAGCATCCATCAACACACAGCTTCAGATATGACACTCGAGTGGTCTGATACTATCAAGTCCATTTGCTTCTGTGTGATGACGTCAAGGGACGGATACAAAATATGCATCATGTCAGGAAGCTTGGTGATCTTCTTCATATCTCCACATTTAACATCATCCCGAGCAGCCAAAAGTTTCATAGCTTTTCCTTGATCTCCTTGCTCACAAAGGCTGCTGACCAGTGCAGAGTTGGTGGCTATAGAAGTGGAAACCCCTTCATCTATCATTTTCTTGGCCAAACTAGAGGCTTCACAAGTTTTACCAACTTTAAGATATCCGTCAATCAATGTATAATAGGTAACAGCATTAGGAGCTAACCCCTTCAATGGAAGCTTATTGAAAAGCCTGCGTGCTCGATCTAGATTTCCTGATTTACACAGGCCATTGATTAGAGCATTATAAGTAACAATATTAGGCTTAAGACCCACTTTCAGCATCTCATCCCGTAACCTGAATGCTTCATTGACATTACCAGAGGCTGAATAACCATGAATCAAAGTGGTATACGTAAAATTGTCTGGATTGAATCCTCGTTGTAGCAAAGCTGAAAAAAATCTTCTCGCATCATCAATCTTCCCAGACTTGCACAATCCTGTAAGAGCTATATTATACACCACATTGTTCGGTAGAGAAAATCTTTTGGCATTTTCATCAAGAGTATTTGCAATTTTCTGAATGTTTAGGCAACTAACATCAGTCTTCAAGCTATCCAAACCCATGTGAGCTAACAGAGGATCAGTAACTACCATCTTCTGCAATAGCATATTTGCTTCATCAATCCTGCCAAGCCTGTACAGGCAACTGACTACTTTGCTGCAAATAATTATGTTGGGCGCAAACCCTTTCTCAGTCATTTCAAAGTATACACTAAAAGCTTTATTCAAGTTTCCTACATCACACCAACCGGTAATTAGAGCCCCATAAGTTACAAGATTAGGGGCCAGTCCCCTGGTACACATTTCAGTAAGAAGATCCCCTACTTTACTTAGTTTTCTAGACTTGAAAACTCCACTAAGAAGAGAATTATACATTTCAATTGTAGGAACAATTGCTTCCTTTTCCATCTTATCTTTAAGTTTAAAAGCTTCTGCAATTTCTCCAATTTTACAATACCCATCACTCAGGATTCTATATGTTATACCATTGGGTAAGCATCCTAGTTCCTTCATTTTGTCAAATATCTCTTCTGCTTCATCCATTTTCCCAATCTTACACAGTCCATTAATCATTGTATTAAAAACAATCCTGTTTTTGGAAAAGCCCCTTGCTAAAATACTTTTCCAAAGTTCTAAAGCACTTTCAACATCTCCCATCTTGAAAAACACCTCAAGCAGAGTACAACAACCAACCTCATCAGGGATCAATCCTTTTTTCAGCATCATATGCCAAAGGTGCAAAGCATCATTAAAGGCACCTGCACGACATAAACCATTGAGAAGGGTATTGTAAGTTACAACACTTGGTTCAATTCCTTCTCCAAACATCTGATCACAAAGCTTGAAAGCTTCACTCATAAGGCCTGCCCTACAATACCCATCTACAAGAGTATTATAACTAAATGAATCCGGCTTTATGTTCCAATCACCCATACACATCAACACTCTCTCTGCTTCATGAGTTTTACCAACTTTACAATACCCATTGATCAATGAATTGCAAACAAACAAATTCATCTTCAGTCCCATTTTCAACATCTCTTTTTGAATCCTTATAGCATCATCCATTTTACCAACTTGACAATAACCATCCAACAGCACACCATAAGCATATTCATCCACAACCACCAACTCCTCTTCCATCTGTTTTAACACCTTCTCTGCTTCCTCCATCTCACATTTTTTACAATAACCCTTGATCAACATCGTATAGGTAACCACATTCCTCGAAATCCCCTTCTCAAACATCAACTTCAACACCTTTTTCACTCCCTCCATATCTCCCAAGCTAACAAACCCATCAATCAAGCTATTATAACTAACCACATTCAACTGGAAACCCAAATTCTCCATTTCTTTCACAAACTCCACCGCTCTCTCCACTCTCCCTTCCTTACAATACGCATTAACAATAATGGAAGACGTAAAAACATCTGGCACAATCCCAATCCTAATCATCTGCTCATAAACAAGCAAAGCCGTATAGCTTTCCCCATTCTTAACCAAATTACTCAACAAACAATTACATGATCTTAAACTAGGGACACGACCGTACTTTCCCATATTATCAAACACATTCAAAGCATTCTTAATCAATCCTCTTTCAGCATAAATTTTCAACAACATATCGAAAACCAAGGGCGAAAATTTAAAATCCTTATAAACCCTAACGAGTTCATTCCAAATTAAAAAGGAAGAGGAATTGTTCTTACATAAACCGATCAATTCCGATAAATAAGCTCTGGTTTCATCGTACATGCGAGCTCGAGACAAGATATGGACAATTTTGCAATACGACGTGACGTTTGGTCGGAATTTTTGTTGCTTCGAAGCTAATTTGAAGAAATATAAGGAAGCGTTGGGGTTTAGTCTGAGGGTTTCGAGAACGGAATCGAGGAGTTCATCAGAGAAGTCGTAGGAGAGGTCATTGAGGGCGTTGTAACGGCCTAGGACGAGAAGCCGGGTGATCCGGGAGAGGAGTTCGGGTCGGGTGAGTTTGTATTCGTCCCGGAGTTTCCAATAGAGAGGAGAGGACGAGTGGAAGGATTTGAGTGGGTGGTGGAGATGAGAAAGTAGGGAAGAAGCGTTGGGTGGAAAGCACCTGAACATTGTTTTAAGTTTCTTAGTTATGGAATAATCGGCATTTTTGGCCGTCAGAGAAGAATCAAACATAGAATTTCCAGGTCATGACAGGGAACATGAAAATTTTTGTAGCGAGGAAACACTGCTTCTATTTCCATGCTTTTTTCTCGAAGGGAAAAGAGAGAGGCAGTCGACACTGCACTTGAAGACTTGAATTTGATTGGGTTCAGTTGGGCCGTTTGACAGGTTTGAGGGTTTAAGGCAATTGATGGGCCTGGTCTGAATTGGGCTTTTGTTGTTTTTTTTTTAATGGCTATAGAGGGTGAATCGATGACAATGACATGACCTGGGATTCTGTTGTTTTGGTTGTCTTGTTCTATTTATTTTCATTTTTAACCAGTTTCCCTCTGTTTATTTTTATTTGCCAGAACACTAGACAATAGTAAAACAGAATACATAAAAGAACAACGGCTGTTTTTTTTTTTTTTTAATTAAATTGTGGGAAAAACAGTGAAGTGGAATTGTAGAAATCAGTGTGGGGAAAGAAAATATTTCTCAGTTGTCCATTGCTGTTAGCAGACATGATTTTAAGGACAGCTAATCAGCCTAAAGTTTGGCTATAGCACTTGGGGTTAAGGTTTATGGTTTAAATACGAAACATTTAGATTTAGATTTTTATGATTTTTTATTAGTAGATGATTTATAAATTTAAAAAATTTATAAATCTTACTTTTTAGTTGATGAATTGCTTTGCTTTGGGATAAGAGTATTTATAATTTGATTTTAATTGAATTAATCAATTAAATTGATTTAATTTGATTAATCATTAATTATCGAATTAAATTTAATTGATTGTTAAAAATGATTTTAAAAAATTAATTTTTAATTAATTTGATTCGAAAATTAAATTAATTTAAATTTTAATCGAAATATAATAAATTTATATATATATAATTAAAAATATATAAAATTATCCATTTCATTTTAAGTTATAAAAAATTTTAACTTAATATTTTGATATTTGAATATTTTTATGTATGATTTTATTTAATTTATTTTAAATATAATAAATTAAAATTTAAAATTTAATTTGTTTTAATGTATTTTATTATTCCATTAATAAAAATTTAATTGGATCAATTGAATTAATTTTGATCATTTAATTTTTAAAATTAAAAAATCTAGTTCAATTAATAAAATAAAAATAATTTAATTTAATTAATTTAATTTTAAATAATTTGATCTAAAATTAATGAAATTGACTTAATGAACATTTGGATAATCTTCCTGCTCTAAATTTATTTCGGATAAACAAAAGGTTTAGCTGTACTTTGATTGTCTGTGTCCAGTCTCTGTCACGTAGAAACTCACATGAACTTTCATAGTTGCCAGGCTCTTTTCAATGTCTAGTCTTTGTTATAGCAGGTTTCAATCCTGGAAAAGGACCTGTATTGTCATTGTTTTCAATGTACTCAGGCTCAGGCTCAGGCTCAGCAGTTAGTTCATCCGATTGTCATCAGATATTGAAGGGGCGGAAATATCAATGAAACCTGCTTCAAGAAAATGAAAAAGGAAAAAGAGTCAAGAACCCTATTGTCCAAAGTCATTGGTTTATATTCACCGTTATAGGCCCAAAAGGATGGAAAAAGTGTCCCACTTTCCAAAATTTCCAGTCACTTTCCAAGATAAATTAATGAACTTTGTACAAAAAGTCGTATATTTTGGTCCCTCCCTAGAAATAGAAGCCAAGGAGCTACATGGAAACTTCATACCTCTTTCATCTACCAATCGCGCAACTTTTACGCAAGACTCGTTGTTCCCCTTGGTTCACGGATTGCATAGCAATGTGAAAATTCCTACGGTAAATTCTGACCCAAACAATTCCTTTTTGCTAGTGTATATACATGATAGAGTCCAACCTTTCTGAACAAAGTAATAGTTTTCATGGAAATTGCTGGTATTTTAAAGCCTACCAAATGGTTCTCAAACAAGGGTTTAAGATTAAGCCTTCCTCGCCTTCGCTCAAAATCCAAATCGTCGACCTCCTTGCCACCATCACCAACTGTCGTTGCAGCAACACTTGATAAAACCAATAAAGAAGAAGAGCTTAAAAAAGTTTTTGGTCGGTTTGATAGTGATGGAGATGGTAAGATTTCGAGCGAGGAACTCAGTGCTTACTTCGCATCCATAGGCGACAACATATCGAGAGATGAAGCTCAAAGGGCTATCAAAGATTTTGACAACAATGGGGACAACTTGCTGGAATTCAAGGACTTTGTCAAGTTGATGGAAGGAGATAACGAGGGTGATGATATTAAGGGAGCGTTCGAGCTGTACGAAGTTGACAAAGGTAGTGGGTGCATCACGCCGGTGGGATTGCAGCAGATGCTTAGTCGTCTAGGGGATGTGAAATCGTTTGAAGAGTGCGTTGCCATGATTCGAGTGTTTGATCTTGATGGCAATGGAGTGCTTGACTTCCATGAATTTCAACAAATGATGAGAGGTGAACCATAGAAAAAAGTAAGTGTAATTAGAGTGTAATTCCCCATGGGGCCAGGGCCTATATGTTTAATTCTGTAGCATACATTATCCTAGGCATTAGCTTGCTTTTTGTGGCTAATTTTTCCATTGAAAATATGTATGGAGGGACCTTGTGAATTTAATACTTCATGTACTAGTAAGTAGTACATCAGTATTTTTAAGTGCTTTTCTGAAGTTTTTGTGCTATTTGGTTATGGTTGTTAATATCATGAAATGTCTTATTATTATTATTATTATTATTATTATTATTATTAGTCTCTTTTATTCAAATTGTCTCTTTTTTATTTTCACAAAGTTTTAAAAAAAATTTTAATTTTAGTTTATTTAGTGTTAAAATTTTAATTTTTTTATAAAATTGATATTCCATAATTTTTAATACAAAATTTTAAAATATCATAAAAAAAATTTAGGTGTTTAAGAAAATGGACATAAGATGAGGACCTTTTTTTTATATATAAAAAAATGGATAAAGAGGATGAGTAAAAGAAAGTATTACATTTTATTTTATTTTCATTAAAGATGTTCGTGCCCGAACCAAATCGGATTGAGTTGATATCTATAGCTAAAAGGATGTGATAAATCTAGTTTCTGCTTTTGAATATGGTAATAGAAAATTAAAAATTTTATTTAATGAACCGAAGTGATCAAATGTCATGTTGGGCCACTAATAATTCCAGCCACACCTGTTTCCATATGTGGTCCACCTTCTCCTCTTGGCCCATTATACAGTAATGGAAAAAGTCGATGCTTTTGAAGTTTTTTTATTTGAAAACTGAGTCGTGACAAGAAAATACTTAAAAGATAGAAGAATGACAAAAAAAAAAGAAATCCAATGTGAAGGCAGTTGTTTGAATGTAATGGTATTAAGCAATTAAGCCAAATGAATAATAAAAAGTAAAGTTGTAAGTCCAAGAATTATTGTTACTTAACATGTTACAATTCATGATTCATTAACCCAATTCAATCAATCAAAATGAAATACGGTTTTAAATCAAATTATTCCAGCTGGTACATTCTCTTTTTTTTTTTTTTTTCTTGTCTCATTTTGTTATCGTTTTCTTTCAAAACATTATTTTAATTTGGTCGCTGTTCATCCTGGAACATCGCCTGAAGTGGTCATGATCATCCATCAATAAAAAAAAAAAAAAAACTGTCAGCTGTTCGAAACTGGCAGACAAAAATTGATGCTGGCTTATTTGGTCATGGTTGAACCAGAGACTTGACTAATTCCTACTGGGGTCGAGAATAAGCCGATCTTATCTTCCATCATTTCCACGACCAGACGGGCCCAGACCCAGAAGCCACGCAAAGGAAACGTTCCTTTTGGGCTTCAATGATGCTGAATAAAAAATACAGAGACAAGAATTACTTGAATTAGATTTTCAATCATTGAATAGTTTACTGGAAGTTGATTTAACCAAAACCTATGTCTCAGTCCACACCTGTCTGGTTTCAGGCGCTTCGTAGGGGCGGCAAAACTTGGATTCACGCTCTTATTCAGGAATGTGGATGCGTTCAGATTTTGTCATTCGATGAACCCTGCAAACAAGCTCCTATCACGGGCGATGAACACACACCACACACACACACACACACACATATATATATATAAAAGATAAGCTTCCAACTAAACAAACAGAAATGGGGTCGTAAGATTATTCCTTTGAAAAAGAAGGAAATCATTTGTTATTGAACACAAAATCAGGGTAAATCTGGAGTCATCCAGCTTGTACTTTTGCAAGAATAATTATTAAACTAATGGAGAATTGTTTTTGTTCGGAGGAAATTACAAGGAAACGTTTCGAAAATTTGTTGTAGCCAGCCTAGAGCGTTGCTATTTCAGTCTAACAAACTCTAATTTATCTGGATTTTTTATAATCCTTAAACGCGTTTATTGTTCCATTAATCCCACGATGCAGCAACCACCATTGTTCAAATTCCTTTCTCTAATCAGCAAATCATGATCTTCTTTAATGCTTTCACCATGAATCAGTTCCTTTTCTGCTTCTTCATACTGATTAATATTTTCACTTTATACATAAATGCTCAACAAAACTACTCGGGAAACTCAGCTTTGGATTGCGATAACAACGATGAATCAGGTCTTTCTTCAGCATTTCTTTACACTTGCAATGGCCAAGATCGATTTTGCCAGGCCTTTCTTATCTACAAGTCTCAACCTTCTTTCAACTCAGTTCCCAGCATTTCAGTTCTCACATCTTCGAACCAGGCAGAGATTGCTAGCATCAATAATGTAACTGAGTATGCAAAGTTCCCAACTGGTAAAGAGGTAATTGTTCCTGTAAATTGTTTTTGTTTAGGCCAGAATTATCAGGCAAACACCACGTTTCACATCTCAAGCTTCCACGGCACCTATTATACTATAGGGACCGAGGCATACCAGGGATTATCCACATGTAGTTCCCTTAAACGAGCAAATCCACAGAGCCAACACAAATTGGTTCCTGGAATTGAATTGAAAGTTCCTCTTCGATGTGCTTGTCCAACAAGTAATCAAACTAAGAGTGGAATAAAGTATCTGCTGACTTACTCTATTAGCTCGGAGGATAATATTCCAGATATAAGTGATAGATTCAATGTGAGCAGAAAGAGCATTAATGATGCAAACGGTTTGGAAGAGAAACAAACTATTTTCCCTTCCACAACAATCCTAATTCCTTTGCCATCGTTACCTTCAAGTTCGCAAACCATGATTCACAAGGACCAACCACTTGATTTACCTCCATTTGAAGAATATCACAAAAGCAATAGATCAAAGCGGAAATTGTATGAAGGAGTCGGAATCGCAGCAGCTTGTTCTTTGCTCCTTCTTATCATCATCCTGTTCACTGTTTTTATGTTCAATAAGAGAAAGGATGGAGTTCTTCGGAGTAGCAATGAAAGAAAGAAGAATTATGTATTGCCGGAAGACCTCCGTGCAGAAATTGCAAGCTTGGACCAAGGTTTAAGAGTGTTTACGTATGAGGAGATAAAGAAAGCTACACAAAATTTCAGTTCCAAGAATAGAATAAAGGGTTCTGTCTATCGCGGTGATTTTGGTGGGAAGATCCTGGCTGTTAAAAGAATGAGACGAGACGTATCCAAGGAGGTACAATTGCTGAAGAGTATCTATCATTTCAATCTGATAAAGCTTCAGGGTGTCTGTGAAAACTATGGATGTTACTATCTTGTTTTTGAGTATATGAAAAAAGGGTCTCTGAGGGATTGGCTTTTCAATCAAAGTCCTGATGAGATTGGAAGTTGGAAGAGGAGGATTCAAATTGCTTTGGATGTTGCTAATGGACTTCACTATCTTCACAGTTTTACCAAACCTGCCTATATACATGGGGATATCAAGAGCAGCAATGTTCTCCTAAACAGTGGTCTAAGGGCCAAAATCGCGAACTTCAGCCTCGCAAGAGCAGTGGTGAATGAAACTAGCAGCGATGCTTTGACAACTCGTGTTTTAGCGACTAGAGGTTATATGGCACCTGAGTATGTAGAGACAGGGCAGGTTACTTCCAAGATTGACGTCTATGCTTTTGGAGTTGTGCTATTGGAACTGATTACCGGAAAAGATGCCATCATTACCCAAGATCGAAGACAAATACTGCTATCAGCAGCCATTGTTTCCATCATGGAAAAAGAGAATGCAGAAGCTGAGCTCGATTCCTTTATTGATCCTAGGCTAAAATGTGATGATCAGACAGAATTCGCCCTACGGATGGCTCAGTTAAGTGTAGCCTGCTTGACAGAAGAACCAACAAAGAGACCAAGCATGGAGGAAGTAGTGTCAGTTCTTTCCAAAATTCGAGCAGATGTACTTAAATAGGTACCATTGTAAGTTTATTCTATGCAGTATACAGTGCTAAAATGTTGTCCTTTCGTAGATTCTGATCAATTTTAGAAGTCTAATCTAAATGCGGAGTGGGAACTAACTTGAGAAGTACAGGAATTTCTTGGAAAACAAGCAATAATAAATGCCTTATCACCATGCTACGCAATAGGTTTCATATGTTAAATCCTATTACTTCTTATATAATAGAATAGTACTGCATTCTCCATTCTTGTATTTCACAAACCGAATATGTACCTTCTACAGTAAACTAGCATAGTTGAAATTATTCTCATTTTAAGATTAAATCTATTGATAAAAATTTTTATTGCAATTATACATGAAATGGATTTTCTTTTAAAATAAAATTGATTAAATAATTTAAAGAAAACTTATAGCGGGAAACAGGATTTAAAAACTAAACTAATTTTATATAAAAATATGAATGGCAATGACAGCCACAAGGAATGAAAATTTGTAGGAATTCTAAAACCTACTGTATAGAGAGTGATATGATCCTATGTGCTTGGGGGCCTTTGGGTCTAATAGGAAAAGGCCGAGCTTTGACTCTTTGAAAGAATTGGGAAACGTGTTTGAGAATTTGGGATTTCAGTAAGGAAATCTCCCAGTCATCCGAATATGTTCAAGGGTTCTTCTAAGACCATATTTATAAACTGCCTGATGGCCTGCTCTAAAACCATCTCCATATACAGGGGAAGTGTCTGATTCAATTTGATGCTTGAAGAACTCTCCAAGCTTCCTCTCGAATTCAGGTCTTTTGCCCTTTTCTAATCTACTAGACGCAGAGGATGAAGTTGATGCAACATTGCTGCTTGAAGCAGAATCGAGCTGGGTAAGCAACCACATGTGTGCTAACACCTGACAAATACCCTCCTCGACATCCTGACTAAGAGTCCGGAAACCTGACAAACAAGTAGCATATGTTTCAATCTCTGCAGATGGGAAAATGAAACACATTTTTTCCTACATATTATGATGGAAAGGGAATGCACCTTGAAGTCGCATCCATGCATGCATCATCTCGTGTGCTAAGATTGACCCAGTCAGTAACCTACATAATCAAAAATTTCAATTTTTTATCAAATGCATCAACATTACTTAAACTTGCAGTATTAAGAGAAACATTAAAGTTTGAATCAACAGCCACAAATATGCAAGATTAGCAAAAGGGGCATAAAAAGTTTCTAGGAATTAGAAAGACAAAGAAGAGGCTATTAGGACTACAATTCTTTCATTCAGTCTCCATTGACTTCATCATCCTTTTCTGTTTTCTCCTTTACCTTAGCACTCCATTACATTTTAAACTACAGACATCATGACAACCATAAAACCTGACAGCACCTTTTTATTGATCTTTTTTCGGGGACTGCCTGCTCTTCAAGTGTGTCAAAGAATCTAGGCAATCAAGACTTCCGGTCTGAAGTAGTTATGATTAATCTAATATAGAATTTTTTTCAACTTTCCCACATCATTTGTGATTAATGGGATAACAAACATGAAATTGCTATGTGGTGAGCAAGTAACACAAATAGTTCTTTTTGTCCATTCTTCAGCATCTAATTAACCTGCACTAGGTCTTTATTTGCATGTCATTGAAAATTGTTTGATTATATGGAAACGCATTTATACATATGTGAAAGCAATTGTGGAAAATAATACAATACCTTGGCAGGCCATATAAAATGAGAATCGCAGTCACCTCACATCGACGTGTCAATTTGTAGGGCTCTGTTATCATGTCCATGGCTCGATTTCCTGTCCCAAATCTTGGTCGCCTTAGAATCTGATGATTTCAAGTTGAAGATAGTATAAATCTTTGAGCAATAAAAAAACTACTGATGAAAAATTTCAAGTTATCAAACATTAAAGCAAAATAGAATTTCAAATATTCTTACAGTGCTGACAGTTTGTTCCTCAGAAAGGCAGAGTCCTCTAGTCTCTGGCATATGATAATGGCCCTGCCCAAGACAAAATTTTTAGAATGCAATCATAGACAAATAAGGAAGAAATAAACAATTGCTTGCAAGTATTTCCACTAAGCAGTCAACATGGTATTTCCAAGATATCTAGAAGCAGAAGTAAGCCCACAGTGTTCCAATAGCAGTCAGACAAGAATGAAAACAGATGTTTTGCAAAATATCTAACATAGCTAAGGTGGAACAGTCCTAGAAATTATTTTTTGATGTCATTCTTTCAGAAATTTTGCCCTTACATTCTTTTCTCCCTCTCTGGCTTCATTCAAAGCTTGCCTTTCAACCAGGAGTAATGGAACTTGCTGCTCCACTTTCATATTCAACCCTTCATAGAACTCTTGTATTTCTAGATAAAGGGGTTGGCATTCGTTGGTATCCATAACAGCAGAATCCAGACACTCTAGGCAGAGCTTCCGTCCATCATTAAGGGCAACAAATCCTGTGTCTTGTGGCTGCATATGATGAGCAAAACTGTCATGCTTTCAAACTATTTTCTTCGTCTTCAGAAATAGTAGCCAAGGTTTTACTTTAGAAATTTAAATACGCTTAGAAAGATGTGTGCATTTCATCATACTCACTTCCATTCGCTCACAGCTGCAACATCGTGGAGTACCATCATGTTCATGAGAAGGGCAGTACTTCTGGATCCAAAAAGGATGTGCCCTATATTCAATAAGACCAGCAGGGTTTGTTGGAATCTGTCAAAGTATATATCCCAAAAGACAACACCAACTAGCAATGAGTGACGTGTGGTAGATTTACTTTCTTCTGTTTCAGAACTACTTAAAAAACAGCATACAATAGAAGACTTGAATATGATATGCAGATGCAGGTTTCCCATATTCCATAGTTCTTTTTGGAATTCCAAGTTCCCTTGTACTACTTTCCATCGTCTAAACTTGGAACTACATCCAAGGACATCAACTATGAGCTACACTTCATGCCATCATATCTGCGTAAGACATTATTACATGGCATTCATATGTACCTGTATGACCTTCAAGTTTAGGTTTATTTAGCGCTTGGAATTCATTGTTAGGTAAGAAAAAGTGAAAACCATGAAAAACACACTCGTGTTTTGGTATTACCTTAAGTTTATTGTTGACATTTAACTTTTGAAATATATATAAATGCACTGAAGTATGTAGAAAATCATATATAATCCGCCTTGAACGTTAATGCATTGAATGAATTACAAACAACACAAATTTATAATAAACAGAACATAAGCCTGATGCAAGAAAAAAGCTTACAAAGTGGTTGCAGACATCACATTTTGGATGGTAGCGCTCCTTGTAGCATGATTTATGAAAACGGTAATTCCCAGACATAGAGAACTGCAGAAGAAAGTATACATCTAAATTAGCTTATTCAACAACCAAACATCTACTGAAGTTACCACAGATGACATATGGCAACACTGATAGCCAACAAAAGGTCCAAAAAGAATGTAAATATGTACCTCACAATCAGAAATTGGAAGGTTGCAAGCATGGCAACGGAAACATTCTGGATGCCAAAATGCATTGAGGCAATTTAGAAATCTTCCATGACCAATCTCAGTATTGCAACCAGCACAAATCCTACCAAAAAGAATAATTTGGTCATGGGGGCAAAAAGGATCTAGTTGCAGCATGTTTGAGGCCAAGGAAAGCCGTTATCAGCATACAGTTGCAGGATAGAAGCTCAGAGATAAATCCACATTTAAGCCCTGATTAAATGAGCAGGTATGAAATAGTTATTGTAGCTAATGGCATATTCATGTACCTGTATCCCATTGGAAAATGGAGTGGGATAGGTTGATACGTATTTGCATTTTCATATTGGGGTGGAGGTTCAAAGTTCAAACTTTCTTGTATAGCTCTCGCAAGTTGCTCATCTTCCTCTAGTTGAGATTCATTATCTACCCAATAATTTGAGAAACTTAAGAATTCAAATTATGGCATGTTAGATTATAAGTATAAGTAAGGAAAGAAAGAAGATTCTATTGGCAACTAATCAGCTCATATCATAAAGTACAGCAGACAAGAAAATTCATGTTAACATCAGGTAGACATGCTCCTCACCTATTACCTTTCTCCCCTTCTGACTTTCCTCTTGAAGGGATAGGGCAATAGCACGATCTATCTCTTCATTCTCATGCTCCCGCCACGCATCCTAATTCAAGGTTGAGACCAAGATATAACATTGAAAACATATTGGAAGCTTATTAAACTAACTCAAATAGTCTAATTGGACCAATTTGTGCAAGAAAGTATCCTTTGATGCAACCCACGCTTCATAACTAATTTGTAACATGTCTAGTACACAACCTAGCCAAAGCCGTTAAGTGATAGGAACTTATGTATGTATCAGCAGCAGCATTACAGGTTGTAGGATGGGATCAAATCATCAAAAAGTTGAGAACATAGAAATAGAAATATAGAAAGAGAAATAGTAACAGATCTAAATACCCTTGTGCCAGATGGTCCATAAAATTGAGGATCCTCCACATAACGTCCATGATAATGCCCCTCTGAATTTTTAAGGCCACAGCCCTTAAAAAATTTTTTAATCCAATCCATAATGCAGAATGTTATCTGCTCATAATCAATAAGGTTTCTGCCTGCAAATAGAACATATATTCAAGCAAATAAACACATGGATATTGCAAAATCTAAATATTTTTTTTAAATGCAGTAAATTTAAAATATAGTCAAAAACGAGGAAGCTATACAATTCATGCTTACATAAATGGAAAAAAATGTACACTTTTAAGTCGAGAATCATCAATGAACACAGCTTGACAGAAGATTGTTAAAACTAGGGCAAATAACATAATGGGAGAAAATGCTATTAACTGTCATTTTATTGAGCCAAACCGATTCCTAAAGAATATAATCAAAGTGAATTAAAAACAACCAATAAGAGAAGAATGCTAACACAACTCTATAAGCTAGGCAGACAAACTATTTTATGTTTACTAATAGGGGTTTATACATATTAAAAGCATATCCCAATTGCCTACAATAGGTTAAATCAGTTCAGCCGCATTTGTCATCAATGCAAGCAAGTCAAACCAGGATAAACAATAGAAATCAAAATCAACCACCTGGTATTGTTCTACCCCAGAATGCTTATGCTAAATATTAGTTAAAAGCATTAAATTTCTCCCCAGACCAAGTGAATTTAAAGAGACAGAAAGAAAGAGATAGAGAAGGGGAAAAAACACAGATTCTTTCCAGTTCAGGATGCCAATAAAATTCATGACATAAAAGGACTGAATTGCAGGCTCTTAAAGAACAAAAGGTAAAGAATCAAACAAGTAGAGAAATGACTCACCTCAAACAAATCAATAACGTGCAGCAAAGGATGGAAGAAGACTGCAAAAGAGACCTAGATCAGATAAGATCTCAAAATTAACCAAAAAAGTTACAATTTTTTCATTCCTATAAAGCATGTATTCCCCCTCTCACCCTTTTCTTTTCTTTTTTTTTTTTTCTTTCTCTTTTGTTTATAAAAATGAATAATCTATTCAAGAATGCAAAGAACAAGGAAGAACAATGACACCCATTATTTCTTTGTCTCCAGAGAAGAATCTACCACACCCAAAACCCTAAAAAATTTTAAAAACACAAAAAGTTAAAAGAATTGTTGTTGAGGACATGATTGAACATGTTAAGGGAGGGAAGGCAAATAAGCTAAGAAAAGAGGTGTTCTTCAACTGTACGCAAATTCAAAGTCAAACATGAAGAAAGCGTACAAAATTGATGAATTTTTGTCATAAACCCAAAGGGATTGACGAAGATTCATCAAACCCAAATGGGCATTTCACTTTTTAATTTTCTTTTTTCTCCTAATATTTGGAAGCTTAATTTTTTTACATGTGGGGTTCTTCCAATTCTTCCACTAGAAGACCCCCCCCCCCTAAAAAAAAAGCAAGCTTTCTTTGCTGAACGCGTAAAGAAAAGTTTAAAAAGATCAAGAAAAAACAAAAAGTGAAAGTACCACTTTGGCTGGCTTATGTTGTTCAAGACTTCAAGTTACAACATGGGTTTAAAGTAAAAGTACCTTAACAGATCAACAGTTTGAAAGATTAAAACCCAACAAGAGTGAATTTTGTCTTAATTAAAAAAAATAACATGAAAAAAGAATGCACTTTTGTAATGATTCTAATGCCACTAGCTAGCAAAAGGGTAAAAAAGAATAATCTAAAGACTCACAAAGTGATTGAAAATGTTCCAAACCAAAAAAATTATGCTTTTTTCTTTTTAATTTTCTGTCTTTCTCCTTCAGTTTTTTTTTTTTTAATTTAAGAAATAAGCATTTCCCTTTTAAAAATCTCTTGACATTTATGCATGGCTTTTCATTATTAGTAAAATAATTGAATTTATGAAATCTAAAGCAATATAATTAATAAAATTCCAATTCAAAAATAAAAGTTAAAGTTATCAAGGATGGCACCCAGATGATCAGTTCAATTAAGAAACATTGTGGGATATATATATATATATTTATTATAGTTACTTTGAAAAATATTTTAATAATATATGATTTGCGTTTGAAATGTTCGTTGCACTTGCGCGTGATTTGATAAGGATTTCACATAATTGGATATGATTAAGGGTTTATTATCATTAACATCAAATTCAGATAAGGCTAAACTAAAAGTTCCCAATTGTAAAGTTTGAATTCTAGTTTAAGCATCTTTAATCTTCACTTCTGATATAAAAAAAAAAATCCTAAAAAAGGGTAAATTTTATATAATTAAATTGTCATTACAATTTTTTTTAAATTGAGTTATTAATTAATTTAAATTTAAATTTAATTGATTTATATATATTTTAAAATAATTTTTACTAAATTTAGGATTTAAAATTTTAAAACTTCTTTTCTTTTAGTTATAAATTACAACTTCTTTTATATAAAAATAAATAAATTACTAATGACACTTTGTAGATATAAATATGTAATTTCTGTTAATTAATATGTATTTGTTTGTATAACTTCTATCTTTGATCAAACAATTAACCTTTTGGGTTTAATAGCACTAATACATATCCCTAAATTAGGTTTATAATGGCATTAGCTTAAATGAGTAATGCCATGGTCAATGATTATATAAAGTTGGTAATATTTATTCTTTAAAAAATGATATTAAAAAAAATTTAAGTTTATTTTAGACTAGTGCACTAAAAGAAAAACATTATATTATTGTTCGAGTTGCAAGCGATATTTGTTAAGAAGTCAATGTCAATAAAAATGGCTTGGTTGAAAACTATTCACAAGTTTATTTCTCTTTTCAATATGAAATTAATTTTTATTTTCTGGTTTGGTTTGAAGTTTTGTGAAATAATGTTCAAACCATAGGCTCCACCAATGGAAAAGGGTAGAGGGTACCAACACTTTTTTTTTTTATATGCCTAAATGGAAGAAGTTTAAGCTGCCTTCTAGAGATGTACTTGAGTAGTTGACCATTCTCAATGTGAATCAAAGTTTTGGTTTCTAACTTCAATTTCTCAATGTACCATTACTTGTGCGTTGTAAACGCGTTACATGAAAAAGTTTGAAGGTTTCGTCACTCATCATATATATATATATATATATATATATAAATTGTCCATCCTTGAATTGTGGGCTTAGTAACCTGATTTATCCAAGAAACTGAGAGCTGAAATGAAAGCTTGAAAGTTGAACACATATAAGGGGACAAATTACAGATTCATCAGTTTTCTTTATTATCTTTAATGTCCTCGCAAGTACAAAAAAAAACGATCCAAAAGGTCAAATATCTAGCTTGACAGTAGTGTTACTGTTAATTTCAAAAGAAAGAAGAATAGATTAGTTTCCTGAAGCAATATTAGGGCAAATTTACAAGAGCAAATAGATGCACTAGGGATTTCTTTTTCCCCCTGCCATGGACATTTTCTAAGAGCTGTGACTATGATTTGCTAATTTTGAAACAAAGGTGGGCTCTCACTGGCTTATGGTCAGAACTATGAATGTCATCAATTGATTCGTAACAGTGCAAACTTGCGCTGATGTTGTCAGGATCTTCGATCTTGAATAGGATTCGATCAGTCCATGATGGAACTCTTACCTGTCAAAGTTACAAGAAACATGGCGAGACGAGGAAAATTAATGCAGAATCATATTAGGAAGATATATATATATATATCTGTTGCACATCTATCGCTTTTGAAAGATTGAATGTGACAGAGAGTACTATGATCACCTTGTAACTTGTATCGTAGTTGCTACTTCCTATATTATATTTATACGTTGGTTTGAATGTGAGTGTTCCCTCGCAATATCCATTGAAAATCTGCCCTCTTTCGGCCTCCTGAAGGAGTTGATCTTTGCTTGTAAGCAGCTGCGGCAACAAATAAACGGAAAAGTTCAGGCAAGGGCAATGATGAAAACTAATGGAAGAAACGTTGAGAAAATAGCAAGATGGACTGACTCTGTGAAGGTTTCTTTGTATCAAGTTTCTGGCGGGATGTGTATTGACGCCTCGAAGCCTGTAATTGAGGTCTCCTAACCATATGGTGATGTGGGTGGGCCTGGCGTAAGGGTTCCAATACTTGGAAAAGAGTGAGTGAGATATGTGCCTGCACTGTGTATTTCTCTCTTCTACATTTCGAGCATGAGCTGCTTACAGGACAATATCGATCAAATCATCGATGGCCCATTCTTTAAGGGCTTTGAATGATAATTTGAGTGCTATCTTTAAGGGGTCTTAAATGGGCTTTAACAAGCAATTTTATAGTAAATTATGGGCGGCCAGGACTTTGTGGACTTATGTCCTAGTAAACCCAAATCAATGAATTTTGTTGGGAACTAGGTCCAAATTCCATTTGTCTAGTTAATTGTCTTTTAACGTCGCTGATGATTGAACAAAACATGCCTTACCAGAGAGATGGCAAGTGATAAACACCATTCTGAATCCTTTGTAGTTGATACGGATTGCCACGGCTCCTTTCTTTCTCCTGAACATTCCTCCACAGCCTCCGACAGAATGCTTATCCACCTTGAGTTCTATGTGTATACAAGAAAACAAAGTTATCCCTATTCTAGGCTCCTGTTGTCTTGAAAATAAATAAAAAAAGGACTTGCACACAAAAACGACAGGCTCTAACCTTTGATGAACAAGTCTGAGTTCTTTGGTCCGAACACATATAGTTGCAGAGACTGCAAAATTGCCTTTCCTAATAGCCTGATATGCAGATTAAATTGCGAATTGACTGAAGTGTCAAAACATTAATAGCGCAAGGCAAAACATATAAAAACTAAAGGAGACAGAAAGGGTTTTGCTTACCCGTGAGTTTCAGTAAGAGCATCCTGCAACAATCGCGTAAGGTTGTCTCGAGGCACCTCTTGCAAACCAACCACAAGTAGATCAAACCTACGGTTGCTCCCAACCAGCTCGACCAGATCTTCATACGAGACCTTATAAGAGGAGGATAGTATATACACTAATGAGTGATGATCAATGGTAAAATATCAGCAACGTGAAAGATAAGTTGAGATGAATTTGCACTAGATATTTTGCAACCTGTCCATTCATGTTCCAAGTTATTATGCAAATGCAAAGGTCAGAGTTTCTTGAGAAGTCGCAAAGATTATCCGCCCCTACTGTCTTTATTCCTTCATGAGTTCCGGTGGGGTTGTTGAAAGAATCCGCAGCCGGTTTTCTCTCATATTTGAATCTTCTTCTGCAAAACATATACATAATCATAATTGATCATTGATTCCCATTGTTTTTTGGGAGAACTGAGAAGAGACACTGGTGATCTAATTAGAAAGAAGTTCCACGTACCCATTGCCAGCTTGGATTGTGTTGAAATTTCCCATAGTTTTCCTTTTTGGTTAAGATATTACCATAGCCAGCAAACTGAATACTGTGGATAAAAACAAAATTCGTGTGAGGGAGAGAGAGACAGCTAGCTCGATTGACTTGGAAACCTTATGAGAATGAGATGTGTGTGACATATAAATACAGAAATTTTTGGTTTTGGCGGTGAAGATTTGGAAAAAAAAGTCAAATGTCTGAAATCTTCTGATAAGTATATCTTCTATAATTTGAAGACCATAATTTTCTCTACGAGTTAGGTTGGGCGTTTTTGACAATATGAAAGTTACAATCAAAGTTGACAACGACCATATAAGTGTACCATATCTAACAAGCAAACCCTTGCAAAGATATCCATTTGATTGAAGAACATATATATGTTTAAACTTTAAACTTTAACGTCTAAGCTTAACAAGAATATGTGCTACAGCAGCCGATCAAGGAAGGATGAGAATCCGACATAGACCGATCAATAGAAATACTCCAACACTCCACTTGTCATATATTCCATACATCACACTAGATAGATATCATATTCCTGGAATACGATTCACTTTCAAGATGCCTTGGTGGTAAAATGGTAGACACGCGAGACTCAAAATCTCGTGCTAAAGAGCGTGGAGGTTCGAGTCCTCTTCAAGGCATAATATTGAGAATGCTCATTGAATTGGAATAAGTTCGGCAGCGGATCACGAGATCTTGAGTTAATCAACTGCTGCACTGCCGCTAAGCGCCACATAAAGCAGGCTCTGAATCCCACAAACATCAGAAAAATTGTTGTAGCTAAGAACAAAGACCGGAAGTTATAATTGTTTACGTTCATACATAGGAAGACGTTGCACCGGTAATCATGTTGTGACACAGCTTTGAGTGCAAGATGTATATGAAAAAGTAAACGTATGATTAAACTTTTGGGGCAAAAAGCGAAGTCATGATCGAGGGTCATCGAGTTATGACTTTCTTGCTGACCGTACGTAAGTGTATATACTAATCATAAGATTAGTTTATTATAAGCTGCTAGATTCATTGATTTTGAGGATAATAATTGATTGGCAAGGCCGCTCTGCTACGGCAACCGCATCTGGTTGCTGCCTTGCATTGCACTTGGCAAATAATTACTTGTCGAAGGAGAACATGGAAATTGGGAATGCTCATTTTCAATCTTTACAAGTTACAAACTAGTATATAAATTAAGTTTAGTACTAGTAACTCTTTTTATTGGCAATGGGTAATTTTCAAATCAAATTAGTCTATAACTTTTTTCTTAATTTAGAATTTAAATCAATAAATTTATATGATAACATCCAAAAAAAACTTATAATTCAAACCCTAACACATGTACCATTTTTTCTTATCTCTAAACTTGCCTCATTTGTAAAAAAAAAAAAAAAATCAATTTTTTCCTGTCATCACCATGTCATAAATGTAGTTGACCACAATGGTATTCTTGCAAAGTTGGTATTGTAGTTGAAAGGAAGACATCCATAATCATTTCACACTAAAATTAAAATTTGAATTCAAATTGATTTCCTTTTTTTTTTTTTTCATTTAAGAAGACAAGTAAGCTGTTTTGGGTTAAATTAACCAGAAAATAAAAAAAACTAAAAATTTTGAACTGAATAATTTAAATATAATACATAAAACCTTTATATTTAAAATTTAGATTTTATATATTTGTCTCATTTATTTGGATTCCCTATGCTTAACCCAACCCATTAGACTTTCACTAGGCTGAAGCCCGCGAAGGTAACCTTCATTCGTTATGGTGCCTGCACGTGTATGACACCCGCCCATAGCCCACACCAACTGGGTGGTTTTAAGGCTTCGATCTGCCCATTTGCTCTGACTTCCTGTTTATTTCTTCTTCAGGTAAAAGAGCTTCCTTTTCTTCTTTCATTCTTATTATATTCCTCTTCCAATCCTCCCCTTTCTCCTCCTGTTTTATTCCATACCCAATTCCTCTTTTTCTATTATATCAGCAAAATCTGAACATTATTTTAATTTAAGTTGCAAAGAAATACAAATTCCTCCCCCTTTTTTTTTGTTTTTTCATTACCCATTTTTTCTCATTCTTTTTCAGATTTTTTCTTTTGAAAAGTACCCTTTTTTCTACTTCAATAATACTTCAATTTTCAAGTATTATTCTTGATTTCTTTGACATTTTAAACGCCAAAACAGTATTTAATTCTTTTTTTTCCTATAATTTTAGAGTCAAAGGATTGCTTACTTTGGAGAACACTGATTTAAAGTTACATAAAGTTGTAAGCTATATCCTATTATATAAATTTCTCTTGGAAAAACTATTTATATCAGTCAAATTTATGTGTTTAAATATTTCAGATTTCGGCTGCTCGATTAGCTGAAACAAGGCTTTGATGGTTTAACCATGTTTTTGGGGAATTGAAAAGCATTGCCTGGAAATCCCTTATACAGAATGAGAATGGTAAATGTAAGTGCTTTTTGTTGTATATATATGTCAGCCTTTTTTTTTTTTTTTTTTGCTTTTCAATAATGTGGTGAAATGCCAGAAAAATAAAGTGGGTTCCTCTAGCTGTTCTGTTTCCATGTATTGAACTCAGGATTTTATGTTCTTAAATTAATGAATTAAATTTATTCAAGTTCTTTTATAGATATTGCATTTTTTAAAGTACCATAGTGTTTGTCTTTTTTGCAAAAAATAAAAAAATAAAAAAGGAAGACTCACAACGGTTTTGTGCATTTGTTCTTGGGAAACCGCATATGGTGACATTGCCTACTAATGGAATATATTCACTTACGGTTGTATAGTTATGTTTGTGTTTGAAACTCCAATATTTTATAAGTATTAACTGCTATATTTATTATTTCATTAACTTGCTTGTTTTGTTCCTTACGAGTATTTCAGAAGCAAAGAGAGCCACCAACATTGCCTAGCAAAACAGAGGCAGAGCTAGATAAGATTCTTAACTTACCAGGACATGTTACAGATCAAATCTTGTCATATTTGCCGATAAGGGATGCAGTAAGGACTAGTGTTCTGTCAAGGAAGTGGAGATACAAATGGGCTACAATACCATATCTTGTATTTGATTATCAGTGTCTTAATGTCTCTTCCCAAGACCAAACTTTCATAAAAAACAAGCTGGAAACATCATTGATTATGTACTCTGACATCGCAAGGGTCCAATACCCAAGTTCAAACTGTCTCATCGAGATCTTTTAGGAGTCGCTGACATCGATCGATGGATTCTTTTTATATCAAGGAGCTGTATCAAAGAATTCATACTGGAAATATGGAAGGGCCAGCGCTACAAGCCACCTTCTTGTTTATTTAATTGCCAGAATTTAATTCATTTGGGGCTATTTAATTGCTTGCTAAAGCCTCCATTCACATTCAAAGGTTTCAAGAATTTGAGGAGCCTTGATCTTCAGCACATTACCATCACTCAACATGTGTTTGAAAACCTCATTTCTAGCTGCCCTCTGCTTGAGAGATTAACATTGATGAACTTAACTAGTGTCACACATCTTAACATTGATGCTCCAAATCTGCAATTCTTTGACATGGTGGTAATTTTTATGATGTTAGTTTTCAGAATACGTTCCATTTAGCTCTGGTTTCCATTGGTTTGTATGTAAATGTCGACAATGATGAGAACTATGCTCGAGACAAATCTAGTAAATTGCTCAGATTCTTTGGTAATCTTCCCCATATTCGAAGTATGGAGGTTCAGAATTACTTTTTGAAGGTAATGATTTAGTGATACGTAGAGGACCAGTTTCTTCTGGGAATTTCAAAGAAAATGTACTACAAGTTTTTTCGTAAATGGTTCTTGAATCCCGATATACTTGTTCAAGTCCTTGAGAATGTACATGTGCCACCTTAATTTATCTGTTTGAGATTTTAATTTATCCTGTTGTTCTTCATTTTTCCTCTCCAGTATTTGGCTATCAGAAAAGTGCCAAGCAGGTTGCCTAACCCATTTGTTGATCTGAATTATCTATCCATTCGCATTGATTTTGATGATGTGGAGGAAAATGAAGCTGCTCTGTGTCTCCTAAGAAGTTGCCCGAATCTTCAAGAGCTGGAAATGTTGGTGCGTTTTGTTTTATTTACCCTCTTTGGTTCTTTTGGTGGTTTACGTAGTAATATCCCCATCTTTTATATTACCGTGTTTTTAGCTACACTGTTAATCTAATAAGGTTATGCATGTAATGATTCCTTTTTTTGGGGGTGAGTTAGTGATTACAAAATTTTGATGTTTCATTTAGGCTCGTGTCGAGAAACAAACTTCTGCAGAAAGATCCACTAACTTTTGGAAAGATAATCATTGGAGCTGGCTGTTTGCCCATCTGAGACTGGTAAAAGTGTCAGGCATCTCTGGTGTGAAATCGGAAATGGATTTCATCAAGTTCTTGCTTTCAAATTTACCTGTGCTTGAGCGGTTGACTATTAAACCTGCTTCCCAGGATGGCGAATGGGTGTTGATGAAGGAATTGCTGCGGTTTCGGTGAGCCTCAATATATGCAGAAGTCATTTATTTGGACCCATGATTATCTTAGTCATGGCTGCCCTGCGATATCAACGAAAAGCTGGAACATGTAAATTATCATGCAAACGATTGTGCTGTTTTGGATGATATGCTTTATCGGACGATTCTTGTAATCAATACTTTACAGTATATTATTTACGTATTAATTATCAGAATCCAACCCTCCTTCGGAGGATTGCACATCCTTTAGTTTCAAGCGTGAACCTCATAGTTTCTACTTTGGAGTCTCTAAAAATCTTTAGGGATTGTCAACTACAATTTTAAGATTCAGCCAGCCTTCCTACTGTCGGATTAGCTTGTCTATGTCTATTGATTCCTATGAATAATTGGCCCCGTGGACCGCTGTGGTCCATAGACTACGGAAGAAAGCATGGACAGCTGTTTGGTCCCATGGAAGGACCACAAAAATCACGATGATTCAGAACAAGTAACTAATAATATAGGAAATTACTACATTTACTCACTATTTTTTCTCTTTTAATAGATGAAGAAATTATAAGTACGTGGCTGTAACCAAGAAAATAAGGGTGGTTGTAAGTGAATTTCAGTTTTAATGCCAACGATTCAGACATCTGTGTTTTTCATTGTCAGCTGAAATAAAAGAAAACAGGCACATAATTGACGACGGGTGTCATGTGTCAGGCGTCATGTGGTTTGCCTAAACTACTGACCTAAATTATTTGGAACAAAATGATGGTAAGATCGTTCCATTTTTTCTTTATACTATATATATGTATATAAATTCTGAATTATTCATTATATTACTTCAAGAACATAATGAAATATTGAGAAAATGTAGGTTACATACCACCAAAATCTGTCTCTTTCTAGGTCAACTTTATATTGCATCAAGTAAAATTCATCTTTTAGAAAAATAAAATTATAATATAAAGTTGTTTGGTTGAAGTTAACCTTCTGTATGAACAAGCGTATTGTCGTGTAGTTAAGGTTTTCGTTACCAACATAAATAAGTTCAAACAACTACGTCACCATGATTGATTGAGACTGCTCAGTTTACCCTTTATTTTTTCCTTTTGTTTTTAGCCGACAAACAAAACAAGTTCCATTGCTTTTATGTCGAGTGCAATGACCAAACAAAGTTTTGGTTGCTCAAATATTTAAAGTGAAAATTTTATTATGTAACAATGACATGAAAGCACAATAACGTACAATTTTACTTATTTCTTACAACAAATGAATTTATCATTAGTTAATATAATGCATGACTCATAAATAATAAAAAATAAAGCATATTGCATATTAAAATAAAAATAATTGTTTTTTTAGCTCTCCACTATTTTGTTAAGACATAAATTTTTTTTAATTAATTAAAATTAATTTATTTTTACATGAGTTTAATAAATTCATAAAAAAGTTATTTTTTTATATTCTCTCAATTAATTTAAATAAAAAAAGAAACATATTGTTTGCCCCTTATAATCAGCATATTCATGGCCAACATCCCGAAACCTTCATGCGGGAGTTAAGATTCTCAGTGACCGCTGCAAATAATCATTGACCCAAGCATTTACTGATCAGCTCTAAGCTGGGGGCAGTCTGCCCGGCCATTTGAACCTATGAAAACATGTGGAGCCTCGTTAAGACGACAAGTCTATTTTCGCGCGAAGGTTGCTTCTTCTAAAAAATGCATGATTATCATTTGATGTTCGATTCACATTTTAATAAATGTAATTGATTTATGCGAAAAAAAAATATTGGCTAAAATAAAATCACCCTTTAACAATTGTAAAAAGAAAATTAAAAAACTAAACAAAAAATTTAATTTTCTCATATTACTTGTTGATAGGTTATATAAATTTGTGCAAGATTAGATAATTTTTTATTTAATTCGAATCGAAATTTGAACATGAATTATGTAATTTAAAAGTGATTTGAATCAAAATTTAATTTAATAATAAATTTTTATTTAATGACTATGTTTTATTCTCACGTAAAGAAAAATGATGCATAACCTGAATGACACAAATGTGAAAAAAGCTGGAAGGGATCGTATTGAAAGAAGGAAAACAAAAAAGGGTCAAATATTAATGCAGTTAATTTCATTTTATCAAACTATCAAATTTAATTCCTTAACAACCTTTCAAACAAATCGTCGACCAAAGCCCAAACCATATCTACCTTTTCAGAAGACAATTCCATTTAAACAACATCCTCATATCCCGAAATGTTCTTATCTTAAAAGATCAAATACACCCGAGAGAGGGAGAGACCCCTCATGTAGTTCACTGGCAGTGCAAACTTTCATAGAACGCGACTATGGCTGTTGACAGTGTTCCGCTTCTCAACACTCATGGTCATGGCAATGATAACAACCAATTAGAAAATCCTGTTAGATGGGTTAAGGAATTCGGACATGAGTCCAAGAGGTTATGGCGTCTTGCAGGGCCAGCAATTTTCACAGCAATTTGTCAGTATTCATTGGGTGCACTCACGCAAACGTTTGCTGGCCTTGTTAGTGAGCTAGACCTTGCTGCGGTGTCCGTAGAGAACTCTGTTGTAGCTGGTCTTGCTTTTGGTGTTATGGTAAGTTGTTCTGCTTAAGTTTTGCCATTTCTGTCTATGGATCAGGCTTTCTGCTTTTGGTTTGATAAGATTCTTTTGTTTTTTTGGTTTACAAAAGTTGGAAAGAGTCCAAAACAAAAGGAAGGTTACTCAAGACTTGGAAGAAATCTCCTTGTTTTAGCAAATATGTGCTAATTTCTAGAAATGAGTTTTCGTGTCCATTTTTAATGTCACAGTTAGGAATGGGGAGCGCATTGGAGACGCTATGTGGTCAAGCATATGGTGCTGGTAGGCTAAGGATGTTGGGGGTGTACATGCAGAGATCATGGGTCATTCTATTGACTACAGCATGTTTATTGGTTCCCATCTACGTTTGGTCACCTCCCATTCTTCAACTATTTGGAGAGACCACAGAAATCTCCAACGCTGCAGGTTGGGATTTTGCTATGTTCTTAAAAGAAAATTGACAGAAAATCCATCTAGAATCAACCCTATTTAAAAAATACGAGGAAAAATGAGATCTAGTAACATCCTGAAGGACCTGAACTTGTTGATGCAGGTAAGTTTGCTGTGTGGATGCTGCCACAATTATTTGCTTATGCTATGAACTTCCCTATACAGAAGTTCTTACAAGCTCAGAGGAAAGTCATGGTAATGGCTTGGGTATCAGCCCTGGTACTAGTGCTACATGCCTTTTTCAGCTGGCTGCTGATACTTAAACTCGGATGGGGCTTAATCGGAGCAGCAATTACTTTAAATACATCATGGTGGCTCATAGTTATTGGACAGTTTCTATACATTTTTATTACCACGTCGGATGGTGCTTGGTGTGGATTCTCATGGCTAGCATTTGCGGATCTATTTGGCTTCGTCAAGCTTTCTTTGGCTTCTGCTGTTATGTTATGGCATGTTTCATTCCTCCCTTCTCTTTTTGCTGTATGTAAATAATGGTATCAGATTTGACACTTCCGCAGTTGTGGAAAATGAATTGCAGCTTGGAGTTTTGGTACTTGATGGTGATAGTAGTTATAACTGGTCGCCTGCCAAACCCTCTGATACCAGTTGATGCCATTTCTATTTGGTAGGTGTTCGATTATTTCTTCTTACTCAATGGTTAATCCGGTGCATAGTTTTTGGTTTTGATTGCCAAGAATATGAGAAGAAACAGAGCAAATAGTGTTATTTGCAGTGGTATAAATTTCTTCAATGGTAATTACCTTCAAGTTGGTCCAGTGAAAGGTTAAAGACATCATTTTCATTTGGTTCGGTGCTTTATTTAATTTTAATGAAATTGACAATACTCTCTGGTTCCCTAGATATAAATGCTTTTCTCAAACTTTCATTTCTACTTTTTCCAGCATGAACATAAATGGATGGGATGCCATGATTGCAATTGGGTTCAATGCTGCCATAAGGTACGGTCGTCCCCCGTTTTCCATTTCCTTGTTATACAAATTATTACACGCTCGGTGCCTGGAAAAAAAAATTCACTTAGCTTTATAACCATATTGGAATCGAGAACTTACAATTGATGCTCTTGCCAGTGTGAGAGTATCAAATGAACTAGGAGCTGGAAACGCTTGGCTTGCAAAATTTGGTGTGCTAGTTGTTTCAATTACATCTGTGGGCATAGGAGTTGTTTGCATGATTGTGGTGTTTGCAACCAAAGATTACTTCCCTTACCTATTCACCAACAGTAATGCTGTTGCCGAAGAAACAACCAAGCTAGCTACATTATTGGGGTTTACGGTACTCTTAAACAGCCTCCAACCGGTCTTATCTGGTAAGAACAAGAAAAAGAAGTTTGCAGAAACACTGAATTAACTGCATGAAGTTACTCTTTGTTGATTCTTTTTCTTTTCCTATGCAATTTGGTCCCTTAAGGTGTTGCTATTGGAGCTGGTTGGCAAGCTCTTGTTGCGTACATCAATATTGGATGTTACTATGTTGTTGGATTACCGGCTGGCATACTCCTTGGATTCACATTTGGATTTGGGGTTATGGTAACTTGCCATGTCTATCAAATTATGATTTTTGGTGATTATATTTTGCTGAAGCCTTCTCCTGATAGTGCTTTGTATATTTTAACTTCTGAGTTGCAGGGTATTTGGTCAGGAATGATTGGAGGCATTGTTTTACAAACCTTAATCTTGATAGTTGTCACTTCACTTACCAACTGGAACAAGGAAGTTAGTATCCCTTCCCCTGCCATTCAGTTCTCTTTGTTCCAAAGCCCTAAACCATGCTTCTCTTCTTCATTTAGTTTGTTCAGTTCAAAGCAAACCTTGATCCAAGTCTTCTCATACATGCAGGCTGAAGCAGCAGAAAGTCGTGTGAAGAGATGGGGAGGATCAACTGGAGAGCAATGATTTTAAACCAGGGTCCGGTAATTATTGCATTTTTAACAATTTTGTTTGTTATACATCATTTACCAAAAGTTTGAAAAGCTGACTAGTAGGTTATACTTGTAGGTTATACAATAAATTAGCAGAAGCGGCTGAGAATGTCGACATCGAAATCTCATTCCATCAAGTTTAGGTCTCCAATCATCTAAAAAGTTTGATTCCGACAAACTGAGGAATTGAATCGGTTGCATTCAGGATTGATTTGAATATTCAACTTTGCTGTGCTAACCATTCCTTTTGAAATTTCCTTGATTGTGCTGAATAAAGAAATTGGACATTTCAACCATAATTTCCTGAACCACCTTCCCACCATATCCTAAACAACATGTTAACCAGTGCTATGTTAATCATGTTTATAAATTCTAATAATCTATTTTTTATTTTTTTATTAAAAATTAAATTATAATTATCAAAATTAAAAATTTAACATTTTGCGGTTGGTAACAAGTCACACAACTTTACAATAATGTATTCTTTCATTTTCTATGTATTATATATATATATATATATATATAAAAGACTCAAGAAAAACACATTAAAAAAAAATGAAATGAAATGTTGTCATCTCAAAGACTTTGAGATAATACGACGCTGCCTAAGCCCGTTTATGCTTAAGGCATTATCGTCTTTTGCTTGTACGTTATCCTTTACCTGTCTCGGACTCTCGGCTGCTCACGTTACAGTGTGTCAAAATGACCACCAAACTTCTAATTATAATCCGTTTTCCACTTAAATTAAAAAAAAAAAAAGGCTCCTTTTTTTGTATTCCCTTACGTCATCACTTTCTTCTCTATCATTTTTCTCTCAAATTTCCCAGAATCCAAAGAGCATCTCAATTACCTAACCACCGAAATCACTCTCCACTTCACCACCCGTTCCCTCTCGCTAGCCCCCACTGTGGTAGCCCGGCCCGAATCGAAACCGGTAAAAAAATCAAGAAGTACGTCAAGTTCAGGCTCCCAGTTGGGTTCGCGGCTCAGACTATCATAGGATGGGTCGCCGGAAATGTAGGATGTCAGATAAGATATAAGACGGGAAGAATATTTTTCATTCCATTTTTAGCATTTTTTTTATTAAATCTGTTATCCTACTTATACTTGCAAATCTATTTTTATTTTAATTTTTGGGAATATTTAATGAATATAAATAATATTATAATTTTAAAAAAATAAAATATATTTTTTTAATTTTAAAAAATTTATCTTATATATTTATATAATTATTAATAAATATAGTAATATATATTTTAAATAAAAATATATTAATTTTAATTAATTTAAAATAATAATTTATATTATTTAATAAAAAATTTTATTTATATATATAGAATAAGAATAAAAAACAAATGTCATATTATTTGTGTCTATTTTTGTATTTGATAAAAATTTTAAATTTAAATTTAAATTTATTTTATTTTTATAATATAATATCTATTTTATTTTTATTTAAATTAAAAATTAAAAATTTCATTAGATATAAATAAAAACTCCATCCCTATCCAATAATTTTTCAGATATAAATAAAATCGACATTTTACCCAATCCTCGAGTGGTTCTTCAGGGAGGTACCAGAAAATTTATTATTAATTACCGTGACGCCAAGGTAAACTTAGGGTCATGTTTGGGCTGTAGTGTCCTGTAGTAATTAGTTGACTTTCCGATGTTTGATAATATGTTTGTGTTGGGCAAAATCAAGTTCTAAAGAAAAATTGGGAGCCAAAGAACCTAAGAAGTCTGATTAGAATTGGCATTTTTATGCTCCGAACTTTTTTATGCAGGAGTGTCTTCAAGGGAATCCGTTATGGCTGCAGTACATAAAAGTTCCATTGGTGACACTGAGATATGAGACGAGTTACGATATATTTGTGAAAGCTCATGGTGGTGGCCTTTCAGGATAGGCTCAGTGTCATGAACTAATCTTGTATAGAGTTATAATTGAGGGTGTAGGTTATCATGAGTCATTCATGTATAAAGTCATGATCAAGTAAATCTTTTATACTAAGAAAAGTATCTTTTTTTCAAATATTGTAATGGTTAGTGGTAGCATAATTCTAAAATCTCTAAGGCTCTTTAGGGAGGTGAGTGGACAGTGTTCTGTTGGGCTGTCTCATCGGTCGCGATACGGGCTTAGCCATCCGTCAAGGGCTGCCCCTGGCCCTGGCGATGGTGGAAAGTTCTGATGTAATATCTTCGATTTTAATAAAATTCATCTCCGATTCGAATATCCCGATTGTTGTCTTGATGTGTTTTTTTTTGTCGATATAAATATACTTTCTTGTGTGTGCTTGAGATTGATCTCGATCTGAATATGTTTTATTGCGTATGTGAGGGACTAACTGTGGCTTATGGTTATTTGTTCAGATATCGAACTATTGAAGGTTGATTTGGGTGGAAGCGTCCATTCAAGTGTCGTACGGGTTATTACTTATTGAGAGAAAGCCTAGTCTGTGACACGTGATATTAGAGCACGGTTGAGAAGTGCTAAAAAATGGAGGAGATGGCCACAAATGATGGACCCAATTATCAACAGAGACTTGAGGAACTTGAGGCTGCAGTGGCCGCAGTGAAAACTCACATGGTGACTAAAGATCGATTGAAGGAGATCGAGACAACCCAGTGAGAGTTGTCTGATACTCTCTACAACGTGAGCGAAGAGGCTAGAAATGCCTTGAATGTTCTCCAAAAAGAGTTTGAGGAGCTCATAGCACAAGTGAGCATTATACAAATGGCAGTGGCCAGATCGAGTTCGAGCTCAACAAAAAAGGGAAAAAAGGCCAAAATGCCAGAGCCTCGATGCTATGAGGGGCAAAAGATGCCAATGAGCTTGAAAATTTTTTGTTTGACATTGAGTAGTACTTTCAAGTTGTATACACGGATTTAGAGGAAGATAAAGTAGCAATGTCATCGATGTACCTCACAGGGGATGCCAAGCTATGGTGGCGTTTCAAGTTTATCAATAACGAGTGTCCGATTAAAACTTAGACGGACCTAAGATAAGAACTAAAAAATCAATTTTTTCTGAGAATGTGAAGTATATGGCTTAAAAAAAACTTCGAGAATTGGTGCAAACAGGAACAGTGCGAGAGTTTGTAAGGAGTTTTTCTACCCTGATGTTGGATATTCGAGACATGTCTGAAAAAGACAAGATATTTTATTTTCTTAAGGGCCTCAAGCCTTGGGTCAGGACAGAATTACAAAGAGTGCAAGACGTGGCCACAGCTATGGCTGCAGCTGAATGTCTCCACGATTATAATGATGGCTCTTCAAAACAAAAAAATTCTTCATCAGCTGGTAGTAACTTCAGCTTTGGGAGTGGGAAAAAGATGACTAGGTTGGACCGACCCTTCAGTGGAGGATCAGACAGGAGGTCATTTGGTCGAGATAACACCCAACCCAAGACAAACAACGCAGTGACTTTCAAGCCTAGGCAATCATTAGCTTGCTTCCTATGCAAGGGGCCGTATCGGGTGGTCGAATGCCCACATAGAGGAGTCCTTAATGCCTTAAGAGCCTTGTCTCAAGAGTCCGTAAAAGCGCCAGAGAGCATTGAAAAAGTTGAAGATGAACCAGCTAAGATGGGTTCAATAAGGTTCCTCAATGTCTTTCACACCCAACTGAACACTATAAAGAAAGAGTAGGATAGAAGCCTGATGTATGTGAACTTAATGATCAATGAGAAGGCCACCAGGGTCATGGTAGACACAGGTGCAACCGATATCTTCATCACACCAAAAGAAGCAAAAAGGTGTGGTCTCCATGTTAGCAAGGATTGTGGGCGAATGAAACGATCAATTCGCCAGCCTTTGCGATCAGTGGAAGCTTCAAGAGTGTGACGACCAAATTGAGATCATGAAAAGGGAAGGTAGACTTTATAGTTTCCCCCATGGATGACTTTGATATCGTTATCGGATTGAACTTCATGATGTTAGCTCAGGTAATCCCTATCCCTGTCGCTAGCTGCTTGTTGTTATTAGAAGAACACCCATGTGTGGTGCCGACCACTATCTTGTCAAAGAATGGAAAGAAAATGATCTCAGCTTTACAGTTCAAGAAAGAGGTAAAGAGAGGGGGACCCTCTTTTGTGGTCATGTCGATTTACAAAGAAGGGTTGAAAGTGAAATCGATACCCGATGGCGTGAAAAAGGTGTTGAAAGAATTCGAATAGGTGATGTCAGGGATGTTGCCTAAGGTTCTACCTCTTCGACGAGTCGTGAACCATGAAATTGAGCTCTTCCCAATAGTTAAAGCCCCTGCTAGAGCCCCTTATTGCATGCCCCGCCAGAGTTGGTCGAACTAAAGAAACAGTTAGATGAGCTTTTATAGGTCGGGTTCATTAGACCATCATAGGCTCCTTTCGGAGTGCCAGTGCTATTTCAGAAGAAGCATGATGAAAGTTTACGATTATGTGTTGACTACAGAGCCCTGAACAAAGTCACCATAAGAAACAAATATCACATCCCTTTTATAACAGATTTGTTTGATCAACAAGGTTGGGCCAAGTACTTTTCCAAATTGAACTTGAGATCTGGCTATCATCAAGTCAGAATCGTCGAGAGAGATGAGCCAAAGACCACTTGTGTAATACGGTATGGTGCATTTGAATTTTTTGTTATGTCTTTTGGACTGACTAATGCTCCTGCCACATTTTATACATTGATGAATCAAGTGTTTCATGATTATCTAGATAAATTTGTAGTCATCTATTTAGACGACATAGTGGTATATAGCTCCACTTTAGAAGAACATCAAGAACACTTGTGTCAGGTGCTTCGAAGATTACAAGACCACCAGTTATATGTAAAAAAAAAGAAATGTGCATTTGCTTGGACCCAAATACACTTTTTCGGTCACATTGTCGAACATGACCACATTCAAATGGACATGAAAAAGGTTAGGGCCATCAAAGAGTGGACAACATCGAAGAATGTTAGTGAACTTCGCTCGTTTTTTAGACTAGCCAACTATTATAGAAGGTTTGTAAAAGGGTACTCTCGCAAGACCATGACCCTCATGGAGCTATTAAAAAAGGAGCATAAATGGTGTTGGACAAATGAATGCCAAGAGATATTTAAGGGATTGAAGGATGCTATTATGAAGGATCCTATCTTAGCTCTCCTTGATATTGAAAAACCTTTCAAAGTTCAGACGGATGCATCTGATTTCGTTATTGGGAAAGTGCTTTTACAATAATATCACCCAATAGCATTTGAAAATAAGAAGCTAAGCGAAGCTGAGAGAAAATATACGACTAGAAAAAAGAGCTCTTGGCGGTAGTTCACTGCTTGAGGGCTTGACGACATTATTTGTTGGGTTCACACTTTGTTGTGAAGACAGACAATGTGACTGTTAGCCATTTTCTTACCCAACCACGATTCACAGCGAAACAAGCTAGATGGTAAAAATTTTTAGCGGAGTTTGACTTTTGTTTTGAGCACATCGCTGGAAAGACTAATCAAGTGGCCGATGCATTGAACAGACGAACAGAGTTAGCAACCCTTAGAAGAATTACCCTAATGGCGGCTAGCAGAGTCACGACAGACATTCACAAGTTAATTGAAGACCATTTAGGGAAGGACCCGCAGGCCAGTGCCATCCTGAAGCTAGTTAAAGAATGAACGTTCAAGTACTTCTGGTGAGAAAATAGGGTTTTATGGACCAAGAGGCCCCGATTGTTTGTGTCAAGAGCTGAAGGTCTGAGACAGATACTGATGAGAGAATGTCATGACACACCATGGGCCAGACATCCGGGCTAGCAACGCACTTTGACTTTATTAAAACATGGATACTATTGGCCTTACATGCGACAAGACGTGATGGATTATGCAAAGACTTATCTCATTTGCCAATAAGATAAAGTCGAAAAGAAGAAACCTGCAAGCATGCTTGAACCACTATCGATGCCCGTTAGACCGTGAGAAAGCATCTCTTTTGATTTCATTTCGAGCCTACCCAAGTTTGGTGATCTTGAAGCTATTTTGGTGGTGATTGACTGTTTCTCTTAGTACACCACATTCATTCTCACTCACAAGTATTATACTATGAAAGACACAGCTCGACTATTATTTAAACATGTGGTCAAATACTGGAGCCTCTTTCAAAATATTGTAAGTGATAGAGATCCGAGATTCGCGAGGTCCTTCTGAAGAGAACTTTTCAAGATATTAGGGTCCCAACTTAACATCTCCTCAAGCTACCACCCTCAGACCGACGGTCAAACGAAACGGTTCAATGGATTACTAAAGGAATACTTAAGGCATTTTGTTCAAGCCAATCAGAAGAACTGGCCTTCGTTATTGGACGTTGCTTAGCTTTGCTTTAATTCCAACAAAAGCTCTTCCACTAACAAGAGCCCATTTAAGGTAATCACCAGACAATTACCAAGGCTACCCCATACTTTCTTGGAGTAATATGGAGGAAAGAATCCGAGAGCCTTCAATCTCGACAAGGAGTGGAAACAAAACACTGAGATTGCACAAGCCTACCTGGAGAAAGCATCGAAGCGAATGAAGAAATGGGTAGACAAATGTGGCAGGGTGCAACAATTTCAAGTTGGTGATTTGGTTCTTGTTCGACTAGTCCCTGAATAAACCAGGTTTTTGAGAAAGAAAGATCGTAAACTAGTGTGCAAATATGAGAGTCCAGTGAAGATCCTTTCCAAGGTGGGGAATGCTTATTATAAAATCGACCCACCAAAGTGGATGAAGATGCACCTAGTATTTCATATGAGCAATCTGAAACCTTTTCATGCAGATCCTACAGATGCTAGTCGAAGGGAGCCAACCAGAGCCACCATCACCATGAAGCCACCCTCAGAGCGTCGAGTTGAAGAGATCTTAACCGACAGGGAAATCAAGGTATCTCGAAGACTAGTTCGTGAATACTTAATGAAGTGGGAGGGATTAGGACAAAAAGAAACCAGTTGGGAAAGGGAACACAACCTCCGAAGATTCAAGGAAAAGATTGAAGAATTTCAAGCTAGCAAGTCGACGAGGACGTCAATAGAATAGGTGAGGGAGGATGTCATGAGCCAACCTTGTATAGGACCATGACTGGGGGCCTAGGTTGTCATGAGCCACCCATGTATAGGGCCATGACCCGGTAGATCTCTTGTGCTAGGAAAAGTGTCCCTATTTCAAACATTGTAATGGTTAGTGGTAGTATAGCTCTAAAATCTCTAAAACTCTTTAGGGGGTGAGCGAGTAGCGTCTTATTGGGCTGTCTCACTGGTCGCGATACGGGCCTAGGCCATCCGTCAAGGGCTGCCTCCCTAGCCCTGACGATGGTGGGAAGTCTCGATGTAATATCCTCGATTTTAATAAAATTCACCTCCGATTCAAATGTCCCAATTGTTGTCTTGATGTGTTTTTTTTTTGTCGATGTGAATATACTTTTTTATATGTGCTTGAGATTGATCTCGATCTGAATGTGTTTTATTACGTATGCGATGGACTAACTATGACTTATGATTATTTGTTCAGATATCGAACTATTGAAGGCTGATTTGAGTGAGAGCGTCTATTTAAGTACCGCACGAACTATTACTTGTTGAGAGAAAGCTTAATCCGTGACACTCAGCCAATCTCTCTCGACATTGCTTGTGCATTGCTGAAGGTGAGTGAAGACCATAGAAGCTGGTTGAAGAAAGAAGGGCTTTTGTCCGGGGACTCCAGGATCGTGGAAGGAAGAAAGTTGGGCTCAAGAAAGCTCGTAAAGCTCCACAGTTTCCAAAACATGAAGGGAGTTGGAATATACATTTTGTGTTGGTTTGTACGAAATCTTTTGTCATTAACATCTAACATCTGTTCAAGCTTCTTCTTGATGATTTCTTAAAATATTTCTAAATCATCAGAACCCTTTTTGTATTTCATTTGTGCTGTCTGCTCAAGAACATTCTCTTGTATTTCAAGTCGGGAATACTGATCCGTAGTTTTTTCACTCTTAAGTGAATAATCTTGTTAATTACATCTTATTCATTTTACTATTAGAAAAGTAAAACCATTCATGACAATAATAATGTGAGCCATACACCTTATAGGATATGGTAACAAAAGATCAATTAAATAACTAGGGATAATAATTTAGCATATCAAACAAGAAAAATGTATCTGAGTCTTATGTAAATGTATAAGGAAAAGACATGCTCTAGGCAAAAAAAAAAAAAGTTAAATTTGGAGAACAACTTTCATTATCTTTAAATTTTTTTGTAAATTATCTCCTTATCGATAAATTTTAGCTTTGTCAAGAGAAAAAAATTAATTTACAAAATGGTACATAGTGGGTTGTTTTCGAATTATATATATATATATATATAATAAAAAAATTTAAAATAAATAAATTGTTCAATAACCCAAAATAAATAGTTATAATAGATAATTATAAATTATAAATTCAAAATAACTTAAAAAATAATCGTCAACAAAATTTAAACTCAAAATTTTTTTTATAAAAAAAATAAATTTTAATAAATTAAATTAACAACTTGTTGATTGGATTTTTATACTTTTTATATCATGAATCTCACTTAGATATTATATTCAAAGACATTTGACGGAGAATATTAAAATTTTAATTTTATAAATTTGAATTCAATTTTTAAAAATTTAGAGTTTGTTTAATAGAAAGGATAAAAATAAAAATTTAATAATTTAATAATTAAAATTCATAATATTTTTAATTTTATAATTTAATTATTAAATTAAATTTTTTTTATAATTCCTACCAGACACAGCTTAAAAAAAAAAATGCTGATTTGAAGAATTGGATTTCAAGGTTGTCAAAGCGGAATAATTAAAAATATCCAACCATCACCTCTTTATTATTTATTATTTATTACACCAAAAGCAATAACGGAGAAATAAACAAAACTTTGCAGAAACCTGAAACGCACACGTTATGCCAAGTTCGACCTGTGACTATCGAAGTTAACCACTACTTTTAAGCGAGGTACACGACAGATCGTAAGCTACCCCAAAATTAAAGTCGTCATCCACGTGGCAAGTAAATCCCCCAAGTAGCACAATAGACCCCGTGCATTAGATCCTTAGTTTATTCTTCTGAAGGAAAACATAGTACAAGAAAAACACTGAATAAAATAAAAAAACTGAAATTATCTTAACGGCGTAAGAGATAACGGCATGAACGCGAACTCTTCGCCGTTACTCAAGATAAATTCTGTTAAAACAATACTTCAAAAAGAGTTTTTCTATGTCAGTCTCTCTCACCGTCGAAGCGTTTCTTGATCAGATGATCGTCACTTAAGAGCTCACTCTAAAGTCTAAACCGGAGAAGAAGCAAAAAAACTAGCTTCCGCCTCCCTTTCGCTGCTTTGCTTCTTCAACAGGCTTTTGTCGCTTTCCCCTTTCTGTGTTTTTAATTTGATCGAAACGTACAATTGAGAGCGTTTGTCTTTTTTTTTTTTTTTGGGTAATTGGAATGGGTGATTATATGAGTAGCGATAACGAGAATTATTACGAGGATTATGAAGATAATAATAATGGCGATTATTACGACGATGATTATGGAGATGATTCTTCGGTTGGATTTCAAGCCCTCGATACTGAGTTGCTTTCGGCCTACGCAACCGTCCCTAACACTAAGGTTACTCATCGTCTTCGGTTGATTCACGTTTCGTTGAAAGTCAAATTTTCTTCAAAAAAAGTGATTAATTCTTGTTTCTATTTTTAGATTAATTACTGTTAAATTAAATTAAATTAAGACATTAGCTCCAGGCTTCAATGGCTGGTTCTAATTTCTTTTCTGTTCTTTTTCCCCTTTCTGGCTAATATGCTAACAATTTTATTACTGTTAGGGTTACAGATTTAAGCACAAAATCTTTTTTCTGATTTTTTTCTCTAAATTTTGATTTTTTTTACCCCTGTTTTTCTAGGTGATCACAAAGGAGTCACTCTTGGCTACTCAGGTAAAGCCTATATTGTATCTGGAATTGCAATTTTGTCCTTTTCTTTTTATTTTTGAATGTATTGAACATATTTTAGTTATATCTGAATTTTTATAAACCATGGATACTAACAAATCTATGTTTATTGGTGCAGAGGGAGGATTTACACAGAGTAATGGACTTGTTATCTTTGAAAGAACACCATGCCAGAACATTGCTTATTCATTATTGTTGGGATGTGGATAAGGTGCTTGAAGTGCTTGTTGAGTATGGTAAAGATAAATTGTTTGCTGCAGCAGGTGTACAAATGCTGGATGATCATGCGTATTTCCCGTGCCAGTCATCGTCTTCAACCTTTGCCTGCAATATTTGCTTCGAGGATGTATCAGCTTATATGTTGACTGTCATGAGCTGTGGTCATTACTTTTGCAATGACTGTGAGTTTGTTTCCATTAATCAACCTATATGTTTACTTTTTCAATACTGTGGGTTTTCAAATATGCTTAAATATACACGTAACCTCAGTGTTTCTATTGAATTGTTCCAATGCTGAAGTATATTGTCAGAAATAGGATATTTGCCTCTTGCTGTATGGGCTTGAAGATGGTATGGAAGAAATAGATCTTAGTGTCTTATACGACCTAGAAGACAGGTTTCCATAGTTCTGAAGTTGCGCTCTTTCTTTCCTCAAAACTAATTTTCACTGTTAATTCTTATATCTGAATGGGAAAGATTTTGTTGGAATAGAAATTGACTTATGTTGACACTGTTCTACAACTTGCTTATTCTATTTAATTATAAGATCAAAGAAGAAAAGTTGATGAATATATTAAGCAAATTCTCATGCAATAGCGCAATTTTTTCTACTTATTTGGAGAAAAAATGGAACTGTTAACGTTGCATCTTATGAGTGCTTTGTGAACGTTTTGATGCCTGGAAAAGGAGGAGGCTGAAATCTTTCATTTCTGTTTCTGTTCTGTTAGTTTGGACTGAACATTTCATTGTGAAGATAAATCATGGCCAGAGTAGACGCATTAGGTGCATGGCACTCAAGTGTAATGCTGTTTGTGATGAAGAAAAAATCAGACAATTAGTTAGTACAAGGGATCCTAATATTTCAGAGAAATTTGATCGTTATCTTTTGGAATCTTATATTGAGGACAATAGAAGAGTTAAATGGTGCCCCAGTGTCCCTCATTGCGGAAATGCAATACGGATTGAGGATGATGAACTTTGCGAGGTTGAATGTCCATGTGGCAAGCAGTTTTGTTTTAGTTGTTTATCTGAAGCTCATTCGCCTTGTTCTTGTCTCATGTGGGAACTCTGGTCCAAGAAGTGCCAGGATGAATCAGAGACAGTTAATTGGATTACAATCAACGCAAAGCCTTGTCCTAAATGTTGCAAGCCAGTTGAAAAGAATGGAGGCTGCAACCATGTATCCTGTGTCTGTGGGCAATCATTTTGGTGAGAGCTCTTATCTTTGTCTCTTACAGATAATAGTTTGTGATTTCTGTTCCATTTTGCAACATAATTACAGGTATGGACATAAAGTCTTGGTAAGGAAGTTAGGACTGGAGGAATTACCAAAAAGGCCCCTCACATTTTACTTTGATTGTCTTGTTATGTGAATGGAAAAAACTCGTCTGAATGAACAGTTCAGTTTAATTGGTTAATTAGATGGATTATTCAGGTGATTTCTCTTTGTTGATACATGATTATCACTGTTGACTATTAGATCAATTGAAAGACATTTGTAAAATGTAAATTCTTTCCTGTTTATGCAGTTGGCTCTGTGGTGGTGCAACTGGTAGAGAACACACATCTATGTCTATTACTGGTCACAGTTGTGGGCGATATAAGAATGACCATGAGAAGAAAAGTGAGCTAGCAAGGCGCTACCTTGAGCACTATATTCACTACCACAATCGATATAAAGCTCATATAGATTCTTTTAAGCACGAGTCTAAGCTGAAGGAAACAATAATTGGAAAAATAAACATACTGGCGGAAAATGTATCAACATCTAAAGATTTCAATTGGATAATAAATGGACTCTACAGGCTCTTTAGATCAAGGCGAATTCTTTCATATTCTTATGCATTTGCTTACTTTATGTTTGGTGATGATCAATTCAAAGATGAAATGAGCAAGACAGAGAGGAAAATAAAACAGAATTTGTTTGAGGATCAACAGCAGCAATTCGAGGCTAATGTTGAGAAGCTTTCTTCTGTTTTAGAGGAGAAGTTTGATACCTACTCTGAGAATGACATTTTGAGCTTTAGAATGAGGATTATTGCTCTTTCTGCAACGATAGATAATCTCTGCCGAAATTTGTAAGTCTGTCATTTAAACCTTAAAGTTCTCTTCCATCTGATATCACATTTAAATGAATTGAAAGACTATAATTTATAGTAGGTTTCTTTTAATTGAACATGCGAGTTGCATACGGATGGAAGGTGTTGTTGCAGTTCAGAGTTGAGGTTTTGCTAGAGTTGATTCGTTTTAACTAGTGATAGACAGAATATTCAATGTAACTCATATCTGTTTGATCATGCATAGGTACGAATATATCGAGACAGATTTGTTGGGTTCCATCTGGCAGACAGTTCACAGAATAGCTCCTTACAGGTCAAAGGGTGTGGAGAAAGCCTCATCCTAATTGTTGGAGGACACTAAGATGCATATATGGTATGCATGCTGCAATTCTTTAGCACTATTAGTTCTTGGTGTCTTTATTCTTGATCTATTTTTGGTCACATTTTAATTTCAGGGATGTTCGGATTGATAAATATAACTGACATATCTATATATATTTTAATAGATACTAACCTAGATGAAATGATGGATCTTCTCGGCTGTTATTCGGCTTCCAGAGTCGGTGTACATTCTCTACCCAACAATCAAGCTGGAAGGGAAGAAGAAAAGCGCTGATCTTAACTTGGTGTCTGAGAAAGCATAAAGAAAATAATTGATTCCTCAGCTGTAATGTATAGAAAGCAGTTTATTAGGATAAGTTAATTGGTTTTTGCATGAATGATGGTAAGATTTATGTCTATAGCACCACGGTGGCGTTGCTATTTAACTCTTACTACTTTTAAATCATTCATCATATGATTGAACAGAGGCCCTTTTCGATTACTCTCCTCCTTTCACCAGGTTTATGATTTCAATTGTTGCGTGTGTTTTACATGCTGTTGTTATTGACGTTACAATTACATGAATATATCATCTTTGTTTGTTCATATTGTGGATTCTGCATTGATCAAAATTCTTTAATAGGGTTTGAATCTTTCTCTCAAAAAAAAAAAAAAAAACAAAGAGAATCAGGTAAGTTTCCCACAAAAAAAACAGTGAAAAGGATTTAGATAGCACTAGCAGGCCTAGCTGCCTCCTAACGAAATCAACTGCTTAGCTGGCGTCAGAGTTCCAGACTCCAGCGCCAGCAATTTTCAAATCGAAAACCCTAAACCCCCAAAATCCCAATTTCGAATCCTGACCATACACATTTATTTCCATTCTTTCAATTCAAATCTCTATAATTTTTCTAATCCTCATTCCTCGTCAATGTCCTCTTCAATCTTCAAAAAATCAGCATCTCAATCTCAGTCTAAGATGACGAATCCGACGAAGTCGGCCAAATGCGAGTTCGAGTCCAAAGGATACGAAAGAAACATGGCCACCACCGAGTCGGAATCGAGTTGACTCAGCGACTCATACGTTGGTTCGTCAAATATTCGACGCTCCTCATATTCCTTCCAGCCGCTCTGCTGCTCATTTCGAGGCCACCAGGATCGCTATAAAACCCGGATCGATCGTCAACTCGGAACTTAATGAAGTGAAGAAACCCAATTTGTCGGATAACTCAGGAGTTAGTCAAGCGAAGAAAACGAGCCAAGTAAAGAAATCAGGCAGCAATTTGAACCGGCTCGATCCAACTACTCATGTTGTGGGTGGTGTGAGAGAACGTAAGTAGAATATCACATAAATCTCTTTTTCCTTTTTTTTCAACTTTCGTTAAAGAGAAATAGGAAATTTTTTCAATTTTTGAGACCAAAATTATTGTCAAGTAGAAATATTTAGAAATATATGAATAAATGACAAAATGTTTATGGAATCTATCAGGTTTCTTGAAGCTCCTACCAGTTGAAGAACTTGAGCATCCGGATGTTCCAGTGGAAGAAGAATCCACCAGTAGTCCTGTTAAAAGATTGGCGTAAATATCAGACAACGAAACGCCTTATGGTGGAGGGAACTCCACCCTCTCGCGGCGGTCTACTAATGTCATGGATTTAATCTATTCACCGGAAACCAAACCCTTGATGAGATTCAGAAAAGCTTCAATTGTTTTTGAGTCTTGATAAAGAGAATGATGAATTTTAATACTAATGTTTGCTTTTTTTTTTTGTATTATGGATTATGCAATAATCTGTATGGAAATTGTTTGTCCAGGTGAATGAAACTGTTGTTGTACATTGTGGTTTCTTTAGTGAAAGTGGTGGTTTTAAAATATATGATAGGGACAAAAGTTATATGCAACGTTGCAAAGTTGTCGTTTCTACTAGTGCATTTGGAGGTGGAGATGATTTTGATCAGCCTATAGGAATGTCAGAGACATCTCTTGGTAAGGTTAGCATATCTGATGCAGAAGACTTACTTTTTGGCTTAGATGTTCAACATGTTGATTTTTTAATTGAATTCTGTGCTTTGCTGATGCAGGTTTGCTATGTTGCATTCTGGGACGAAATGATGCTTGCAGCACAGGAGTTACAGTGCAATAAGATTGACGAAGATGTATTTATTGGTCAATGGCATATTGTGATTGTACGTAATCTTCCTTTTGTAGACCAAAGGTTGAATTGCAAAATTCCAAAGGTCTGAAGGGTATATGTAAACCAGCAAAGACTAGGAGTTGTCCACTTTTTTATCTCCAAACATTTTGTCTTTTTGGCTGCTCGTAATTGGTATCAACTTATTCTTTGTGTTCAGGACTTATTTAAACTCCTCTTCTTCATTTGTCACCATTAATGTCTTTTCTTGTATTTGCATTGCTCATCTACTATCATATGTTGGCAATTTTAGATCATTATAGCCGTATATCCATGAATTCAGTACTTTAAAATTGATTTTGACCTTAAATTTTGTAGGTGGTCTTAGAGAAAGTATGAGCATTCATCATAATGTAATATGTGGATCAAGGGTCATTTTCTTCCCTTCTTACATTTGTTTGCTTTGATGCTTATGCATCCGTGCATCAAAATGTATGCTAAGAAATTTTATGAAGATTATTTTAATGAGTTTGTGGCTATCAGATGTTGCCCCATCGGCTCTTTCCTCATGCAAAGTATTCTATTCGGGTAGACTCAAAATCTCAGTTCAATCCTTTAGGTGTATTGGAAGCTCTAATTTGGCGTAGGAATTCAATGCTTGCAATTTCAGAGCACGGAGCTCTCGAAGTAGTTTCTATGATGAGGTGAAGGCTGCTGTCAAGAAACGCAAAGCCACACCAAAAGAAGTTGAGGTGTGAATGACTCAGTATAATCAGGATGCTCTTCCTGAGGACATAATATTTAATGGAAAGAAATGTATTATTCTGTCTTCTCTTTCTTGTTTGTGTAAAAGATATCACAACGAGAAGCAACTTTTACTACATTAAAGGTCAATGGGAGTGATGATGCAAAACTGGCATGCCTTAATAATTTCTTATGTCCACTGTAAGCACTATACTTTTCATCATTCAATGTCCAGTCTGGATTACATTGTCTGAATTCCACTGCTCCTGGCGTTTGAGGTTGCAAATTTGTTATGCAGGACTTAGAGAGCGGTATATATGCCGTTTGTTATTTATGCGTATGAAAGCTTTTACTGTCTGTACCTATATATCAATGCTCCAAACCAAGGCTTGCTAAAATTGGGTCTTGTATTCTTGCCTATGGTTCTGCAGCCTGGCTGAGTTTGGCGGCATTAAAGCTCAGCCTTGTTCCATATAATAAAACCTCAATAGTGAGAGAGGCCAGTAATTGGAAGTAAGCCTCAAGCCCTTTTGACACGTTTCTTACACAGAGAAAAAGTGAATAAAATGCTGAAAGAAGGGGGATGTAATTCCTTGAACCAAGTCCAGATAACTGGAATTTACCTTTGAACATAGTTTCCTGCAAAATTTTGATTTGCCTTTTGCTTTTCTGTGCAGCTCTAAATGAAGCCTCTGTCATTGTGAGTAAGCATACACATTTGACTAATCTATTCATTTGCCTCTGGTTTAATGAGGTTGTTCCTTTCACTTCGAGGGATCAATTGAGCTCTCCCGGTGTTCTCTGGCGGATGAAAGTGCTAAAGAACATCAATATGTTCCCAGTCTGCACACGTAAAGATCTTGTTAATAGCATGGGTCACATACGCAAGGCTAAGCCTTTGATAAATTGATGTTATTTATCTGGTTCCAGTTGAACGTCTTGACTATTACATAGAAATGGTGGGGGAATATAGGCTGTGTTATAACCTTTAATCCATTTTGTTATCTACTTGCATGTTTATAGGTGGCATTGGTGATTGGCCTTCAGAGCTTGTTATCTCTTATCCTCTTTTGCTTCATTAATTTGTTTATTATTTTACTACAAAAAATTCGATTTTTTTTGTTAGAATAAATTGCTATAGTTCTTGTATATATCTGGGTACTAACCTCTAAGAGATCTGATTGTAAAATGGATGAATCGAATCTTACATTTATTCTTACCTTTGATATAGGATGAATTGAATCTTACACTTGTTCTTACTTTGATGTGGTAGCAAAATTATTTTACCTACTCAAGGCCCACGACCAACTCAATTCCAGGAACTCCCATCGTTTCTACATGATTAGGTTTAAAGCTGAAGAAGTGGCCACCAAATTTATTTAGCACTGAGGAACAGGTTTGTTTCCATATCTAATGTATCCAACTCTAAAAAATGCTTGCCAGAATCATATTTTGCTTGGCAGTTATTTTAGCCATTCTGGCTGTTATTCTCTTGGCCTTGTTCTCACCGGAAGCCCACAAAAACCCCGTTACAAACGCCCCCAGACCTTGGCTGGCCCTGTCCTTGGACATCCAACAGCCACATATTTCAAGCTCCAGCATCCAACCTGTTGCCCAGCCAGATGCCGGAGCTTTTATCTTTCACCGAACACTCACGAAAGGACCTGAGAACACGTCCCGAGTAGTTGGAAAAGCCCAAGACTTCATTATTCCGATTGAACATTTCGCTAATTCTGCATTCAATGTAGTTTATCTCACTTTTGAAACACCTGAGTATTCTGGGAGCCTGGTGTCCAGGCCAAGCATGTTGAACATAAGGATAGAGAAGAATTAACAGTGGTTGGAGGAACTGGTTCTTTTGCATTTGCACGTGGGCTTGCAGTTGTTGCGCAGACTGATTCCCAGTCATCTGAAGCTGATCTCACTTATCATATAAAGCTTCAGCTTAGATTTCCTAACAGATCCCAGACGATTCCAGGATGAGGCAAACCCAGAATCATCTGTTTGAGATATTATTCTTTCCATTATTCTTTTTTCTTTTTCATGAATATATATATAATTTTATTGCAGAATCTTTAATAAATAGCTCCAAATTTTTATCGGCAAATTGCCTCGAGTATGAGAATCTCTGTTTCTTTCTTTAACACGCACACAATCACAATAACCAAGCAAAAGGAAGATGTTCAAGACCTGGAACTGCGTCAGGAGCCAGGATTCTGAGGGCCCAATTTCCGAAAGACATTGGAAACTTGGACCATCTTTCGATGCCACATTAGCCCAAATAATGGCAAATACATTTTCAAAAAATAAAATCCCTCTTTTGCGACAGTGTTCACAAATTTTCGTGTCTATATTATATATATATATATATATAAATAAGTAAGAGACTTCAAACCCGGTTTATCCGGGCGTATTACCAGACAAATCGGGCCGAAACGCTAATTTATAATTTTCTTCGATAATTTATAAGCCTTATATTACTTTTCTTTTCTTTTTTTGTTATTATTTTTTTTAAAATTTTGTTGGTTCGTGTCTGTTAACTGTTAATCACGCAATTTTTTCACATTTTCTCTGTCTCTCCCTCTTGGAGATTGGGAACCTGGGAAGCTCGCATCCGTTGAGGAAGGAAGGAGAAAGTCGTAGGAATACGAAATGGCGAAATCAAGCGCGGACGACGAGGAGCTAAGGCGAGCTTGTGAGGCCGCAATCGAAGGCACCAAACAGAAGGTCGTGATGTCAATTCGCGTCGCTAAAAGCCACGGGATCTGGGGCAAATCTGGCAAATTTGGCCGCCACATGGCTAAACCTAGAGTCCTCGCTCTCTCCAGTACCTCCTCTCCTTAATCTGACAATATTTTCTCTACTTTAATTTACGATGTAGTTTTTTTTTTTTTTTTTTACTTCTTTTCAATTGAAAATTTATTGATTATGCTAGAATTGTGTAAATTGCAATGTTGAACTATTGAACTAACCGTTACGATAGTAAATTGTCCCAAACTGTTAGGACAGTTCAAATTCAAGGAATATTAGCTATACTTTGTAAAGGTTTTTGAATTAAAATAATAATAATTAGATTTGAAGTGCCATGTGTTCCCTTATAAGTCTACTGCGGGGTTCTTCATTCTTGTTTGGATTAATGCTGGATTCTTGAAGCTTTTTTTGCTTGTCCTTATGAAGACCTATGGTTTATGCAGTGAAATCAAAAGGTCAGCGAACTAAAGCTTTTCTGCGAGTCTTGAAGTATTCTACAGGAGGCGTTCTTGAGGTAATTGTCCCTTATTATAATTTCAGACTATGTGTGTTAGGACAAACGGGAATAAGTGCAGAAAGATTAGCCAATGAGTTTATCATTTTTTATTGAGTAAGCCTTTTTGTAGTGTTGCTACATGGTAGCTTAAAGCTGAACGCAGAATGATTAGGGTGGCCATTGTGAGGTTTCAATTGGCTTACCTGTAATAGGTTTTGACCTCTGAGGCTGTGCTGGTCCATAAATTTTTTGTTAGGACTCATTGGTACAGTTGCTTGCCTCTCTGGCTTCATTCTGCTAATATAGTTGATTGTTGTTCATCATACATTAGGTTTATATGTTTTACCAGAATGAATTATCAGTGTGTGATTAATTGTCATTTGTGTGCATTAGTGGTGAATCAAGAGTCATAAGATGGCCATGATAAAGTGGGATATAGCTTTGTTTATTGTTCTTATGGATCACATCTTTTCCTTTTCTACTGAAGTTTGCTATTGATAAAAAATAATGAATATACAAATCACAAAGTACAGCTAGCCATTTGTCTACCTCTTCATGTGAAACACAGAATCATTTATACAATCACTTTTTGCATTACTGAGAAGAGAATATTACTAGTACAAACAAAAGGCAAACTTCTTCAATTTCCAATACAAAGGGCAGGGAACTATTTGATTAAAGATGAGGTTCTTAAGTCTTAACTAATAGGTAATCTAGTTTTATTGATTTTAGGATCATATATTGACATATGAATTACTAAAATTGTGCAGCCTGCTAAGTTATACAAATTGAAGCATCTTTCAAAAGTTGAGGTTATAACTAATGATCCCAGTGGATGTACTTTTACTTTGGTAAGCCCTTTTTTTGTTCCTTTTCTTTGGTTGTTTGAATAAGAATATTCTGTTGAAAGCTGTATGTTCTTTGATCTTTATCAACTTCAGTAGACCAAACACTGCTTAGTGACTATGTGATTTAAAGAACCAATTGAGCAGAAGTAGAATATATTTCTACCTTAAACTTCTTTTCCATGTTCTCCCTGCATGGAATTTTTTATTCAACTTCTAACTGAACTTCTTATAGGGATTTGATAACCTCAGAAGTCAAAGTGTTGCTCCACCTCAGTGGACTATGCGCAACATTGATGACAGGTAAATTGAAATCGCTCTGGATTGAAGATATCACCTTTTTGTTTGGATGTTTCTTTTTTCCCTTTTATGGTTCCTTCCTTTTGGTACTCCAACAAAATTAATGCTTATCTTCTTTTCTTGATTGTTCTTTTAACAATTGGCTGTTGTTGCATATAGTTATTTATTTCCATGTCCTTTCTTAAATATTTTTGCAGGAACCGCCTTTTATTATGTATCTTAAACATCTGCAAAGATATACTTGGTCGCCTTCCCAAAGTTGTTGGTATAGATGTTGTGGAGATGGCTCTTTGGGCTAAGGTGAGTTTGATGATTTTGTTCTTTCTGATTTCTTGAGTGTTGAATTGATACTAAATCATTTTTTTATGCAAATTATAGAATACATGAAAGTCACAAAAAGCTGTAATTATGCAGAGCATAACATAAGCTTTTAGTTGCTCATGCCTAGTGGCCAAGTTTAAGGATATTTTAACTTATAGAACCTAGTGGATTGGTGTTCATTCTGAGGAGCATAATGCCATAGTGGAGTTCTGATTTTGCTTAAAATTCAAGATATCTTATTTCAATAATTTTATCTGAAATTTTCTTTTCTCTTGTCTTTAACTTGTATGCTGTATCTAGGAAAATACACCCTCTGTCACTACTCAAAGGAATCAGCAAGATGGTCTAGTTGCAACTAGAGTAACTGAAAGTGACTTGAAAGTGACCGTTGAAAAGGAACTTGTTTCTCAAGCTGAGGAAGAGGACATGGAGGCTCTTTTGGGCACGTATGTTGTTCCTTTATTCTGATCTAAGGTTCTTCAGTGAAAGTCAGATATGCTTCACCCTTAAGCAACTGCATAGATTCCTTCTAGACTGTAAAATGCTAAATTGCTAATGCAAATTGACAGAGTAGACATAAGGCATGATAAGGGATGGCAAATCCACCCAAACCTGTTGGGTTCCAAGAATAGGATCTTTTTTTTGAAAATCGGGTTATGGGTTGGGTCGGATTTTTTTTCCCAAAGCTGAGGTCGGATCAGAGTCTAGTTTTAGGTAAATGTGACCCAGTATATATATAAAATATTTTTTATTATTTATTTAATTTTATATTTATATATGTATTATATTAATAAAATTATTATTTAATACTTTAATTGGGTCAGGTCGGTTGCGGTTTTGTACATATGCGGGTTGGGTATGAAAAAATAACGTTTTGATGTCGAGTTAGAGTCAATTATGAATTTTATAAAGTCAATTCGGAGTCGGGGCGAGAAAAAAAAAAGGCCCTAACCCAACCCATTGCCATCTCTAGGCATGAAGCACACCTGCAGTCCAATTCTTGGAAATTGATATGCAAGTATTCACTTATTGTTGGTTGTATCCAGAAATATATCAGATGAGAATGGTGATATCAATATGTTGCATTTGCATTTTGTTTTTTAAAAAATAAAATATTTATTTATCATCTGCCAAATTACTCAGATGATTAGATAACAGCTAAAGTCATAGTTCTATTTCTCTAAGGGTGATGTTGGGGAGGGGGTCCTTATCTTGGCTGCAATATCTGTCATTTTTTGGAAACAGAGCAAAAAAAAGTATGAAGATGTGGCTTGGTTGTTGTAGTGGTCATAGTTCCTTGATAGTCTATGATTCTTGATTTCTTTTTCTTCACAGTCTGTTTCATTTGCATAACTGAAAAGAAATATACTGTTTTTTTGTGTTTGGTTCGTAATGGTTGAAGCACGTTAATCTTATCCTAATGTTTTTTATCATAACATGAAATACAGCTATGTCATGGGCATTGGTGAAGCGGAAGCATTTTCTGAACGGTTGAAGCGGGAGCTTCTTGCTCTGGAAGCAGCAAATGTGCATGCCATTTTGGAAAGTGAACCTCTAGTAGATGAGGTGTTTACTTCTATTTTTGCTTTTTGATTGTGTTTTTCCTCTCATTGTTTTATTCTTATATCTCACTGGCACCATGTTGGGACTATTAAGAATCAATGGCCTGCATTGTTCCCATGCTTCACGGCTCTTCTGGTCTAGTCCCATCCCATTATGCATTAGGTATCAAACAGGCTTATCAGATATTCTATGCAGTCTTCTTTACTTGCATTTTGGGTATACTCAAGTTCACAATTTCTCTACCTTGACTTCTAGCCATTCTTCTCTAACAGCTGCTTATTTATGTTTGCCTACTCCTAAATAGTTCCAATGAATATGTTGTTGTGTTTGAGGAACTTCTGTTTATTTTCCACCTTACCTTGTGGCTTTTATGATTGCTTTATGTGTTTAGAACATTCTTGGTTTTTTTCATATGAAAATTCTTTATTAATCTTGGTTATGCTGATGTTCACCACTATTAACAATATGCTTCTTAGTCACTAAGCTTACTGTTCTGTTCCTCGTCTTTCAGGTATTGCAAGGGCTTGAGGCAGCAACAAATTATGTTGACGACATGGATGAATGGTTAGGAATCTTCAATGTTAAATTACGACATATGAGAGAAGATATTGAGTCGGTAGGGAACCTTTTGTGGACAGTCTCTTAATTGTAGGATCCTCTGTTTTCATCCTGTCTAGTCTGTCATTAATCCATCATTTATGTGCTTCTAGTTTGCTGCTAATTTTGTCCTCAAATTAAATGGTGAAGATGTAAACTATATATTCTTGACTTCAACATCTGACTTCTTCTTATGCCGGCATGTAACTCTTTTTCACAATATACTAGATAGAAACCCGCAACAACAAGTTAGAGATGCAGTCTGTAAATAATAAAGCACTCATTGAAGAACTTGATAAGCTTCTTGAACGGTTGCGTGTCCCTTCTGAGGTATATCATCCATTGCTATATATTTTTTTTTTTAGACTTTAGCCAAGGCATGTAGCCTGTATTCCCCTAACAATTTTATTATTGGTTGCAGTATGCAGCTTGTCTTACAGGAGGCACATTTGATGAGGCTCACATGCTTCAAAATGTTGAAGCATGTGAGTGGTTAACTGGTGCTTTACGTGGCCTTGAAGTACCTAACTTGGATTCTACTTATGCAAACATGAGAGCTGTATGGACTTACCACTCTCATTTCCCTCAGTTTCCACAGTTTTGTAGTTAGGCAAATTATCCAGTAGATTACGTGGCACAGGACTAGTTTAACACATGCTGCTTACTTGGATGTTCACTTAATGTTGGAGCTTTTACTTTCAATAACTTTGCAGTGGACTAGTATTGCTACTGGATCTGGATTTGTATGGTCTTTTAAGAATAAAAGTCGCTTTCTGTTTGTTGTGTCTTTATTTTAGGTTAAAGAGAAGCGGGCAGAACTCGAAAAACTAAAAGCTACATTTGTCCGGAGAGCTTCTGAGTTCTTGAGAAACTACTTTGCCAGTTTGGTGGATTTTATGATTAGTGACAAAAGCTACTTCTCCCAGGTATTGCTTTTATGTTATTTTCATCTTGATGATAAGTATCAACAGTGTGGCAAGGATTCCTAAATGTTGTTCATCTGCTTGATTTAAACAGCGGGGGCAGTTGAAGAGGCCTGATCATGCTGATTTGCGGTATAAATGCAGGACTTATGCGCGCCTTTTGCAACATTTAAAGGTCAAATCGTAGATCAACTCTAAATGTGTAAAATAGTTTGTCTCGATTGTTCTAATACTTTCGTTCCTTCTCGTTCTCAGAGTCTTGATAAGAGTTGCTTGGGTCCTTTGAGGAAAGCTTATTGTAGCTCCCTTAACTTACTTCTTCGGCGAGAGGTTGGGAATGCAGAATGAAATATTCAACTATCTAGAAAAGAAATGCCTTTTTTATTTGAACTTTATGTTTTTTAAAATGCTTGATAAATAGTTATAATTCTGTTTAGGCTCGTGAATTTGCCAATGAGCTACGTGCTAGTACAAAAGCATCAAGAAATCCAACGGTATGGCTAGAAGCTTCCACAGGTGGCAGTCAAAGTGGGAATAGTGCAGACACTTCTGCAGTTTCTGATGCTTATGCCAAAATGCTGACAATTTTTATTCCACTGCTTGTAGATGAGGTTATAGTCCGTCTGCACTATTTGTACATGAGGTACATGTATTCTCAAGTCTTAATTTATTGAAATTTAATTCCTTCATGTCTCAAACTGCAGAGTTCTTTCTTTGCACACTTCATGTGCTTCGAAGTTCCTGCGCTTGTTCCCCCCGGAGGTGTTGCTAATGGTAATAAAAGTGGATCCTATGATGATGATACCAATGATGATGATCTGGGCATTATGGACATTGATGACAATGATAGCAAAGCTGGTAATCATTTCTCTTGTGCTTTTATAATTTATGGTAATAAATCTCCCTTCCTCTAATTCAAACTCTTATAAATGTGGAAACTACTTTATTTTGCTAGGTAAAACTTCTGCAGATCTGCAATCATTAAATGAATCACTGCAGGATTTGCTTGATGGAATTCAAGTATGCAAGCATATTGGAGTCTTTTGCAGATAGATTTTCTGTTGCTCCTTGTTATGTTCCTTTTTTTTTTTTTCTGAGTTTCTGGAACCAGAATTACATTTTAAATTATGAATGTCTTCCCAAGTTTTGGTACTTTTTATTAATGTTCATCATTTTTAACTTGATTGCATATTCTTCTCATTCTTTATTTCATTGTACTTGTTCTCCTTGTTTTCCATTAGCATTTCTTTATGATGTTACTTAGCGGGCACTCCCTGGTTTGCAATCTCAATTTCCAATTTTCTGGATTACAGGAAGACTTTTATGCTGTAGTTGATTGGGCATATAAGATCGACCCTTTACGTTGCATATCCATGCATGGGATAACCGAGCGCTATCTATCTGGCCAGAAAGCTGATGCAGCAGGATTTGTACGCCTCCTGCTTGGTGACCTGGAATCAAGAATTTCTATGCAGTTCAGCCGGGTACATTTATTGAAACTGAAATTCTTATGACCTTTTGCATTTAGTATGAATCTAATCTGTTTAAGCTGCAACTGAATTTGCAGTTTGTTGATGAGGCTTGTCATCAAATTGAAAGAAATGAGCGTAACGTTCGACAAATGGGAGTCTTATCATACATCCCTCGGTAAAGTGAATGCCTTTATGAGAATTCAGAGATTGCAAATTTGAGACCAAAGCTGATAAAAATGCAAAGAAAAAAAACTAGTAGTAGTTGTTTTCAATTAATGGTTTGAAATGTTTTTGTTTTTTCTGGCATATATTTTCAACACGCTGTAAATTTTATTTCCAAAATAGCTAGGTTTAATATTCATATGTGATGCTTTATTATTTACTTGCTCATCAGGTTGGACTTCAGTTCGTTTTAAACAGTTCATATGTTCTTATGCACAGCTTTGCAACTCTAGCCACCCGCATGGAACAGTACATCCAGGGACAATCTAGGGACTTGGTTGATCAAGCATACACCAAATTTGTAAGTCCTATTTTCAGCCTGACATCCTTTTTATTTTTTGATTAGTTGAATAATGTAGTTAAACTCATGATGGACCATACAGTTTCCTTCATAATGGTAAGACTTAAGCATGTGCTAAGGTCTTGTTTTGCTACTAATCAGCACACTTTTGCATGTAATGGAGTTATAAGTCACTAAAGCATCTGCTAAGTACAGTCACCTTTCCTGTACTTTTGATGTGTTTGGCTGCATTTATTATCCTTGTTTTTCTTAATAAGATTAATCTTTCATATTGTGGTATCAAATCAGCTTTTTTTTTTTTTTGTATTTTTCTTTATGTTATTATCTTCTGAATTTATGTTTATTACTGAAAAAAATTCACATTGTAAATATTGTTTGGCAGGTCAGCATTATGTTTGTGACTCTCGAAAAACTTGCACAGACTGATCTAAAATATGCTGATATATTTCTTTTAGAAAACTATGCAGCATTTCAGAATAGGTCTGGATCTTCTTTTTCCTATTTTTTCTATGGCTATGGATATAATAATTCTCATGTTTCCTTGAGGGCAATTTTTTTTCTCTCCATGCACATTGTACAGCTTGTATGACCTGGCCAATGTTGTGCCCACCTTAGCCAAATTTTATCACCAAGCAAGTGAAGCATATGAACAAGCATGTACACGTCATATCAGCATGATAATATACTACGTAAGGAATCCACCTTGGTGGCTTTTTATTTGCTTTACCCATTATTGTTAAGCAGTGATGTTAAATAGTTGTGGAAATACTGATAAGCTTTTCAAGTTATGACTCAGTCTTTAAAATTGTTCTCTCTTTGCAGCAATTTGAACGACTTTTCCAGTTTGCTCGAAAGATTGAGGATTTAATGTTTACTATTTCACCTGAAGAGGTTAGAGTGCCAATGATAGTATTTTGTCGTGGTCTTAATTTATGCATATAGAGTTTCATCAGATAGCTCCTCAAGAGTATCTGTATCTTTCCCACTTTTAACTAAATTTACGGAACAAGGCTTAATGTGCATGGTAGTACCATCCTATCTTTAGTCATGGCCGGAATCCCATGATAAAAATTGAATCAACTTTTTTCTAATGAAATTAGTGCCAATAGTTATCATCAGACTTTGGTGGATTTGTTAACAAATGAATGATTTGGCTTTGTCCTTCAAAATTTGCAGATACCTTTCCAGCTTGGATTGTCTAAAATGGATCTCCGGAAGATGTTAAAATCCAGTTTATCTGGGGTGAGTTGATCAACAATTTTCAGAACATGATGTCCTTTAGTTTCAAATAGTGGAATCTATATCTTGACTTGTCGTACAGGTTGACAAGTCTATCGCTGCAATGTATAAGAAGTTGCAGAAGAACTTAACATCTGAGGAACTGTTACCCTCATTGTGGGACAAGTGCAAGGTAAGCTAGCTTCCATTTCAAAAACCGCTCAAGGCTTTACTATTTTTTGCCAAAGCATTTTTTGTGGATCATTAATCAATGCCAAGGGAAAGAGCATTAGAAAAACCCGGGTGAGTTGTGAGGTGAACGAAAGAGGGAGTTTGAGGTTGCTTCAACTTCTTAGGTGCTGATTGGGTGGGACATTCATTACTGGGTTGCTTACTAGTTTTATTATCTTACAATATTTGACAGAAGGAGTTTCTGGACAAGTATGATAGCTTTGCCCAACTTGTTGCCAAAATTTACCCCACGGAAACCATCCCCTCGGTGACTGAAATGAGAGAACTCCTTGCTTCCATGTAAAGGGAGAGAATTTTGCCCTCTGTATAATCTTTTGTGGCTCAATTTGGAGTAGAGAGCTTTACTAGCTTGCTATAATTATTCTTCTTGTTATTGCAATAGACAATTTTCTGCCCCATATTCCATTTTATTTGGATTTTAGCCATTTTATTCATTCATTACCGGATAGAAGTTAATATTTGTATCCTTTTCAATGTAAATTGATGTTTGCCTGCTTTAATTTTCATCTTGTGTACAGCAATTAAAGAGTTTCTAATCGACTCAAAGGTGAAAATGGATGATCCATTCGCCCTTTTTTCCCCTCTACCTATATAGCTAGGGACAAAGACGTCCTTAGCATACTTGGTTTCTTTAACCAACGGATGAAACAAAAGGTCTATCACCTATGCGTCAATTTGTCAAACAAATAGCCATCAAAACGATCGATTTTCTTCTTCTTTTCCGTTTTTCTTCCATCTTTGGAGGGCATCAGTGATGACGGAAGATAATAGTAACTTTCTCTCATTGCTTTCAAGCACCATTGAATCAATCTCTCTCTCAGCAGCTGCATATTCAATCCTTTTATTTTTTTGGGTAAACATATTTATTTTTAATTTTTGCAAAATAAGTGGTAATCTTTTATGGTAATAATGTCGGGATATTGTAATAATTCTATAATTTACATTCGATATCCAATTAAAACCATATATACCACATGCGTATATTTAAAATATCTGAACTATTATTACTACTAGTTTTAATTGGTGGGTGCACTGAGCAATTAAGTGGGATGCCAGCACAGGATTCCAAAATTTTAGAAATAGAGGAGAAGTTTACTAGGGAGAAAAGTCTTCGCCCACATCAATAAACAAATCTCTCCATATTCTAGTTCTCATCATCATAGGTTTTTTAGGTTTTTTTAGGATTCCATTGATTTACCCAACACAGAGCATAAAAAGAAAAAGTTTCCGAACATCGTCCTGTTTTTAAACAAATCTATCTCTTCTCTTTCTTAATATCCTAAGTTTTTCGGCTTTTTTCTAGGGTTGGATTTTAACTTGTCATGGCGGCTTCTGATGAGGACGATAAGCACCTTGCCCACGAGGATAGTGATGACGACTCCTATAACGACGATACGGATCATGAATTACTCCAAGGCAACAGCAGGGCTGATTATGATGATGATGATGATGATGATGATGATGATGATGATGATGAGATTGCACTCGAAGAAGATGAAACCCTTAATATCCCTAGGTTGCACGACAATTTTAGTGTTCTAAAAGAAGCAGATATACGTCAGCGTATGGAGGAGAGTATTGATCAAGTCTCCTCTGTTCTTTCTGTATCAAAAGTTGAGGCAAGTGTCTTACTCCTTCACTATAATTGGAGTGTTAGTAAAGTTCATGATGCATGGTTTGCTGATGAAAAACAAGCCCGTGAAAAGGCAGGCTTGCTTGTCAAACCATTGATTGAATTACCTGATCATGGCTATATTCTTTGTGTAATCTGTTTGGAATCTTTCCCTCGTGATGGGTTTAAGTCTACAGCTTGTGGGCACCCTTATTGCAATGATTGCTGGAGTAAGTATATTAAAACAGCTATCGCTGATGGCCCTGGAAGTTTATTGCTAAAGTGTCCCGAACCATCTTGTCATGCTGCTGTGGGTGAAGACATGGTTGGTCTATTTGTGTCTGAGGAAGAGAAAAACAAGTATTCTGGTTACTTTGTTATGTCATATATTGAAGAAAGCAAGATGATCAAGTGGTGTCCTGGCCCAGGCTGTGAAAACGCTATTAAATTTGTTGCTGGGAGTGAAAATTTTGATGTTTCTTGTCTTTGCTCTCATTCGTTTTGCTGGAATTGTACTCAAGAAGCACATCGTCCCGTGGACTGTGAAACTGTGACAAAATGGATGTCGAAGAACAGCTCTGAGGCTGAGAATGTGAATTACATACTTGCTTTTACCAAGCCTTGTCCCAAATGCAGAAGACCAATTGAGAAAAACATGGGGTGTTCGCACATGACATGTAGGGCACCTTGCAATTTCCAATTTTGCTGGCTATGCCTCCAAGATTGGAGTCGTCATGGAGCTTGTAACCGTTATGAGGAAAATCCTGAGGAGCAAAGAAGAAAAAAAGCAAAGGACTATGTGATGAGATACACTCATTACTTTGAACGTTGGGCGACCAATCAAAAATCAATGAAGAAGGCTGCTGCCGACTTGCAAAATGTGCAAAATGAGCAAATTGAGATTCTTGGTCGAATTCAAGCCGAACCTGAAGTTCAACTCAAGTTTTTAACAGAAGCCTGGCAACGGATAGTTGAATGTAGGAGGGTGCTTACATGGACCTATGCATATGGTTACTACTTGTCTGATGAAGACCCGGCTAAAAGGAACTTGTTTGAGTATTTGCAAGGTGAGGCTGAGTCTGGCTTGGAAAGGCTTCATGATTGTGCAGAGAAGGATTTGCTACCATTCCTGAAAAATCAGCAGCCATCAAAGAAATTCATCGAGTTCCGTAAAAAGCTTCTTGTGCTCACCAGGGTGACCAGAAATTACTTTGAGAACTTGGTTAAAGCTCTACAGAATGGACTATCTGATGTAAACTCCCAGGGTTCTTCAAGTGTCTCAAAGAAGCCCAAACGGGATCCGACAATGACTAATGCTGCTGCTGATGCTGTTGCTCTTATTGGAGCTAGGAGCTTCGATACAAACATAAATGAGTCCTCTGCCACTGCCCAGGGTTCATGGATTTGTGCATATTGTACCTATGTCAATGATGTTTCTGCCACGAATTGTACCATGTGTGGACGAGGCCCTTGGACTTGTGATCTCTGCACCTTCGCCAATTTGAGGACCTCATCAACATGCGCAGTGTGTTCCGAACCCCGGCAACCTAATTAGATCACTCCAAATGGGTGTGAGTTTAATTTGTTGTTCGAACTTTTTAGGATTTCATCCATAGAGATGAGCAAATAATCATTTTGGAGTTTAATTTCATGGTTTTTATAATACTAGTAGTATTGTTAGAAGAAATGAAACTGAAATTTTTCATATTTATTCTAAACAGATCTTATGTAGATTTTGTGCTTCACCAAGCCCGGGTACGAGTTTTGCTGCGTCATTATATATAGTCAGAAACCATTCTCCACCATATATAAAGTCAGTTTACAGCTTTTCCTTTCCAATTTGCAATAGATATGTTTGGCCATGATCTCAGTAAGTTTTTCTTTAAGAAAATGATCCCACTATTTAGTTTTAATGATCCACCATATATATCCATAATTTTATCCTTATGCTATACATATGAAAGTGATTTGAGTTGTGAAGCTTTTGCATGGTCATACATACATATATCATGTTAAAATGTTCTGTTTTTTTCAATAAAAAAGGTGCAGAAGCATAATTCTCATCATCTAAAAGCCTTTTTTTCTATTTTCCTTACTTACCCATAAGTTTTTCAAGGTCATTGTCATCAGAAAAGCAACAATAACTTTGGAACACTGGAAAATCTCTGTATTTAAATCAGTGCAAGTGGAAATATGCATATGTATCCCACTTTATATAAGTGCAGAGTGGATTCTTACTAGACTTTAGCGATATTTTTATATATAAAAAAGATCAAGTTCTCTTTAATCAATTGAAAAAGGATCACCAAAGGTTCTTTTTCTCTTTCTCTTCTTTTTTTAGTGAGAGATTCCTTGATGGAGTTGCTCTTAAACATAGAACTTTAATATTTTAAAGATAAGATTGAAAAGATATAAAACTTAAATAACATTTGCAAACAAAGAGCGATGTAATTATCTCTAATTGGTCAAATTTCATTGCTTGATATTTACTTGTTCGTTTGTAACATGTATATATCCGGAAAATATACATTCATACATATCTATATATATCATGTAATATTGTAACTTGAAAAAGATCCTCTTCTCTCTCTCTTACACATCTTGATTTTTTTTTTTTGTTCTTGATTCCTGAGTTCTATATGTGAGAAGATTAATTTTGATATCTCCTTGCATGAAGCAATCCATGACTTAACTAATGCAATCATTAAATTGCAAAGCATAGTTGAATATGTTGAATACAGTTGAAGATTAGAAATTCATATATATCTGAATGAAAATTTCAAACTCAAATCCTTCATTGTTCAAACAATTAAAAGAAGGGTATCTCTAGCCTAATTAATACATTTTTTTTAAAATTTTCCATGGATTTGATGCATGCATGGACACAAATTCAAGATAACCGATTATCAATGATTTAATAAATGCTTCCAATATGATAAATTTTAATAAGTGAATGACTTATTGTTACATTATAAAAAAGAAAAAGAGAAAGAAAACCCTCACTCATGATGAAGCCATCTAGGGCTAGATTGATTAAGTCGGTCCACAAGATTGTTCGAAATCCAAATCCCACACTTAGACTAGTCTCAAACCCATATGATTTCAGTCCAGCTTAATTCTAAGGTCCATCGATAGCCACTATCATCTCAAATTATTGGGCCAAGGACGAAGCGATGCATACAGTGAAGATAAGGATGCAGCTGCTCTTGAAATCTTTAGCAACTTCTCTGAATTGATGCTCGAAGAGTACTCCACCGTGAAGTGGAAAAAATAGAGTCCTGACCGAGGCAGATATTCCAAACTTATGAAGAGATTCTGTTGCAGAACTTTCAACAGTTCTTTCCACATCAAAAGATGTGTCAAGCATCAAAAGCCTGTCTTGTTAGAGCTAATTGATCAATTTCCTGATAATATATCATTATACCGAGGACTCAAGAAGGTGCCGCAGAAAATTTTGATTGTCTTGTGGCACAGCGTATCCAGAATAGGTGATTGATGGCTGTTGTTTGATATATAGTATATCGTTTTTTTTTTTTAATCTATCATCCTTACATGTACATGCCTGTCGAACTAGTTAATCATTGAGTTCTAGCTTAGTATAATTCAGTAGTTGAAATTTGGTCCTTCCAAGCTCATATACTGATATGTTGGATCGATCACGACTCAGATCTCATGTCAACTAAATGTAGTATCATCTTATTAATATATTTTAGTATGTGAAAGAGATAACCAAGCCGTAAAACTACAAAAGAATATAATTCATAAAATTGATTACCATATAGAACATGCTTCCAAATGAATCACTTGTCTCCAACCAATGTGAAAATTGATATTGGCTAATTACCAGCGCCTACTAAAGATCCTTGATGTTGAAGCTTATTCTTTTATACCTTTAAGATTTTCTTTTTCCTCATCTAATCAACAGCTTAGTGTCTATATCAGTGAGGCTAGAAAAAGAATTACTGACCAAAAGAATAAAAGGTTTGTCTCTTGATCTTCTCAATGATCTTCTTTCTTCTATAAATGTATGTATGATCGGTATATAAATTTTTCAGCTACCTATCTTCCATGCTACCGCCAACTGAAAGCTTCGAGAGAAGGAATATACAAGCTGAGGAAACAAATACTGCTCCAGCAAAGCAGGCTAGATCCAAGCTAGTAACAATAGGTATATTCTTGAATTTCTCCAAGACTCCAACTTGAAGTATCATCATCACAGCATGCCCAATTTGTGACTTTGCTTGTGAAACTGATTTCATTTCAACCCAAGCTGGAAGTGTCTGAAAGAATCATGGAAAAATTCATGTAAAATGCTCCATGGTTTTTTCATGGTGTGACAAATTTAACAGAAAGTTGAATACCTTCAAATGGAAGAGCCCAAACAAGTTCGATTTTGGAAGCGAGGGAGCACCTCCTTTCATTGTCTTTGTTCCCACAAACATGATGTACAGCCCCATCCCAAAAATAAGCATGGCGGTTCCGACCAAGAACATATCTGCAAGAATAAAACATTCAACAGTTAAACAATATTATACTCAGCTCAAGAATAATGTTGCAATATATGTAAATGACAAAGAGGATATATACCTATGGCTTCTATCAGTAGGTGGATGATATGTTCTTAATCTAACTTTTGTGATAAACTATGGAAATAGTGTAAATATGACTCCAGAATGAGAAAGCTTCCCTGCATAATGGATGTCATTTTCACAGTTAAATACGATACGACTACCATATAAAAGAAACAGAACAAAGCGTAAGGTCATTCTTTTTCTTTGAAAGCGTATAACTACCTCCATGAAACAAAGTACTGATCCAAGTAAAGATCCAGCAACAGCAAATCAGGTAAAGAATCGACAATCAATTATAACCTGCAGGCATGATTGCAGCTGATAAATCTAACTGTTCCGTAGAAATTACTCAATTTTTTCAAAAGAAATAACTAAACCTTTTCAATGACAGGGTATTGCGGGGTATTGCCGCTTTTGAATGAGCATCTGAACATGTAATTTCCAAGGTCTTGGTTTCACAAACAGCCTGATCAGCACCTGACGCATAGCATTAATAGCATTTGCAAGCAAAGAAGACAACTCTCTTCCTCAATCAACCTGTGGCTTTGATATGACCAAAGTACTACTCTCTGCTGCTGCCACGAAGCCTTCACAACCACCGTTGATTTCCTCTCACTATTCCCACAAACTTTGTTCTCCCTATCTAGTCCTCCCTTGTTTCCACCTCACAGTGTTCACCGAGGAAGAAGGCCAAGAAGAAGCAGCAGCAAAATTACGACCAAAAGGCTTGTTTGATGAACGCAACAATCTAGTGGTAGCCATTGAACTCTGGGCTTAGAAAATTGGAAGCTCTCTTTTGAAACTTATTTTGGTTTGAGAATTGGTGGCGGTGGGGTGTTTCTATTCATTTTATACCATACAATTGAACGAGAAGATTCGCAGCATATTAGTTGTAATTGTCGCTATTAGGCTACGCTTCTTTTTCACATTTTTCTTGGAGAGTATGTTTTGAATTGTTCATAAAAATTTGAAGAAGAATTACAAGGCTATATTAGAGTCACGTTGCGCTTTTCAATTTCTATGCGTGTGCGCTCAGTTTAGCTGTGATCCGCACACTTGTCAGCCCGTATCTTTAGGGGTCTGTTTGTTTTTCCATTATTTGGGACGGGGCCGATTGGCTTTGCTGGATGTTTCCTGCTTCCGTCGAGGAATAATAGTCGGCGGCGACACATGCTGATTAGCAAATTAGAGGAGCAAATAAAATTAGCATATTTCCAGGCTCACTGCCATTAGTTTGCTCTTTCACTTTGACCTTAGTTTAGTCTTTTTTCCTCGTTCTGTTTTATTTTGCAAGGGATCTTATTTTGGCCCTTGAATCTTAGGTTGCCTTTTAACTCACCACCGTTAGTTCACTTCTCACTTTGGACCTTCACTTTCAGTTTGTCTGTCTTCAGGTGTCCGTAACCAAATCCTCGAATGAACCACCTTTGGTTCACTCTTCACTCTTCAGATTTCAAATCTACGTCTTATTTGACTTAATTTTATAACAAGACATTATTTGTAAGTCACTTCAAAGAACCATCTCAGATTCTGTCCTAATGTTAAAATTAGTCTCAAGAATTTTTATTTTTTTTTAAGCTTAAAATTCTTTGAAAGAATTCTGAAAGAAAACAAATGGTGCCGACTAGTGCGAAATTTTGCTACACGCCATCCATAAGCGGTCATTGAACAAGAGCCACACCATCTGACGATGCTAGTCAAATATAGCCATTTGAGCTCCGTTAAGGGCCAACCAATCTTCTTTCATTCGAAGGCTAATCACTTGAAATATAAGTTTTGGACTTAGAGACAAAGAAGAAAGGCCCTAGAGGGTTGTTATACAGTAAGGATCCTTGGTGAAGAGAGTAGTTTGTCGAATCTGAAGCAAAGCATTTCAAGAACAAATAATATCATCAAGATATCTTTTAGTCTTGAGAGGACTAATTGCCTAATTGCCTAAAATCGAACAGTTTGAGAAACAAGTCAATAATCCCCCTGTATCAACACATGCAGATACTTGGGAAATATTCTTCCATTCAGGAAAAATAAAAAAATAAAAAGGCCATAATTAGAAGTTACAACCAATTGCATTTGAGTGACATCAAGAACTTCACCTTCTCTCTTTCTTCATTCAGCCTTAAATAATTGTATCCGCATTTTTGGCAGTTACCCCAAAATTTCTCCTGTTATGTACTTTAGATGAACATGAGTTGGGCCACGGAGTTTCATGGATACCTAAGGGGTAAATTTTGAAGATTCAAAACTAACAAAGAACTGTGGATAATAATACCACCCTTACAAACATCAATAGTTCTCTGCAACGGGTCTAGAAGGAAAAAGCCGTAGAAGAAATGTCATCAATGACCAAAGGCAAACCACAGCTACCACTTGGAAAGTTACTACCATCCCAATAAGTGCACCACCTCTCTCCATCATCTCTGGGGACTTGGGAGAGTCTTTCATCAAGAACATAAAGTTCTGAATAAATTGAGTAGCTCTGGTCAACTGATACAATCTATACACCTGCAAAATCAATTATAAAGTTGTAAATCATCTTATTTGGTCTTTAAATGGATCTGAATCCAGTAAAACACCTAATACCTCGAAAATAATAGGAACCAGGGGCCAACAAGATGACTGGCGCTTATCAAGAATCATCTCAAATGCAAGTTGAGCAGCACAGCCTACCAGGATAGGAGACACTGCAACCAAGGCTGGGAAGCCAAGCACCGGCCAAGTTAAATAGACGGCAAAGAGAGGAGCAACAACCTTGAAACCCGCTGCGAAGAAAGCTGATGTTATGTAGCCCCTGAGTCCTGTAATGAGACCCCACCTCTTGGCACTGAATTGCAAATATGGCCTTTGAACATAATCAGTCACAAGCAGGAACATCCCAAGACCAATATAGAACATCACTTCAAAGGAAAAAGAGGACACAATTTCTGCACGATATAATCATGAAAGAGAATTAATAAGTTCTTCATTTTAGACAACACACACTGCAATACAACCAATACATGGTTGTGAAAGAAATCATTGATGATTATCAATAACATATTAACATAACCAATGACAAAGCTTCCAGTCAAATTGGTTTATTGCAGCTTGAGACAAGCTCTATCATCTTTTTCATCCTAATTTTAAGTTCAAACAAAAACCTAACAGCCATAGGGCTGGCATGTTTTATCTGACCCCCTTCTTCTCTAATAATTATAGACAAAAACATCAGAATCAGGACGCAGAGATTCCACCATCCAAATACATTCAACTAAAACTTAGCAACCAGTTCACAATCTAACATTAAGGAAAGGAAAAGATCAAGTTCAATTAGAATACCTATGAGTGTCTCGTCCTTGAAGAAAGTCTCAATTGCATAGCTAAAGAAAAACTGTGGAAGGATCAATGAACAAATCAATGCAACAGGTGCCAAGACCCAAAGGAAGGATCCCTTTTCTTCTTGGAAAGGAGCTGACATCAATTTGCTCTCTTCCACTAGCTGGTGAGTTAGCCCATAAAAGGAAACAGAACCTGGTTTACCACGAAATGGTTCCACCCCACCAAATCTACTGATAGCCACACCAGATTTCTCCCTCCCAGTACGTTTCAAACTTGAGTTTGAATCAGAACCAGAGGCACAAACAACCCCCCCTCCATTCAATCTCCACAATCTAAAGTCTATATTTAACCTTTTCATTTTAGGCATAAAATACCCTAAATTTCAAAAAAAACATTTTTTTAGTTCAAACATCAAACAAGGCAGAACAAATGTTAGTACTCTAAAAATCTGAGAAAAGAGAGATAAAAAGGGTACACTTGAACACACCTCCTAGCCCAACATTTCCATTTCTTAGTACTATGTTACTTGCAGGAGCCTTGAAACTTTGATAATTGGAGACGAGAGTGAGCTTCTGGATTTGATAAAATTAATAAAAAAAAAACATAACTGGGATACTGAGGTTTAACGTTAAAAATGTAACAAACTTAGAGAAATTTAGAAGAGATTTACTTACAGATTGATTACAGAAGCGACGATGATTGGGTAATTTGAAATTTGGGAAAGGAAATCCGAGACAAACGGATTGAAGGTCCATTTCTTAGGGTTTTAGCAGAGTTTGTTAAAGTGGCTGGCTGCCACCGTTTAAACCCCCGAGTTCTCCAACGTACGAGGTCGTTTTTCAATTCCAGCCTGATCCGATCTTCAGAAAACTAAAACCTAACAATCTGAGGCCCACTCACTAGCTTAGATCGGTTTACTTATAACAATCTAGGCCTTTCTCCACTATTAACTGGGCCCAACAATTTAGACAAGCTTCCTTGATCTTCATAGTAGAAAATGAAAGTATACGTAATTTGACGAAATGAATTAGTATTTTATAGATTATCAATGTAATTTTTTAATTTTAAGATTAAAATATTGATATATATTTTATTTTTTAAATATTTTATAAGGGTTAACGTAAATTTTAAATTGTACAAAAAAAATTAATAAAATAACATATTTTATAAGGTATTTTTATACTTTGAAACATATAGAGCAATACTATAAATCTTAAAATGAAAACTAGGATTGGATGTTAACAATTTATTAAATAAGGAATCATCCTTAGGCATAAGAAACAAGAGCTAGAAAAAAAAAAAAAAAACAGAAATAGAATTCTTAAGATTGAATCTATTTTTATACATAATTAAATAACAAGATCATATTATTATTAAGATCAAAGAATTTCTTGATAAATTATAAAATAAAAAACAACTTCAAATTTTTTTAAAAAAATTCTTAACTATTGAAGACAATTTATAAAAAAAAAATCTCCTTTAAAAAGAGAAACTAAAAATAATATAAAGTAATTATCATTTTATTTTATTTATTATTTTATGCATTAAATATGACATGTTTCTTATATGATTAATGTTTAAAATTTAATTAATTTACACAATTATTTAAAAAAATTAGCAAATAATTTAAAATCTAAATTTAGCATCTCCAACCTTTTTCTTTTTGACATAGGGTTCAAAAGAATAAAAATTTAATGCATATAATTAAATATTATTATTTTATTTTTTTGGTTTCAAGGAAAAAGTCCTACGAGAGAGGAAAAGGAGAAGTTGAAATTCGACTTGAACCTTTATATTTTTTTAAAGATTTTTTTAATCATTAAATAAAAAATAGAAAATTATTATTATTAATTAATTAATTTGAAATGTGACATACGTCAATTTTCAACCACCCGAGATCATCTGGAAAATGATAGGGAATTAGTTAGCCTTTGACACAATGCATCACAAGTCCCTATATACGTGAATCATTGAATTTAGATTTCGATTCAAAATCGTTTAATCCATGTGCTCTATTATCTGTATGTAGTTAGCCTTCGACGCAATGCATCACAAATCCGTATAATTTTTTTAGGAAACCGTATAGGAATAGAGCAAAGAAAAAATTTTAGAGATTTTTAATTTAGCTGTAGGAAATTGGAAACAGAATCAAAATCAAACATTGGTCGCAATCAAATCAAAACCTAAATCACGTCACGATTAAATTTGTTTGATAGACTCATTCTTAAATGAGTAACCCTAAAATTTTTTACAAAAGACCTTATAAATGGTTCTGAGACAAAAACAAAAGGAGAGGGAGAGAAATCATAAAAGAGGGGGAAGCAAATTAATTCCAACTGTTGGAGGGTGAAATTTTTGTTGGGTTTGGATTTTGTTTGGTATTCGTTTTGGGTTTTTTTTATTGGGTTTTAATTCATACAGGTTTTGAAATTGAGTTTTTTTAGTGTTGTTGAGGTCAGTTTTGAACTTTCTGTGGTTTATACCTATGGATTTATGTTTTAATTCTGGATAGATTTTTTAATTTTGACTAGATTTCTGGGATAATTTTGGGTTTTTGTTTCTTTAGATTATAATAGATGCTGGTTTGGGTTTGAATTTATGAAATTATTGAATCTTGCTGAGTTTGAGTTTGAGTGGTTTAGGAATTATTATCTAATTATTTTAAACATGAAAATTAACTGAGTTTAATCTCTTGATAAAATGCTAAATTTTTAGTTTAACCATTAGAATTGAATTCATGACAGTTTCAAGTATTAGAAAAAAAATAATAATAATAATAAACCAAGAGTTGGCTTGCCTTGCTGCCTTGGCCCCATTGTTTATTAAACCTCCACCTACATGTGTACGGGTGTCTTTTTCTGTGTTTGGTCGAAACATAAACTCACTCGTGCATGTGAATTTCCCTGGTACCATATATAATATTCTGCTGCAACCTTTATAAAAAAACATAAGAAGAAAACAATATAGAAAAAAACAACATTTCAACCTGAGGTACTGCATTAGCCATATAAACCCACGCAGCTTTATGCAAAAGTGGATTAAGAGTCACGTGAAATTTATGTCAAACTTGGCCGGCGGTGATGACCAGCAGTAATCAGAATGATAGGTTATTTGGACTGTTGCCTTGCCTTGTATTTGAGTTTGACCCCAGCTTTTTAGACTTTCGACCCATTTTACACCAACTTTTTTAGTACTTTTTTTTGTTTTTTTACTGACTTGGTCCGTCTTGTTGAGCTGTAACGTGTACGAATTTCATGTTTTATGAGTTATGGTTTGATTCATTGATTGGGCATTGGCCTGCATGCTGGGTCAAGTGTCATCAATAAAATATAGAGCGTCAAAGGATTTTGATTGAATTAAGTATGTGATATTTTGTATGATTTAAGTTCTGTTTCCACTACTAATAGTAATATTTTTAATCAACGATATGGTTTGTTGAAATTTAAGGCATGCTTTTTAAATAAATAATCTCTTCTCACTTAAAATTTTCAATGCCAAAAGCTAGATTTTCACTTTTGTTTTGAATAATTAAGAGATGTAATTAATAGTTTTAATAATTCTAATTGTTAAATGATTCAACTTTCAATTATATAGTAAAATAAAAGTTTGAATTTCACTACATTTTTAATGCAATATAATTAAATTTATTACACCATCAATTAAATATAAATATCAATTTTAACGATGTATATTTAATATAAATTTTTTTTGAAATTTTTTTAATCATAATTACAAAAAAAATTATAATTATAATTATAATAATTTTTAATTTTATTTTTATTTTTATTTTTATCAAAATTAATCTTATTATTCATCTCAATGAATCATGAATAGAAGTGTAAATGATACATTAGTACTCGCAAGCTACTCGGGTTCGATTCGAAAAAAATTCAAATTCGGTTCGATTATTATCGAGTCGAGCTCGAGTAGCTTGACTTATCGATCGAGCCGAATTCGAGTATTTTTATATCTGATTAGAGTAGTTCGTGAGTCTAATCGAGCTTTTATATTTAAATATATTTTTATTATTTTAATTAATAAAATATTTCGAGTCCGAGTTCGAGTTCGAATTTGAGCATGAATAATCAAACTCTTGTCGAATATACGAATCGAGCTTTTTTTTACATATTAATCGAGCTTAATCGAACGAACTCGAGTAGCTCGAATTCGATCACGAATCGAACTTGAGCTTGAAAAATAAAACTCGATCGAGCTCGAACTGAGTATTGAACCTCGAATTATGAGTCGAGTTCGAACTCAAACTTTTCACTATTTGACTCAACTCGTTTCGTTTACACTCCTAACTCCTAATCATGAATCATGAATCATTCGTTCTTTTCATATAAAAAAAATCACGAATTTGATTTGGGCGTGGAATTAGACACCAAGACCAGGGCAGGGGGGGGGGTTGGTAGTCAATCAAACAGTTTCTAACTAAACCTGTTTAGGTCAATCAGCCAGACTCATTCATGGTCGGTTTATGGCGATCAACACGTGCCATCGAGTTCATATAGGAAAATGGCTAGAAATTAAAGGTCTTCTGTCTCAAATTCAGCATTAACGTGAAAAAAGCTTGGCAACAGATAATGTTTTTATCCGTTGTAAATGGAAAAGGAAAAATGTTTAAAATCTCCGTCCAATTATTTCAGCTCTATAATTGAAGATTGGGACCATAGGGTCTCCAACATATAAACATGATCCATGGCACCGATCGATAAATAAGTCTTGATGATATATAACTAGTAATTCTTTCAAGATTGACATTACCCTTGTTTAGCAAAATTTTAATTTGACGCAAAATTTAAATAAATTAAATAATTTTAATAAATTTTTACCAAACACATATGAGACGAACTTATAGAACTAACTAACTTGTATTAGTAAATTTAAAATCTTTTTGTTATGGCAAAAGTTCAGTCCATAATCCCTCTTTATAACCTTTTATGACTCATTAAATTGAGATTCTTCTTTATTTGTAAACTCATTAATTTATCCAAAAGTGATTTGATTATCAAATAAAATTTTGCATAAATTCAAAAAATTTATTACCAAATCTTTTAAGATTTAAATTAATATTCATAACACTTTTATCTCCCAATTTCCACATGTTATTAATACATGATACATGATGAGTGACCACCGCCATACGTAATTATAATACTACGAAACAAACACGTGCGCATTGAAACCGGAAAATTCTCAAGGATAATAAAAGACTTTTCCTCCACGAGATAAAATAAGTTGAAAACACATGAATAATTAAAAATTAAAAACAATTCAATTACTCTTCATTTTTTTTATTGCTTAATGATTAAAAAAAATTAAAAATACATATACGACGAGATTCGAATCTCATTATCTTTTATTTTTTATACATTAAATAAAAATACAATTGTGTTAGTATTATATTATTATTTTATACATGTCAAAATAATATAATAATAATATTTATTAAAAAAGATAAAAACTAAAAATATATATTTGATATTTTATTTGGTTATTTTTAATTATCCTCAAGTAAAATTTTGTTAGAAAAATAAAAAAAATTATTTTTATTATTTTTAATGCTTACAATTTTTTAAGGTAAGATTAATTAAAAATTTATAATCAATAAAAATCAAATTTAAATTTTTTAAAATTTTGTACAAAATTTAAATCCAACAAAATATATAAGACAAAAAATTAAAAAGCCAAAAATAAACTAAATCAACTCGAAATAATGCACACCTTTGAAGACAGGATCAAGTTATTTCGAGCTTCAAACAAGTCCCCGGCCCGGCCCCTCACCTCTCTATCCTCTGACAACTAATGTTGTTGGCCACTCCTATATATAAAGACTCGACTCTGCCTTCCACTTCCAACCCACTAACCCTGTTATCATCATTGCGGACCCATTACTTTTCTTTTTTATTATATTTCCTTTAATTCTCTATATTGGAAGAAATTACTGCTAGTTGTTAGCTGATCCTAATGGCGTCTGCTTGTTCACCTTTAACTTCTGTTCATCTGCAGGTTAATTCACCAGGCAAATCATTGTCACCATCATCGACGACTAGGTTGTCTTCTCGTCGTGTTGTTGTTCGGCGGATTAGAGCCTCAGTGTCAGAGAAACCATCTGTTCCAGCGCCATCCGTGGCGGTTTCTGAGCCTGGAGAAACCAAGCTTCCATTGAAGAAAATTCCAGGGAATTATGGAATTCCTTTTGTTGGTCCAATCAAAGACCGACTTGATTATTTTTACAACCAAGGTAGAGATGAGTTTTTTAAATCAAAAATCCAGAAATATCAGTCAACGGTGCTTCGAGCCAACATGCCACCCGGTCCTTTCATCGCTTCTAATCCAAATGTTGTCGCTTTACTCGATGGTAAGAGTTTCCCTGTTCTTTTTGATGTGACCAAAGTTGAAAAAAAAGACCTTTTCACTGGTACTTACATGCCTTCAACCGACCTTACCGGCGGTTACCGAATCCTCTCATACCTCGATCCTTCCGAGCCCAAACACGCCAAGCTCAAACAACTTCTCTTTTTTCTCCTGAAGTCTACCAGAGATAAAGTGATCCCTCAGTTTGAGGCTTGTTACACCGAGTTATTTGAAACGTTGGAGAAAGAACTTGCTGAGAAAGGCAAAAGCAGTTTTCAGACAGCTAATGATCAAGCTGCGTTTAACTTCTTGGCTCGGGCTTTCTTCGGCTCAAACCCACCTGATACTAAACTAGGAGTTGACGGTCCTAGCTTGATTAGTAAATGGGTACTGATTCAACTCGGTCCAGTTCTCTCTCTTGGTCTCCCAAAATATGTCGAAGAACTTCTAATCCATACTTTTCCTCTTCCACCGTTTCTTGTTAAAAAAGATTACCAGAGGCTCTACGATTTTTTCTACGAGTCATCTGGTTTCGTTCAAGATGAAGCTGAGAAATTGGGTATCTCACGGGAAGAAGCTTGTCATAATCTGTTATTCGCCACATGCTTTAATTCCTTCGGTGGCATGAAAATTTTTTTCCCCAACATGCTTAAATGGATTGGCAGAGCTGGAGTCAAATTGCATACTGAATTAGCACAAGAGATCAGATCAGCCATCAGATCCAACGGTGGGAAACTTACTATGGCTGCCATGGAACAGATGCCATTGATGAAATCTGTTGTATACGAAGGGTTCCGGATCGAACCTCCAGTTCCATTACAGTACGGGAAAGCAAAGAAAGATCTTTTGATCGAGAGCCACGACGCCGTTTTCGAAGTGAAAGAAGGAGAGATGTTGTTCGGGTTCCAACCTTTTGCGACAAAAGACCCGAAAATCTTTGATAGACCCGAGGAGTTTGTCGCGGACAGGTTCATGGGTGATGATGGCGAGAGGCTGTTAAAGCACGTGCTTTGGTCAAACGGACCCGAGACTGAGCATCCAACGTCGGGAAACAAACAATGCGTGGGCAAGGATTTCGTGGTGCTGATGTCTAGGCTCTTGGTGGTCGAACTGTTCAGACGTTACGATTCGTTTGAGATCGAAGTCGCTAAGTCGGCTTTGGGGGCAGCCGTGACGGTAACGTCGTTGAAGAGAGCAAGCTTTTAGATATAGTAACTTCTATGTTTGTCAAAAGTAAATTTGGCAAATGAGTAAATTTACCTCCCTGTGTTTTTTGATGAAATAAATTTACCTTCTATTATTTGTTGTAATGAATGATTTCTATTTTTCTAGAAAAAAAAAAAGGGAATTTATGGATAAAATTTATTGGGTTTTAAGTTAATAAGTGAAATTTTTTGATGACGTAATTATGACAAGAACGTTAGACAAAAAAACATTGTAAAGACTATGTATGTGTCGGTAACAAGTTTGAAGAGGCTCTTGGCCATTGGATGTTGGAACTTTGAAGTAACTGTCTGGAAGAGAAGAAACGAGGGATGCGTGTGTTGTTCAGATGGGGTCGGCAAGTGGTCGTAATCAGAGGCAGCCGTTGAAATCACTTTTGATGTGATACAGATTCTTTGGTTTATTCAGAATCACAGATTAGCCAAAAAAAAAAGTACCATTGGGTTTTTTTTTTTTTTTTTTTTTACTATAACACAACAGAGACGCTCATATCAGAACACTGATTGAACTGTGTTTTAGATTTCTGAAAATTCAACTGGTTTGAAAAACCGCTCGTTATTCGATTGACTAATTCAAAAGAGAAAAGTTGATGTCCTTAACGTGAAAACTCAGAAGCATTTGATTCCAATGTACTCCTTGCATTGTCTGTTCTAGCAGCAATTTAATGGGTTCAGTCAATTACCCTATTACCCTCCATGTCTACTTTTAATTTCAGGATCCCAACTGAATGGTGCTATGTTGTAGGAAATTAGGAATGCATAATTTACAATTCTTATGAAGTAGGAGAATTGCTTTTGCTGTTAGGAGTTGAAACCCCATGAATACGATAAATCATGAAACGTAACAATGGCGCTGAGAAAGAAAATTGCCCTCTCACGCCAGCTGTCTATTTCCAAAGATAAACATAAGATGATATATATTTTTTAATTTAAATTGATAAAATTTGAATTTTAATTATTAGTGTCATATTATTTCATATTTAATATGTGTTTAATTTTTTATAATCTTATATTTAAATTCAATCATTTTATTTATTGTCAATTCATTTTAAATTAAATATTTAAAATCATATCAAAACTAATTTTTTTTTTGTATTTGTTACATAATAGTTTTTTTTCATCTCTACTTATACGTGATAGGTGATAAATTTCTTTCATCTTCACCTGCACGTGATGAAAACTTATTAAAGTGATATTATCTCAAATTCAATAAATATATAATTTTTTATAATCTTCTATTAAAATAAATTATCTCATATCTAATAAATATTTAATGTTTTGTAATTTTATATTCAAATTAAGCCTATTTAATTTTAGCTAATTGGTTTTAAGACTATAATATATTTGATATTTGTCAAATGTAAGATAACATCATACTAATAGATGCCTATCTGTATAGATAGATATGTATAAAAAATTGATATTTATTAAATGTAAATTAACCCATTTTAATAAGTTTTCATCACGTGTAAGCAAAGATAAAATAAACCTATCACTTAATAGATTTAAAAAGAGCAACAGATAAAAATCTCAACTTTAATATCATGTTAAGCATCAAACCTAAAATCAATTGACAGTAAACATCTAATAAATATCCAATTAGTTTTAAGGCTTTAGTATATTTGATATTTATTAAATGTGTAATAACATTACACTAACAAGCCTTCATCACCTGTAAATAGATATGCATAAAAAATTAGATATTTATTATATATAAGGTAACCTACTTTAATAGATTTTTAGAAAAGTTTATCATATAACAGATTTGAAAATAGTAAAAAAATTTTTTTTTGATATGATATTATGTTAAACATTCAATCTAAAATTAATTAACAGTAAACGAAAAAACTCAACTTAAATATAAAATTATAAAAAATTATATATTTATTTAATATAAAATAATATTATTTTAAAATCGATCATATTCATTCTAATTCAATAACTGAAAAAAAAAAAAAAAAACTCTTCTCATCAAAATATAAAGATGGTAGTTGATTATGATCTTTTATTTTCTTAGGTAAAGACTTAAGCAAGCTAATCCACCTTTGTTTAATCTACTTCTCTTCTCTACATGGGGGTTTTTTTGGACGCATAGCACTTTGGGTCAAGGCATTGAATGTTTGAAGGAAAATCAAATGTCCTTGGGAAGGCTTTCTCTGCAGAGACTGTTCCGGGTTTTTAATACATGCGGGTCTAACTGAAAATTTAGAATTCAAAGATAAAACGGAAGCTTTGGTCTAATTTGGGTTCTGTCTTCCTGTTACTTGTTAGACATGAGATCTTGTTTGAATTTAATTTGGACTTTGAAATTTTTTTTTTTAAATTAGATTTTAGATTTTGGATTTTGAGTATAGAGACTTATAAAATCTACGAGTCAATTAATAAATTCAAGCTTACCCCACGTGCACAAGCACAGCAAATAAAAAAAATATTTGACTAGCAATAAAATTTTCATGTCACATTACAATATTCTTACTATCACGTATGATCATATTAAAATATTCTTTCTATCACGTATGATATATAAAAAAAAGAATATTTATATTTATAGATTCTCTTATCTTATTTTTAATCAAAATTTAAAAAAATTTTGCATCTTTTCAATTAATTACAACCGTCCAAATTCTTAAAAAATTAGTCTTTCCACGAATTATAATATAAAAGGTTGAGATGTCAACACTCGGCTTGATCCTTTTTTTTTTTTTTTCTCTTTTGCTGCTGGTCTTAGCAATTGGAAATTATGAACTGAGATTTAGATCAATGAAATTGATTACACTAACCGATCTTTGTTTATAATAAGATGAAAATGAATAAAATATTCAATAAATAGTTTTTAAACAGATTTAGTATGTATTTTTATTAAACTTAATAAATAATTATAAATAATATTTTAAAATTTATTAATTATACAGATCATAAACAATAAAATTAATTTATTTTATCCCTTTTTTTCAGCACGGCTAACCTAAAATTACCAAAGATCAAGAAAAATCAGATTCAAGGACAAGGCCCAAGGAGGTCCAAATCAACCCAAAGTTATATATATGGGTGGCCCGGTATATAAAGCAAACTGTCTACTATAATCCTAGTAACAATATATTTTCCTACATTTCAAGCTTTCATGAATACTGTTTATTTTTGGTGAGAGAATGATGTACTGTTTATTCTATAACTCATGGGTTGATCAAGTAATTGATAACGTATAATTTAATGTTAACATATCAGCATGTTTCCTTTTAGCTATACTTTTTTCGTCTGTCACTCAATTTCATGTCCGCAAGTCCGAACAACATGCATATTTTTTGATACATTCAAGCAAGAATGAGACATTAATGGGAACATTTTCAATAGTTTCTATAAACATATATATACACACTAGGCAGGAACACTTGAGGAACAAAACTGTCGTACTGCGTTGATAACACCAAGAATTAACAAGTCGAGATGAAGCTGAAATGTGAAGAAAGAGTGATTTCTGGTTAATGGGTTATACTATTCAGCAAACTACTGGATGAAGGTGAGCTTTGTTCACTCAGCCATGGATCTTGGACTGATACTGGTGAATTGTCCTTCAATTTTTCCATCAAGTTCACACAACCAACATTAGTCATCTGAAGCATAAATAGACCTCTATTTTCCAGTCCAGCCTTGTTAACTGCCATGCTTAGTGGTCGCTCGCTTAGATTGGATGAGGAGGAGCAAGGAGATACTTCTGATGAAGCTGCACAAGTATTTTCTTCGGCTGGAACCCATCTGCTTAGCCTGATTTGTTCCAATTCTAATACTACTTCCATCATTGTAGGTCTCATGTCTCTGTGAAATGATAAGCATCTAAAAGCCAGTTCTGCCACCTTGTAGATTGAAGATAACGTCCAAGAATCACTATTTGGCTCGAGATATGGATCTATGATCTCATCTAAACGCCCTTTGCTAATTCGGTCAGTAGCAACAGCTGCCAAATTAACTTCATTTGGAGGCCTAGAAAAGTCCACCACTTTTAGTGCTGTTATGATCTCTATGAGTACTACCCCAAAACTATAAACATCGCTTTTGTCTGAAAGATGGAAGTTTTGTTGGTACTGAGGATCAAGGTATCCTGGAGTTCCTTGAGGGGCTGTTGAGATGTGGGATATCTCAGTCCTTCCAAGTCTAGAAAGACCAAAATCTGCTACTTTGGACCTGAAGTTGTAATCTAAGAGTATGTTGCTAGACTTGATGTCTCTATGATATATTGGGGGATCTATAGCAGAGTGCAGATGAGCAATGGCTTGTGCAGTTTCAACGGCAATTGTAAGGCGAACTGGCCAGGCAAGTCCATCACCCCTCTCTCTTTGTAAATGCTGGCATAATGTTCCATTGGCCATAAACTCATATACAAGTATTTGTTCACCATTTTCTATGGAGCAACCCAAGAGGCGCACTAGATTTGGGTGGCTGACAGATGAAATTAGTTTGATCTCATTTATGACTTGCTCGATGCAATCAGTGTCTCTATGCTTGATCCTTTTAATAGCAACCCATGAATTGTTATGGAGTTTTCCTGCATAGACTGTTCCAAAGGCCCCTGTTCCAAGCCTTTGTTTCTCTGAGAAACTATTTGTAGCTTTCTCTATTTCCTTGTATGTATAAATAGGAATGCTGATGTCTGAAGCTTCAGATAGAAGGCGTTTTGTGCTGTTTCTGTCTATCGAATTGGAATTCCTTTGCACAAAGCAGCATATTAGAACTGCACAGATCATTAAAGAAGCTCCGCCTGCAATGCCTGAGAAAACCAACACGAAAATTACTGCCGAAAATAGAAGCCTTGACAATATGATTTACTATTAGCTATGCCTATCCTCAAATAACTGAAAGAATAAAAGTTAAATTCCAGCCATATGGCAATAAAAAATGTTCCTACCAAGCAAAGGAAACTATAGTAGTGTGTTTGATGTTAATTTATGATTACCTCCAACCAAAATAGCGACTCTAGTTGTTCCTCCACATTTGCCAGAAATGTATCTTGCAAGGTTGCAATCTGAAGATGCTGTTTAGTTTTCCATGGCAGCAACAAATAAACAAAAACAAATGGTAAGACAGAAAAATTTTGCTGTTTGTACACAATACAAGGTAACAATTGACTCCAACATTAACAAGACTATTGTACAAGGTGAACCAAAGCAGCCTGGTTTAATGAATTCATCTGCAATTCTGATTAGGTTCTAATTTCATTACTATTATTGCAAATCCAGCAATCTTTTCTTTTACCTTTACACACATTCAATTCGTTTATTTCTTTCTAACCAATTTAACTGAACAAATCTTGCTTTAAATTTGACAAAATTTGCCTCGTCTGAATTTTTCGAATAACTTTATGGGGTATAGTGCTTCATCACTTCCTCGCATAAGAAATATACAAGCTCTCAGCTTTGCATCATCAAAAGCCAAAATCCACCTAATACCATTGGATTCCATTGGTGTTGCTTTCTCCATCTTTTTCCTTGTTTGTATATGAATTATAAATAAAAAATTAGTTTTTTTATATAATAATATAATTTGATTGTGGTTTCTAGATTTCCCGATGGGGTAGTTCGTAATTTCTTCCGCGATAAACTAAAATGTTTTAGATCCTACATGCCAAAGGTCTAATGCAGTCAGATTTGCCGCAATTACTAAAACATTTAGCAGGGGGTCCCTCAATTATGTTAGGTGAAACTACCCATTTTCGGTGAATGCTAAATGGTTTGACTAGCCCTTCCCCCTTCAACAAAATGACGACTGGCCGTATAAAATTGAGCAAGACCATTTTCAGCAAGACTATTTTTGGCCAGAAAGTCAGGATATTGTGATTTGTCATCATTTAACAGTGAAGCAAGGCATCCTGTTGCTGCCCAGCAAAGCAGTTTGCATTGAACTATAATCTGCTATGACTAATTGTTGTTCCTGAGTTGACAATGCTTTGCCAGCATTAATAGTACACGTGAATCTAATTCTATTGGCTAAAGAAAATTAGAGGCAAACTCTTCATAGGGTATGTCATTATCATGTTTTTTAGCTCAATTCCTCTTGATTAATGCTTCATTTTGCAACAAGGGCACAGCACTTTAAATTCCTGAAAAAGTTGAAAAAACTGCTCAAATATATCATTTAATCATGCTTACTGTTTCTAGCAAAGGCGTGGTTATAATTGCAAAGTTTGAATGCAGCACCAAAATAAAGAAAAAATAAGTCAACTTGAATAATTAAAGTAAAATTTTCAAAGAAATTAAGTAGAACTGACCTTTCCGGCAACCTTTGCCGGCACGATATCCATCACCTCTGAACCCTTGTTCGCACCTGCAAATGAATCCTGGCTGTCTATTGAACGGTGAAATAATTTCATCACAAATTGCATTTTCAGAACAGAAGTCAGAGCACCGTCCTTGAAGCCACCACCCTAGCTCAACCACCCGGACCTCTAAGACTCCTGATTCATTGAAATGTTCAGCTGATATGGATGATAAAAAGGACTTGCAGTTGGTTGTCGTCACCTTGTTGTAATCAATGAAACCATTAATTTTGTTTTCAGAATAGCAACTGATATTGCTACTATTAGGAGAGCAAGCAAGGGCCTCAAAGTGAGTGTAAACCATAGTTGATGGTATCATGCATGGCGCTGGCAAGCTGCAGTTTTGCAGTAGAATTGCGTTTCGAGATGTTGGGGCGTAATTAGGGCCATAGAGACGGTGAAGGGCTTGAAGTGGACGATCGCAAGTGGCTTCAATACTGATTTTTATGCTGTCATCGTTTATGGTTAGGATTGGAAAACCAGCAACAAGCTGTTGGTTATCTGAGCTGCAGTTTAGAGGGATTCGGCAGCCGGTTGAGAATCCAAATGGATAAGGAACAAGCTTGTCACCACATGATCGGTCGCAATTGGATGATTGAGCTGTGAGTAACGGAAGTAGAAAGATTGCTAAGAAAAAAAGGATTGGCTCTTTGAGAATCATGTTTAGAAGATAGAACTTGCAAAGCAAAAGCAAGAATCTTTGTTTTAGAGTGATGGACGGGGAGCCTCTACAGGACGATTAAATGCCAAGGTTAAATTGATCAAAGCAGTTGGCAATTCTTTGTTCTTTCTCAGGTGTCCTACACTTATCCAAGAAAGACTTGGTTGAATAATACTAGAAATTTAATGTATGTAGTTTCTTGTGAGATTGATAATGCTGCAAAAGAAACAAATAGCAACCGTCTCGGGTTTTGATGTTGACTACATGAGATTTTGATGAGAAAAGGAAAAAACTATGGAAATGGGATTCATTATTGAGTAGAGTGAGAAATCATCTACTAATCTTCTTTTTTTCTTTGTTTTCACACTACTCTTGTCCTATTGTCCTAATTCCATGAGATAAACCCAATTTTAAAAAACCTTTTCTTCTGAGTGACCAAAGCATCCTTTGAAAGTTAACTTGGCAGAAGGCTGCGGATAAGACCAAAGATGCTGGCCGAGAAATTTCTCTCCTAGGCGGTTACTGCTAATTTGGCTTATACTTGATGAACAATCTTCCTCAGATATGATTATTTTATTTGAAGTTAAAGTGAAAAACCATTAAAAAGAAACAAAGTTACACAAAAAAATTGGTCGATGCATGATCCAATTGATAATTAACCTTTACATTTTCATGTTTCCAATATAAAAGTCCTCCCTGAAACTACTCGGTTAAATCCTGGCATGTTACAATATGTATTGTGTAATAAGGTTTATGGATCAATTATAGTTTTTTTAACTTTTAAGAAGTGAAAGTAAAGTGCAATTCTAGTGTTTGATTCACACCTTGTCACCGGCATGCATATTATGTCTGCCATTGTGCATACTCAATAATGTTCTAAAATCATCAAAATTAAAGTTCCAAAGCTCTGTTTCTTCCCCTTGTTATATCATAGATGAAATATATATGTGCAATAAAAAGAAGAATAATAATTCAGAATGGTTAGTAACGTATCTTGACTAAATGTTTACCTAAACAAAAAAAAAAAAAAGATAAGATAGTAATAAAACTTTTGAGATTTTTTTATGAAAATAGTAATTTATCGTTGAACATCTATCTTAATACTTATTTAATTGAAAAAACTATTACATGCAAAATTTCTTTGAAATCTATAATTTTTAAATGTTAATTCTAATAATTATTAATTAATCTAAACATCAGTGACAACGTTTGAGAATTTTCATTGATAATGGATGTTAATTTTGAGAAAGTGACTAATTAGGATTCAGAACCAAATGTAAAGTCAAATTGGATGTTGTTGTTTTACATCTCGTTGATTTTCCCACACACAAGCAAATGAAAATTTCTGGGTTATCTTGCAATTTTGGGAGAAATGCCCAATTATTCTATAAAAAGTCAAAATACTGAATCATCATTCCCCTATTAGCTATATTCATGGGGGTGGTTTGGTTGTGTGGGACCTTGCCCTTAGAACGACATAGGAAATAACCCGTGATGCCCAATTTGCTGTACCATACACGGCAAAGCAATCCATTATTTTTGTGCCTTACAATCATCTTTGAAAAATTGTCCTATGTACATATCCAATTTGGACCATGGCTGCTTCTTACTTTTTTATTAATCTCCTAAAACTATAATGTGTTGAAATTTGAATACGTGATTACCTAAGAATACCGCAGTATATTTTAATTTCAACTTTTGAATATTTTGCCAAAATAAAAAATTGAGTCAAGTGTTTAATGAATTACTATTTAATTATAATTAATTATATTATAATAATTGTTAATGAAATATTCCCTAATTTAGGTTAATTCTCAAGGTGTGAGTGATGACAGCAGGAATCAAGGGAATTGTTTTTTTTTATCTAATAGTATAAGAAACCATTTCCATAAAATTTCCTATATAATCTAAGCTATGGTTTCCATTGCCTCTAGCAGCTAGCAAAGTAGGGGAAGATGGCGTAGGTCACAAGCATGAAACCCGCGGAATTGAGTCAACAAAACACGGACAATTATAGGATTTCAATTTAAGCCGTGTTCGGCTCTGTTATCATGTTTTTTATTCTAATTGCCTTGCATTGGATCTTTCAAAGTAAATAATGACAATAATCATTGTCGTTGAAGAAAACTTTGTTTTTCTTTTGGCTTTTCTGCTTGATTTTAACTCTTCAATTAGATCCGCGAGATTTTATTTAATCTTCATAGATATTTGCAATGTCTAAATTTGAAGCCTGAAATTTGGGGAGTTCCCTCATTAGTCATCATGCACAAAACACTAAGGTCTGCCTGTAAACATTATAAAGGCGTTTGTTCAGGTTCCAATTCTTGAGGCCAAGTGGGGAATATAGGCAAATGAACTTCAAGCAGGAAAGCAAAGTGATACCGATGTATGTAACATTGACAGCGAAAATCAAGGTGATTTGAGACAGCAATAAGCTGGAGACGCTGTTCTGAATCTGAAATGACATATCTAATTTGGTTTTTTGACAGTATAGAAGTAAAATTTAGGGTAAAATCTTGTTTTCCTCTATAGCACAAGAATTGCTAGGCAATAACGATTGTCCTCCATCTTGAAAGCTGGTTAAATGACAGTTATATGCTGACAAAATCAATATCAATTAATTATTTTGTTTCCCCTTTCTTTTTATGGTGTGGAGAGGAGCTTTCTGATCTTCCTTTCGGGCTAAAATGTTAGATCACCACTAAACCGTACCATCATCATTCATGATATTTTTTTCCCTTCTTGTTGCTTGGTCATGAAATATGTAGAAATCATTAGCTGTCCCGATCTTTGCAATCAAATCATTAATGGGTCCATCAATCCTAGTGGACCATAAACTCAGCTTAAAATCAGGTTTTAGGTGTGAACAAACACTGTATCTTCTTGGCAATCAAGAGTCAAGACGCGAATATATGATCTTTAAATCTGTGGCCAATTCTATATTTCTGAAACAATCTTGTTGCTTCCGAATGTGAAATACTGGAAAAGTGATCCTATGCCATTGGATCTTACTTATATGCACCAAAGTCCAACGCGTTGATGTTGTTCATGTTTAATCTGTCAACGTCTATGAACAAAACTAAATGCAAAGTAGTTGAAATCAGAGAAAAAGACTGCTCATAGTAAATTGTAGTTGGATTAAAACGCCTCTTATAAAGCTAGGAATCTAATGATGATAAAGTCAAAAGGTTTCCGGCATAAGATACCATAGCAAGGCCAAAATTTTCAACTCTCTGGATGGATAAATTATAGTAGTACTAAAAGATGATCCCTTCCCAAAAATTTTAATAATTTCCTTGTATAGTTCTTAACAGAATCTATTCTTTGATTATCATTATTTTGGTAATGGGCCTTAAGACCCATATTTTGCATCCATGTACAAGCAGATTTCCAAGACATTTCGGATATGCTCACCTTCATTTTGCAGTAGATAAATAGCACATACTAAAACATACTAGATAACTGGCCATATATATATATATATATATATATAATAAAAATAAAAAATTGAGCCAATATGTCCCATTTAGATTAGTTTGAGCTAACCCATAGATTTAGGTCCAGACCTTGTTAAACCAAATCCAATGAACTTAGGTCCAGACCAATTAAAATATCTATAATATATATATATATATATATATAAAAAAAAGAAAAAAGTTACTGTGAATTATGGGGTGGTAGGGTTAGATTGGGATTCAAAGATTGATAATCTTGAATTTTAGTCGAAGGAGTAATCAGCATTGATAAGAAATTCTTCTAATTAATACCTATAAATATAGGCTTGAGTACATAGAACATAGACATGAAAAAATAGAAAATAGAAGTAAAAAAAAAAAAAAAACGTTTAGGAGTGCCAAAAACAATCATAGAATTTTTAGGATTTTTCTTAGAATTTTTGACATTTTTTTCTGGAAATTTTTTGAAAAATTTTCAGATTTCGGTGAAATTTTTTAGTGAACTTAAAGTTTTCGGTGACTTTTTGGTGCAATTTTCCAATTCTCGGTGAAAATTCAATCGAAATCTTCAAATTTAAAGAGAGAGGGGAGAAAATGAGAAAAAAAAAAGAGAAGGGAAAAAAAGGAATCTGAAAAAAAGAAGGATTTTGGCTTTTATATAGGCGTGAAACACATCGTTTTGTAGATTAAGAAAGGATCGAGATCCGTGCATTTTCTAGCGAGCAACCCGACCCGAGCTCTAGCCCGTTTCTGACTCTCGCTTGACCCCTTTACCCGCTGATCCTTGGTGCTGAGTCGAGCCATCGAGTCGCATCCTTCGAGCTTTTCTTTGTGTCTGGAGCTGAGTCGTGCCAAATCCCTCGAGCTAAGCTGTTAATTTTTTTTTAGTATTTTATTTATTTTTTTATTTTATGTGTTATTTATTTTTATGAGTATTTTTTGCATGTTTTAATTTAATAAAAATATAATAAAAATAAAATAAAAATTTTTAAATTTTTTTTTTTGAGAAAAAGTTGAAAGTATTTATTTTTCTTCAAAATAAAATTTTTAAAAATATTTTCAATTTCTAAAAAATATTTTTAAGGAAAAGTTGAAAGTATCAATTTTTTTAAAAAATAAAATTAAAAAAAAAACATTTTGAGGAAAAATCAGAAGTACCAATTTTTTTTTTTAAAAAAAAAACCTTAAAATGCTTTAAGAAAAAGTTGAAAGTATCTATTTTCTTGTATAAAAGCATGAGTTTTTGTCTGATAAAACACAAAAGAAACCTATATCAAAATCATCCATTTTTTCTTCTGTCATTTTGAAAAATTTTTAATGTTAAATGATCTGATGATGGAGCCTCTGTAAATAAAATAATAATTTTCTTGTAAGTGAGAGAATTTTCTTAATTTATTGCCAAAATATTGGAGTCAATTAATGATAATTTCTAATAATTAATTATTTGATAATTTTTAAAGCTTATTGGATAACACGAAATCGAGTTGGTACCATCTTTTTATGGGCGTTGTGAGAGTGTTATAACTTTTCTCACACGTAATCGTACTCCCGGACCTAGTTCTAGTTTTGCAAACATTGAATTTACCTTTTAGAGATACCTAAGTCAAACTTATGATTCCTTTTTAAAAGGGACAGATTTAGTTAGGTGGTCAATCGTACCTAAACAAAAAAGATTGGTGACGACTCTTCAAGTTAATGTCTAACGATAGATTTTCGGATCTATATGTTATGACAATTTGGCAACTCCACTGGAGATAACCAAAAGTCAGGCTAGAAATAAATTCATGTTATCCAAAAAGCCTAATAAAATATAGTGTACACTTAAGAGGCTAACTCTAAGATAGAGCCCTTCTTATCCAATGATAGATATACCTTAAAATTAAGACACAAGAAGGAAC